TGCATCTCTACCAAATTGTCTTTCTTTCCTCCAAACAATAATTAAGGCTCCATGAAAGCCTCTACCCATTCTGAGAATACACAAAAAGAAAGAAAGAAAGAAAGAAAGAAAAAATGAATGAGCAAATTGATGTTTCCACGATTAAGATGACAACACTGACTTTCATTTCTTTCTCTTGCAGCAAAGAAAAATTTTATTCAGAAACACGTTTGTCGATGAATATAGAACATTATAGTTAAAGGATTACTTCTGTCCCATGATAAAACTTATTTATATCACATTAATGATAAAATGATGTAACATGATATAACCATGCGAAAATATATATATATATATATATATATATACTACAACAATTTTGTATCCAGACTTTATGAGTGTAATATTATTGAATATAAGAAACGAACACCATTTGATGAGCTTAAAAATTTGACTAATGAAGTGATGAGATGATTGAACAATGAGGGCATTGGGGCATTCGTTGAAGAAGATGAGCAGTCAAATACTGTTCTTGGTTACCATAACAGTTCTATGTGAAAGGAAGTTTTAAGCTTATCATAGAGTGGAATCTTATCAATCCAAATTAAATTCCTCTAAATCTTAGGGTAGCTATATATTTCCATTATTAACTTTGGGGCCATCGGAAACGCTAAAGAATATATCAAACAATTAAATAAAGTACTGAGCATATCCATTGGTGCTCCTCTTTCATATAAATAAAAAGTATTTCTAAATATAAAGAACAAAAATTTTTATTTAAATCTAATGAACTCTTTAAATTTAATGAATGTCCTCTTTATTTTTAATAAATAAATTTAATAAGAAGAAGAATTAATAAATAAAATATATAGAAACTTATAATTTATTAATTATATTAAGATAAAGAATCAAACTCACTCTTTAATTTATATTTAAAAAATAAAAAATCTGTTGAACTCTTATTTTTATGAATAAACTCTTAATAATAAAGAGTTTAAATCATATAAAAAATTATTTGAAAATGCTGTCATAATACGAGCAATCTCGAAGTGTATGATATTATCCCTCTTTGCAGATATAATTTGGACATTCGCAACTTACCAGTCACAAGAGATCAATTGCTAAAAACGTAGAGTAATCAGGAATGGCAGAGAAGTACTTATACAATGATCCAGTTTGTGAAAACACAGATTTTTACTTAGCTTATGCTATTGCTCCAGTAAATTTCTTCAACGATCCTCACGGATCCTAAACATCAACTGGATTAATAAAGTTCAGCTTTCAGATTTTTGTTGTAAAGAATTTAATATGATAATAACTGGGCAGGTTTTATAATGTCGAGGTGATAAACGCACAGTTTCCGAATGCGTAATCGGAGGAAATAAAAAGAGAAAGAAAAAACTTGGAACAAGTTTATCAGAAGAAAAGCTGAATATCCCAAGAAAGAAAGCAATAAACAATTAAACATCAACGAAAAGCAGAACTGAAATGCCGTGTACCATTTTCCTAGTAATATAATAATGTCACATGCAACTTATGGCAGAAAAGAAGAATAAAAAACTAAACAGAAACACAATAAAATAATTACCTTGAGAAGAGTTCCGGGAAACAGAATCGTGAGAGCTCTTTCTTCTACGCTCGTTGTGACCTGCCAATCTCCTTCTGCAACTCCTCTTCGAGTCGTCAAACTCTGACATCACATGAAACCTATACATGCCCTCATTTAAACATCACAAATCGCCTTTGTAATTGTTTATTATTTTCATTCATTCACTCAAAATTTCAGAGAATAATTATCAAAATAAGGTAGTAAGAGAGATGGAATTGAAAATTCGAATCTTCAAATTTACTTTTGTAAAGACCGCCAAAACGGAAATATTCAAATTAAAGACAAAAAACAGGATAAGAATTACCTGCTACACTGTTGACAGAAGCGCTGTCTAACCCTAACACCACACTTGGGACCTTTGAGTGCATCTCACAAACTTTATGCCTTCTGTGATGTCTTTGGCGTTGGCAAGAGTGACATGGCATCCCTCAACTGACACTAGGCACCGTCGCCGTTGACCCGATCACAGTGGGAGAGACGACGGACCACACCACCAAGGTTGTAGTAGGGTTTACCTCTCTTGACACAGATAATCCTGCTACGTGTCGCTCAGCGGTGGGGTAGCATCCTCGAAGTAGTGCCTCTTCCCAACTTCAAGCACATAAGATGTGGATCAGGGTGCAGGTGGGATCCGTCACCGGCATATAGAGACTGGTGTGGATGGTGGTTTTGTAACAGTGAGGAATTGAGCGCGTGGGTTGTATTTTCTTCTGGTTGAGTGGTGGGAACGTCTCTGCGGTAGTGGCGGTGGCGTATAAGCACTGCTATTAACCCAATCGAATCTAGAATGATTAAGCGCCCACACGTTATCCCAACCAAGATGTTGTTGTTGTTATACTAGACTGCCCCTGCTACCGTTGCTGTGAATACTAATGAACGTGTTTCCCGCCATTTCCATCTCTCTATTAGCTGCAGGTTCGTACTACTCGCTAGTGTTTTTCTTTTTTTCCCCTTTCAATCCCCAGAAGTAGAAGGGATATTGGACTACTTAGCTAATTATCTAGCTTTGGGTGGTTTTGTTTTGAGGCCTGCAATATGCAACATATAGTTTGGCATAATAAATTGAGAAGAACAGTGAAGGTCGGGTTGTTGAGCTTGACACGTGAAAAAAAGAGTACGTGCGAAGACTGAGAAGTCGTGAACTGAATTGATTTGATTAGAGGAATCAGCTTTGAGGCTATGAACTGCAATAAGTAAGAGAGATGATATACCCAAGAAGCTAGATAGATTATCAGGGAGAGAGGCTCTGGTTTAACTTTTTTGTTTTTTTTTTAATTTTGTTAATGTTAAAGGCATTGTCTATAATTTGAGAGACAGAGTACACGCAGTTAGTGGTCGTGTACACACTGTCCCATCACCATTAATTTGCATGCATTTTTCACGTACAATTATGGTTGAATCCGTTGTTTCACCAGTAACGTATTATATTTCTTTGCATGAATCGAGCGTGTTACCCACTCACTTCACTGGCCTGTGACTCTGAGTGCAATATTCCTATAACACGCCAAATCTAATGGATCGCTTGGCCAGACAATGAGCTTCTTCCTAATATTCCAGTTTTTTATCTACTTCCATTATAAAAGTTCTAATAATCTTTTAGGCCCCAAATCCAATTGATGCATCATTAAAAAGATAGCCATCCGATTATTCAAAGTTCACTGACCACCCTTAAAAATTCCATGGATGAATCTTTAATTAATTAGCTCGGGAAAAAAATAATAATAAAAGGAAAAAACATTTACTTTTATTTTTATTTTTTAAAACTTTGGACAATAAGGCCATTCTTCATTTAATGCAACACAGACTGTAAAGTATTGATAGAGTCTTCAGTTAGGGAAAGCCACACACGTGTCTCGAAATGGGCACCACCAAAAAGATGTCTATCAAACTGCACAGCGAAGATTGACCATATTAGGTTGATTGTGACCAGTCCTTGAGATACCAGCATCTGGTATTGCTATTCATCCAAATGAGTGGTAAGCGGTAACTACATATTTCCTTGGAGACCTTTACATTTTATACTTGCATCCCTGATACAAAAATCAAACACAGCAGAACCACTGCCCCAATTTGCCAAAAAAGTTCTGCCTTCCTCAATTACTCCTCCTATTGCTTCTTGTTAAATGGTAAAAATATTACAAACTTAAAGTTGCATAGGGACGATCAAAATAACTCACTTTGACAGTTTGACCCCTTTATCCTTTCTGTAATTTTAATTAGGTTGGAGTTGGAATTATATGTGGTGTATTCTTCTCTTTTAACCTTGACACATTATTGGCTTATAGTGACTCATTCTGAGGTCTCCTTCACGGTAAGTCTAATGTCTTATTGGATTCAGATTTAGTTTATTAATATTTTGGTCTAAGTCAAGTTCAATTCGGATAAAACTAAATGAGATTAGAGTTAGATTTTCTATTATAAATATTCTGTAATCTTGGGAAACCAAAAAAGTATGAAAAATAAAAAGTAAGAGTAAGCTGCCATCATTATTCTTTATAATTGTTACAGAGTTTTAATACTCGATAAAATCATATATTTAAATATCAAACTGTAATTCCTTAATTAGACCAACCAAGTATGTTCTCATTATTTTTCAATCTCTTTTATTGTGCGTTTTTGAACGTGTTTTCAACATTATATACCAGATTCAAGCTACGAAGAACAAACTGTTTACTGATATATCAGTTTTCTCTACCGTGGAGATGGAATGAAGTTGTCAAAATCACATAATTTTATAAGTTTTATAAAAAAAAAAATCAAAAGACAATTAAGTTTAATCCAATTTTAGACTTGTTTTGGGTTCCAAAATTAGATAAAGCCTGCATTCTCGACTTGCCAGTGCTGAACAATATCTGGTTTGTCACGTAGAAATGTGAATCATTTAAAGACAGAGGTGGCATGTTACTCTGTCATTGGGTATCCAAAGTTTGTGGGACCCGTTTATTAAATAAAGGAGTGCCACGTGTACGGCCATATATAATCAAAACGTAGATGTAGGGCATCTTGTGCTGGTAGCTGCTACTGCTAGGTACAGAACCAGAAAGGTTTTAATTGAAAAAAATAGTAGCTACAAAAGCTTTAGGTAATAAAATAATCCAGTTCCTAAAAAGCAGGGAGAAATATAAAGGAAATAAACTATCACTTTGTACTTGTTAAGTGGGTGTTTGACACGTGTACGTCAGGAAACTTGGTTTTAAAAAATTCCCTTCCTTCCCGTACTCAACAGACTTCTTTGAAAAACGTAGAGTAATCAGGAATGGCAGAGAAGTACTTATACAATGATCCAGTTTGTGAAAACACAAATTTTTACTTAGCCTATGCTATTGCTCCAGTAAATTTCTTCAACGATCCTCACGGATCCTGAACATGAACTGGAATAATAAAGTTCAGCTTTCAGATTTTTTTTGTAAAGAATTTAATATGATAATAACTGGGCAGGTTTTATAATGTCGAGGTGATAAACGCACAGTTTCCGAATGCGTAATCGGAGGAAATAAAAAGAGAAAGAAAAAACTTGGAACAAGTTTATCAGAAGAAAAGCTGAATATCCCAAGAAAGAAAGCAATAAACAATTAAACATCAACGAAAAGCAGAACTGAAATGCCGTGTACCATTTTCCTAGTAATATAATAATGTCACATGCAACTTATGGCAGAAAAGAAGAATAAAAAACTAAACACAAACACAATAAAATAATTACCTTGAGAAGAGTTCCGGGAAACAGAATCGTGAGAGCTCTTTCTTCTACGCTCGTTGTGACCTGCCAATCTCCTTCTGCAACTCCTCTTCGAGTCGTCAAACTCTGACATCACATGAAACCTATACATGCCCTCATTCAAACATCACAAATCGCCTTTGTAATTGTTTATTATTTTCATTCATTCACTCAAAATTTCAGAGAATAATTATCAAAATAAGGTAGTAAGAGAGATGGAATTGAAAATTCGAATCTTCAAATTTACTTTTTTTAGAAACCAAAACGGAAATATTCTAAAATTAAAGAACAAAAAACAGGATAAGAATTACCTGCTACACTGTTGACAGAAGCGCTGTTCTAACCCTAAAACCACCACCTTGGGAGCCTTTGAGTGCATCTCACAAACTTTATGCCTTCTGTGATAGTCTTTGGCGTTGGCAAGAGTGACATGGCATCCCTCAACTTGACACGTAGGCACCGTCGCCGTTGACCCGATCACAGTGGGAGAAGACGACGGACCCACACCACCAAGGTTGTAGTAGGGTTTACCTCTCTTGACCACAGATAATCCTGCTACGTGTCGCTCAGCCGGTGGGGTAGCATCCTCGAAGTAGTGCCTCTTGCCCAACTTCAAGCACATAAGATGTGGATCAGGGTGCAGGTGGGATCCGTCACCGGCATATAGAGACTGGTGTGGATGGTGGTTTTGTAAACAGTGAGGAAATATGAGCGCGTGGGTTGTATTTTCTTCTGGTTGAGCGGTGGGAACAGTCTCTCCGGTGGTAGTGGCGGTGGCGTATAAGCTACTGCTATTAACCCAATCGAATCTAGAATGATTAAGCGCCCACACGTTATCCCAACCAAGATTGTTGTTGTTGTTATTACTAGACTGCCCTCTGCTACCGTTGCTGTGAATACTAATGAACGTGTTCCCGCCATTTTCCATCTCTCTATTAGCTGCAGGTTCGTACTACTCGCTAGTGTTTTTCTTTTTTTCCCCTTTCAATCCACAGAAGTAGAAGGGATAATTTGGGACTACTTTAGCTAATTATCTAGCTTTGGGTGGTTTTGTTTTGAGGCCTGCAACTATGCGAACATATAGAGATTTGGCAATAATAAAAGTGAGAAGAACAGTGAAGAGTCGGGTTGTTGAGCTTGACACGTGAAACAAAGAGAGTACGTGCGAAGACTGAGAAGTCGTGAACTGAATTGATTTGATTAGAGGAATCAGCTTTGAGGCTATGAACTGCAATAAGTAAGAGAGAGATGATATGACCCAAGAAGCTGAGATAGATTATCAGGGAGAGAGGCTCTGGTTTAACTTTTTTGTTTTTTCTTTTAATTTTGTTCAATGTTAAAGGCATTGTCTATAATTTGAGAGACAGGAGTACACGCAGTTAAGTGGTCGTGTAGCACACTGTCCCATCACCATTAATTTGCATGCATTTTTCACGTACAATTATGGTTGAATCACGTTGTTTCACCAGTAACGTATTACTTATCTTTGCATGAATCGAGCGTGTTACCCACTCACTTCACTGGCCTGTGACTCTGAGTGCAATATTCCTATAACACGCCCAAATCTATATGGAATCGCTTGGCCAGACAATGAGCTTCTTCCTAATATTCCACGTTCATTTATCTACATTCCATTATAAAAGCTCTCAAAATAAAATCTTTTAGGGCCCCAAATCCAATTGATGCATCATGATAAAAGGATAGCCATCCGATTATTCAAAGTTTGACAACACAATTCATTTTGATGATGCAGATTCATTACTGACCACCCTTAAAATTCCATGGTGAATCTTTAATTAATTAGCTCGGGAAAAAAATAATAATAAACGGAAAAAACATTTACTTTTATTTTTATTTTTTAAACCTTTGGACAATAAGGCCATTCTTCATTTAATGCAACACAGACTGTAAAGTATTGATACAGTCTTCAATTAGGGAAAGCCGCACACGTGTCTCGAAATGGGCACCACCAAAAGATGTCTATCAAACTGCACAGCGAAGATTGACCAATTAGGTGATTGTGACCAGTCCTTGAATACCAGCATATGGTATTGGTATTCATCAAATGAGTTGTACGGTAACTACATATTTCCTTGGAGACCTTTACATTTATATTTGCATCTCTGATACAAAAATCAAACACAGCAGAACCACTGCCCCATTTTGCCAAAAAAGTTCTGCCTTCCTCAATTACCCTCCTATTGCTTCTTGTTAAATGGTAAAATATTCAAACTTAAAGTTGCATAGGGACGATCAAAATAACTCACTTTGACAGTTTGACCCTTTATCCTTTCTGTAATTTTAATTAGGTTGGGTTGGAATTATATGTGTGTATTCTTCTCTTTAACCTTGCCACATTATTGGCTTATAGTACTCATTCTGAGGTCTCCCTTCACGGTAAGTCTAATGTCTTATTGGATTCAGATTTAGTTTATTAATATTTTGGTCTAAGTCAAGTTCAATTCGATAAACTAATGAGATTAGAGTTAGATTTTCTATTATAAATTCTGTAATCTTGGGAAACCAAAAAGTATGAAAAATAAAAGTAAGAGTAAGCTGCCATCATTATTCTTTATATTGTTACAGAGTTTTAATACTCGATAAAATCATATATTTAAATACAAACTGTAATTCCTTATTAGACCACAGTATGTTCTCATTTTTTTCAACTCTTATTGTCGTTTTGAACGTGTTTTCAACATATATACGATTCAGCACGAGAACAAACTGTTACTGATAATCAGTTTCTCTACCGTGGAGATGGAATGAAGTTGTCAAAATCAAAATTTTACAGTTTTATAAAAAAAAATCAAAAGACAATTAAGTTTAATCCAATTTTAGACTTTTTGGGTTCCAATTAGTAAAGCCTGCATTCTCGACTGCCAGTGCTAACAATATCTGGTTTGTCATAGAAATGTGAATCATTAAAGACAGAGGTGGCATGTTACTCTGTCATTGGGTATCCAAAGTTTGTGGGACCCGTTTATTAAATAAAGGATGCCACGTGTACGGCCATATATAATCAAAACGTAGATGTAGGGCATCTTGGGCTGGTAGCTGCTACTGTAGTACAGAACCAGAAAGGTTTTAATTGAAAAAAATAGTAGCTACAGCTTTAGGTAATAAAATAATCCAGTTCCTAAAAAGCAGGGAGAAATATAAAGGAAATAAACTATCACTTTGTACTTGTTAAGTGGGTGTTTGACACGTGTACGTCAGGAAACTTGGTTTTAAAAAATTCCCTTCCTTCCCGTACTCAACAGACTTCTTTGAGCAAGAGAGACTGAGAAGTCTGAGACTAACCTTGTTTCTTTTAATGAAACACATAAGGTAACAAGAGATGGAGAAAGATATCAAGGGGACGGGGACCATTTTTTTTTTTTTAAATTTATTTTCATTTTTCATTTTATAGAGGAGAGGGGAGGGGACCATTCCATTCATAACTCGTTCTTGTAAAAGAATTGGCCTTAAACCTTGGAAAAGAGATATCTCATTTGCTAATTATCAGAGCTTTAGATCCCGAGGAATATACATCAATTGGTGATTCGTTACTGTAAAGAACTCAGCACTCTGTCCACTATTGTCTTTTGTTATTATTTGCTTTGATTTTCTTCATCTGGCTAACATAGCAATAGCACATTATTTTCCACAAGGTTTCTTTCCCTTTGATCGAAGACATGAACAAGAAGAAATTGGAGCCTTTTTGACAGTATCTATGTCTTCTGGGTCTTTCACTAGCCAGATATCTTCTTTACAGTCACAAAAAGAATCGATGGCTGGAGGATATTTTCCAATCTCTCTCTCTCTCTCTCTCTCAATTATATATATATATAAACTGGAAATATAAAGCATAAAGAGGTGAAGAAAAAGACGGTATCCACTCAATATGTTCCATCAACTGAGTCAGTATGGGACCCTTCTCTGCACGTCTCTCTGTCTCTGTGAATTCATAAAATTAAAGAAGGCTGTACTGCGTCCAGATATAGCTAGTAGCTGCAATTTGAACTGCTCATGGGCCCTTTCCCTCCCCCCGCCTCTACCTCTCTGCACTGTCTTTCCCCCCCATTCAAGAAAAAACAAGTGCCCAACATATTTCACCCACTCCACGTTCTTTCTTCAGATACTTGCAATTGTCAATGCAATAATCTCAACTCTGTTGGACCGTCACAACTGTAATTGAAGCAGATCAACTGTCAAATTAATTTTGATCCTCTTGAATTACCCCAATGATGCACCATCTTTGCACTCGCAATATTGAATGTAAGCAGAACAAAAACTGTGAATCAAAACTGGGTCCATGTAGCTTTGTTTTTTGTAAGCTGTAATTGTTGAACTCAACTACCGTGCTCACGCTTCTGCTTCTATATGATCATTACTCTGTCCAATTGTTGTTCAGTTATTATAACTTTGACTAAGTCGTTTATTTTATTTTTATCGCTTACTTAATAACAAATGAAACAAGAGTGTCACCTTTCGTTCTGTATTCAGCTTCTGAAAAGCTGTCCAGTTTTGCATCTGGGCTTTTTGAGATTATAGGCCAGAATCGTTAATCAAAAACGGGCTGAAAATGGACTTAAACGGTTGCATTGTAGCAATTGAGCCCAATTTCAAGGAAAAAAAAAAAATTTCTAGCTCGAGAAGAAAAATACTGATACAAACACCAATCTGTTCGTGTCTTCATGATGACATACGCTCCCTTTAAGGATAAAATTCTAAGAAATAAAATGAGGATGAAATCTGAATATAAATCTACTCGTAAATAAATAAAATTGGTCTATAAGTAGAAATTTTCTTGGACAGATCAGTCAATCGCTATAAAACTGAAGTACAATTTCATTAATTTAAAAATAGCGAGGCCAACCCAACCATATCCCATTCTTGTGACTCTTCCGCTCTTCCCTCATGCTTTAGCCAGTTATGTACATCACTCTACAGTTATAATTCTTTTTCTGAAGCTTTCATTAACGAGTACAGTTTCTTGCATTTATGATAAAACGTAGAATATAAAGGCTCCGTTTGGTTCAAAATTTGAGGGTTTGGGAAGAGTTTTTTGAAAAAAGTTAAAAAAAGTTGAATTGGACGGTATTATGTGTAAATTTATAATTAATAAAAATCTCATATATTTGTTTTTTTACAAATACCCCCTATAATAAAACTTAAAAGTTAACAAAAATACCCCTAATCCACCCTCAAACACCCCATCGCCACCACCACGGAGGTGGCCGGAATCGTCTTATGGGCGCATGACCGGCTGGATCTTGCCGGTCATGCTGCTTGGCCTTTTCCAGCCAGATCCACGGTGGATCTGGCCGGCAAAGGCCAGATCTGGCCGTCAACGCCATATCTGGCCGTAGATGCTCTCAACGATGCCAAAACGGTCGTCGTTGATGGTCACGACGACCTTGTTGTTGGCCGTCGTGACCGATTGTTACGGCCAAAGATCTGGCAGGAAAATGCTAATCGGCGCACTACCGACCATATTCAGCCGGTAGTGCGCCATCCTATCAGATTCCGCCATTTTTCGGTGGTGGTGGCTGGAATCTGGTAATGTGGATTATTGGGGTGTTTTTATAATTTAAAAAAAAATTTAGGGGTATTTAATTAAATTATCAAATTTAAGGGTTTAAAAAAAGTTGAATAATATTGGGAGTAGTATTCCAAAAATCTGAGTTTTTGGGTATTTTACTGTTTAACTTTTTTGGAAATACTAAAAGTAGTATTCCCAAAACTGAAACAAACGCAGCCAAAGTGATTTGCTTTGGAATTAAAAAAAGAAAAAATTAATTCAACAGAATTCAAAATCAGTCTAGACGGGAGCCCCATTCAATTACTTGAAAAAGTGAAGACCTCTGTTTTCCACATTTTTCTGAGTTAGTTTGTGTTTTAATTCTTCAAGAATTCACCCTTCAACAAGAAGAAATTATTTTCCCTTCTGTACACCAACCGACCTTTATTTAGATAACATGTAGCTATCAATTCACAGAAATCGGGTTCGGAAATTTTCTTGTAGGATATCAGGAAAAGGGATGTTATAAAATTGTTGCTGTCAGTTAACTGGTTACTAATAAAGGATATAAACTATTTTGGATGGTCGAGTAAAATGATAGAGATTCTAATATATTAGGTACTAATAAAGTAGTCATTGAACTCTTATCGGAAAATAATTTCAAGGTCCGACATCCCTATCATAAGAAAAGAAATCCTAATAGGGGGTATGGATTGTTTGAGCAATCAACTTTGCTGTTGTGGCATAGGATGTGGCAGCTATATATTAAAGATTTGGAAGATTGAGTCTTTCACACTCTAATCCAAAAACAGCAGTGTTTCATGACTTTGCAGTGTTAACACATTGAGTCATCCACACGTCTAAAATATTGAGAAAGAGACTGCCAACAACAGCAACAATGATAAATTCTAACTACCTACTTCCTTTCATTCAGTTAGCCTTTCCTCATCTTCAAGTTGAAGAGAAAAGAAAAGAACACTAGAGTTTGTTAGACCTAAATTTTCTTTTCACTTCGAGCAACTTGTATGGCCAAAAGTACTCAACAACTGATCTTTTCATTCTTCTTTTTCATCTTCCTACGTAATAAATTGATTCATCCATACGGTGTGATCTTCTTTAAGTTTGCACGGTTTATCAATCATAACATAATGAAGAGGGAAACCCTACAACTATTGATTATATATGTATATGGAAATTATTCTGTAAATTAAAGGGACATGCTAACTATCAGTCTCTGAGACCTTCCCTTTATTTTTGGTTTTGGAACTTAAATTACCATGATCATAAATTTCTGATGAAGCTTTTGTAAACAACAAAAACGACAAAAGTTTTCAGCTTATCGCAAATCTAATATTATTCGAAGTTTTAACAATCAATCAACTTACAATTTTCTTTTACGAATCATTGAACCTACCTTTTATAATTATAAAGCTTCCCTCCACAACCGCAACACAAAGTGATCTAACCATAGCTATCATGTTGCTGTTTTTAACTAATCATTTCTTTCTTGTCATCAACATTTTCCTTCTTGGATCACCACTATGTTTTGCCGCCCGATCAACACCACAAACGTTTACACCGAAACAAACACATATAACCGTTGTAAACCAGGACAACAAATGGATCGACATTAGTGGCTTCTTCAATTCCCAAAAGGGAAGCCAGGTCTTGGGTTTATCCAAGCTCAAAAAATACTTTCATCGATTTGGCTATCTCCCATCTCAAGATTACAATGTATCCGATAATACATTTGACCCAACGTTCGAATCAGCCGGCATTCATTATCAATCAAGACTTGGTCTCCCTGTTACTGGTAAGCTCGAATTTGAAACTGTGTCTAAGATAATGGCGGCAAGATGTGGTGTCCCTGATTTTCATACGGCTCAAACATTGCATGCAACAAAAGACTACGTGTTTTTTCCAGGGAAACCACGATGGGCTCGTCACGTGCCTATGAAACTCACCTACGCATTCTCAAAGGAATATTTGATCAACTACTTGAAGATATCAGATATTAAGGTCGTGTTTAAACGCGCTTTTGGTAAATGGGCATCTGTTATTCCAGTGAGTTTCATTGAGACTGATGATTATGGTTTTGCTGATATCAGAATAGGGTTTTACAGCGGTGATCACGGCGATGGAGAGCCGTTTGATGGGGTTCTGGGAGTGCTGGCCCACTCATTTTCACCTGAGAGTGGAAAATTTCATTTAGATGCAGCAGAGACGTGGGCCATTGATTTTGAAATGGAGAAATCACCGGTGGCCGTTGATTTAGAATCAGTAGCTATACATGAGATTGGGCATTTGTTGGGGTTGGCCCACAGTCCTAATAAGGAAGCCGTCATGTATGCAACCTTGAAACCTAGAGATAAAAAAGTGGACTTGGCTCTTGATGATATACAGGGAGTCCAAGCTCTGTATGGATCAAACCCTAATTTCACGTTTGGCTCTTTGTTGGAGTCTGATATTTCAACGAATCCGGCAGTTAATTTAAGAATCAGATGGTTTATGTGGGCCACTTTGATTCTACTTTGGTTTTTGATGTTCATGTAGTTAAAATGTCTATGGTCTCCGGTTTATGAGGAGCGTCAAAACGATTAGATATATAGAATATACGCATGCAGCCCAAAATCTAGCGGTGCTGACGGACTTTTGATTTGAAGGTTTGTTTAGGACTTGTGGTTATGGTTCCTCTTCATTAACGGAAAGTAAGATCATAACATTCTTTTTTTGTTTCTAAATATATATTTTTTTTAATCAATAAATTTATATTATATTCCAAATAAATTCATGCAATTATGATTTAAAAGGTCACTGGATATCATATTATTTGGCTGGTGCCCAATCAAGAATTGATTGCGTCAAAATTTATTAAAGTATTTAATATTTTCCAAGCACGGAATGAATGAAAGTATAACAATAACCATGATTTTTATAAATATTTTTTAATTTTTATATATTTCAGCACACATAAAGTCTCCATCAAATCAAATTGCCCAAATAAAAAGAGTAAATGACTTTTTCCTATCCAAATAATGCATTAATGGTACTCTTCTACTTACAGACTTGTAAATACTATTTTATTACATCAATTTATATTCTGTTTTCGATTTCGGTATCGTTGCGGCCCTACACCATCACCATTCTATTTCTCGATCATCATTCACCAAAACCCCTCAAACCCTACTCTTGCCAATCTCATCAATCGTCGACGATTGAGCGATTAAGGTTTTCACAACTGCCCCTCCTAAGTTAAATTACGATCAATTCTAATTATCAAAATATATCCTTCTACTATCAAAAAACATATCGGTCTCTCCTTTTCAAAAAACTCAATAACCTAGACCGAATTTGCTCTTTATTCACTATTGAAATATAAATTTAGGTGATAAAATGATATTTTAAAAATTTATAAGTGAAAAAGTATCATTAATTTTTTTTTTTTTTTTTTTTTAAGTCGTTAACTCATATATATATATATATATAAAACTGATCTTTCATTTTCAATAGACCACGTGAAACGTGTTAACCGCATGAATAATTATTGCGTTTTGTTGACTCGTGACTGAGATAAATCCCATCCCTGGGATGAGTTCAATGCCAACTACCCGACAAATTCTAGATCACAAAAATAAATAAAATAATTTTAGGCGTAATAATAAAACAGAGGTTGATGGCCTGGCTAGAACTCATGTAAATCTAAAGCAAAATAATTCATCAATTACCATAACCGACAAAACAAAAGGCTTAGGCTGCAGGGAAGTCCCCACCAACAAGTGGTTGAGTTTATGATCTGATCTTTGCTGCCTACACATCTTCACACTGTACAATACCTTTCCTCTTCAGTAACTAATTCTATCTTATCATGCAGGAAAATGCATTGAACATTGGCAGCCAGTAATTAATTAAGTAAACGTCATGCTCTAAAAATATCCAGTCGTTTTCTACCGAGATGGCCGTCATCGTGAATCTGATTGGTTGACTTCAACGGCAGTTATTATATATTTTATATTCGTGAAGAAGTGGTCAAATTACTATACTAGGCTAATGGGTAGCCAGACGGCGTCGTAAGATACGTTGCAATTTGCAATTCTTAAATAACGCCATGAATGCAAACAAACAAAAAAACAGCATGGTGAAAAACCTTTCTCTCCAATTCAGTTATTGGGGACCGTGAGAGGGACCACTCTGTCTGACTCTCTGTATAAGACACTGTCTCTCTAGTCTGTCTGTTTCTGCCTACATATACATTTTATACCATATATTGCCTCGTTACAAAAATTAACATAGTGTATACACAGTCATACAGTAAATATATTTTATATATTATATAGTTTCGCAATCAAAGTAAATACTGACCAACAAAATTTTTGATCATATTATAATGGGTTGTGATCATCTTCAAGAAAATAATTAATGTAATTATATTAAACGATAATGGTTGTGATAATCTTTATCATCATTGAGCAGACACTAAAAGAGATTACGCTGGCCAAGAGTTGACATTTTTAAAGTTAATGCTATCCACGTGTTGAAAGGACACAAGGTCCACGTGTTCATCAAACCTGTTATTTTAAGCCAAAAATTAATTGAAGACCACAAGCCTAATCCAAACCAACAACATAACAAACATATACGAGAGCAAAACACTCGTTCAATGAGACAGTGCCCCAAATCATCATATAATGTCTCTATTTGGAACTACCTAAAACTTGACGAACTGGTTCCCCTTTCATCGAAAAATTAATTAATCGGAGACTTAAAGTGATTGTGATAACTTCAATCGGTAGCTACCAGATAGGTTTAAGAAGATATAAACTTAAAGCAAAAGGGCATCATCTAGAACCTTCTTTGAGTTAATATAAATCTCATCCAAAAGGGCATTCTCCATTGATGTTTCTTTCACCCCGTTATGGAGGATATATTTAATTCAATGTATATTCTAAATTAACCAACTCCCGTCCAATTGAAAGTTCATAGAGATGGAATTAGTGATCCACCACGTACTTCAATTAACTGCAATATCCTTGCATTACACTCTCAGAAATCAGAATCATGTGGAAATATCGCGAAGCAAATCTATTATATTTGCAATATTAATTCCCCAAGGCACCCAAAATGACCCCACAAAATCACTTCATATAATCAGCACTCATCCATTTGTGTTAAGATTCAACATTAGGTGGATTATATTTCATACAAAATATGTTTTTCGAAACAATATGATCAATATACAAACACGTTCAACGCACATCTCTAGATAAAAGCTTTTACTCCACTTAGTTATGATATAACTATTTGTAGATGCATCATAAAATTACATTACGACAGATAATTACGTTTAAAATTTGGTTTTATAACGCTTGTAGAGAAAATAAATGACCAAACCACCAACCATTTATGTCTTATTGGTTAAAGTCATTCAATTCTGCTCTAATTAAGATATGCATACAGTATATATGAAGTTATGAAGCGAAATTTAGTAAACCAGATACCTAAAGTGAGGTATAATAAATATAGAAATCTGTTAATACATTAATTACATACCCCCAAGGTTTGACAAGTGAGAGTAAATATAGAGAAAGAAATAGAATCGTTGCATGTTAATCAGTGTCAGATCCTACAATATTAACAAAAGTTGCTTGTAGAATGGAGAAGGGAAAGGTGAAGAGAAGTAGTGAGAGCATGTGAGTCTTGATGATAGTTTTGAATGAAAGGAAAGTATGGGCGGGCAGACGAAAATGGGAATTGGGTCAGTTTTGTGTTTATTTATAGTGAGTTTCCTTGGTCTTCAAATTAGGTTCACATGGAGGTCAAACAATAAGATTAGATTATAGAGTAGTAGGAGAAAGTGAAAGAAGCTGAAGTATTAATGGAGTACTAATTAGAAGAGAGAGAGGGAGAAAAACAAATGGAACGAAAAGAAAGATCTGGGTATATATGAAGGTGATGGCTTCATTGTCAATTCAAAAGCTGCGGTAAGAAGGGTTTTTGTTGGTTTCCCATAAATGGCTAAAACAGATACAGTCGATGAGAGCTTATCAGTTTGTGTACTTTGAAGCTATCTATACTACCCGAGTCAGCAAAGTACAAGCAAGTGAGAAATATCGATGTTAGCTCAATTGCCCTTAGCTTGGGCAGAAGGCAGAAACTGCAACATGATCATCAACTCTTTTCTTCTTATGCTAACTCCAATTCTATCTCTGGTAAACGAATGTCAACTATTAAGTATTTCTTTTATTTTCCGATATATATAGAAAACTCTTGCTTTCTTAGTTTTTTTCTTCGTCAAAACAATAATAGAGGGCCTAGCTATTTAAGGCCTTCAATGAACCTGTAAAAGTTATCAGGTTTAGGTACTATGAATTCTTCGGCCAAAAGTCATCCAATTAAGTGCATTCAATTCTCCTTAAGAGACTCAACAGACCAAATTGGTGCAACTCCTCCCTGGAACCCTGCTGTGGCGTGACTGTGACACAAACAAACCCTACAGGCCAATTGCTTAATCACGGCGGCTATCCTATCCCTTCCCCCGAAGACTGTATCTTAATGGGTCAATCATACAGATAATACGCATGAAATAGCCTTTAAAAACTAACTTTTTTAGTTAATCGTTCCCGTTCAAACCATTCTCATGCACGAAACCTAGCTACATCATGTGTCATGTGTGTCATGCGTCAACTTTTATCCTTTGATGTATTGCCTAATAAAATATAGAAACTGGCTTCATGTAAACAAGAGTAGACTCAAAAGAAATAATGAGCAAGGATCCAAAACGTTTGTGCTAGCTTGCAATCGATGGATTGATAAAGTTACATTATTTTATTAACAGTTTACTAAGAAACACAACACAACAGCTTAACATAAAAGCAACTTATATTAAACACTGACTAGTTACGACTATAAACACCAAGAGTTTTTGATACGAACGGTAGTTATTTTAACACATGACATCCTTGAGAAGCTTGTACCTGCGCGTAGTAGGGCGTGGAGAAGGCGTACCACTCGGATTCTTACCCTTGTCGGCGCTCTCTTCACGATCTTGTTGCTTGATTCTCTCACCGGAATAATCGGATCGGTTTGAGACACCCGTTTCATATGCGGTGGAAGATTTCTTGGAAGAGCTTCCATGTCTTGAGCTTCTTTGTTCACTTTGGCACCAATCACACATCTCAATTGGCTCAGCATATTCGCTGTAGTAGTTACTGCAATACCTGAATCATCAAGGAAAAGCTTTTAATTACCATACTTAAATCGTGATATATTGACGAAATAAAATACAATACATGGGTAGTACTATAGTTTTCATGAAATAATAGGAGTGAGCAGAAATATCATGCTAAAAACGTTGATATGATTAAGATGATTTTGAGAATTAAAGAGCTTGAGAATCGAAGTTATTTAGTATTATTATGGTGGTGGTGGTTGGTGAGGGGCTTGGCCGAGATGGATGCCCAGATGGGAATCTACCTATAAGAAAAAGTTCAGTTATGTGTAGCTATCAGAGAGATGGTGATCATGATGATATAAATAATAACAGATATATGTATGTATGTATATGATGTTTTATAAATTTTTATGTGAATAAAAGATGATGATGATGATGGTAAGTAAAATCCATACGAATGTTGAATGCGGTTGCGGCATTTGTTACAGCGAAAGAGCTTGTCAGGGAAACCAACGTCGCCGCACATGCAACAAACAGTTTGAAGATCCACCATTGTCGAAGAGCTTGAAATTGCTAAAACTGGGAGACAAAATGAAGAAGAAGAAGAAGAAAAACCCAAGAAGAGAGATAACTACGAGAGCGACTGAGACTGAGACTTATATATCTAATAAATTATAAATTAAATTAAATTAAATTAAAGAAAGAGAGTAATGGTTTTTGAGTCGGTGTATAAATCCCATACATAATAAATTTTATTAAATAATATAAAGGAAATATATACACAGGTTGCTTGCAGTCGCTTTCAGTTGGGGGAGAGAGATGTGAACCTTAAAATTTAGATGGAAAAATGACACTTGTATCCTGGGCTTAGCCTCAGCTAGCTTGATTTTATTTCTTACCTTTTTTTTTATTTTTTTATTTTTTTTCTGCTTCTTCTCTTTGCCATGTATAATTGGCATGTTACTAACCATATCCCCACTCTCTACAATGATGCGTGATTCTCACTTCCTAGTTACTTCAATGGATACTTTCGATTAATAAAGAATAACTCAAAATCAGATAAAGCGTACAAAAAGATGGGGAATGAGTTTTATGGCTCTAAGCAAATTAAAAAAATATTATGAAACAGAGGTGAGGTACGTGATTTCACGCGCATCTTTAGAGAGTGGGTTATTGGCTTATTTAGAAAATTAAATTTTTCGAAACAAAAATAGTTATTACTTGTCAATTATACGCGCACTTGCAAAGAGTGGATTGGCTTTTTCTTGGGATCTGTGAATGGTAAAACAGTAAACTTGTTACCCGTTGCTTTCTTAAGAATGGTAGGATATAATTGTCATTAAACTAATTCTTCTGGAGATATAAGGAATGTTAGCGTTTCCAAGTACAGTACTCTTTCCTTACCTTTAAACAAAGTCTACAACACTATAATTAAAAGCGGAAAGCAGCTCTGGAAATATCGCACGGTGATCCGTAGCTACACTACCTGCAATAGATCATCAAGCGACCAATCCCAAAAACGGAATCAAAATACGGTTCATTTCTGATCACCGAGTATTTGATGAGATTTCTTCTGAATCATTAGATCAAAAAAAATAGTATTTCGATCGAACGGTGAAGATTAAAGAGGATATTCGCCTTTGACGTGAAAAAAAAAAAGACCATAGGCAATGAAAGCTGATAAGCATCACGTGGGCCAGAGCTCTTTTCATCTACTTTTGGTTTAAGAATTCACATAGGAGAAAGCACAAGGATCTGTTGGGCCTCCATTTCCTCATTGTAACGTCTTCCCAAATTTTATAATTAGTTGTAGTGGAACGCTTAATTAGAATAAGGGGGATGAGTAAAATATAATGTTGCTTAGGTCAACTCCATGGGAATTAATTAATAATAAATAAAATTTGGCCATCCATAGTAAAAGCCAAGCACCAATTTGGTCATCCTAGGTCAGGTCGTGTCCTCCTTTTAAAGATTTGAAGCATCATTTCAACATGCTCTACAATATTAATAGAATATGCCGCCTTCTTTTTCTTTGCTCTTTCCTTTTCACCACTATGGTTAAAGGGCATTTGATTATGAAAATTAAGATATATATAGCTTTTATGTAAAAGTACCCATTATATATATATATATATATATATATATTAATTAACCCAACTTTTACCTGTTTCAAGGGGGACCTTATTGAATTCATAACACTGAAACGTCATCTTGAATAATCACAATTTAAATGTCAAACTAAACGAAAACGAGGTTTGAAATCCATGGTTAACCAAGAATTCTTTGCATGATGTGTGCAACAGTGACAGCCCACAGCCCAGAATTATTGGGAGAATTTGCGAGGAAATTAATTAGTGAAGTGGCCTGGTTGGAATTATGAGCCACCTGCATTTAACATGTGGTGGTAGTGTCAAGTCATTTACCTATAAAAAGTTTGCATAATCTTAATAAAATTTTCATGGATTTATTATCAAATATATATCATAGTTAATGGTAGAACCCGATGAGGTTAAGTAAAAGTGGGGATGGCCGATGGGTGAAGGTGATGGTGATGGATTTTGATAGAGGCCCAGGTTAGATAGATGGTTGATGAGAAAATAATTAGATATATTTAAATCTAATTATTGGTATAATTACTCAAACTAACTGGACATCATTATTTAACTAACTCGATTTTCATATCTTTAAGATGTAACTGGTCCTCATGATTTTACAACTCAATTATTGTCACCATTCATATAACATATGATTGATGAAGATTATAGTAATGACAATCTTAAGACTCGTTTTTTGTTTTAACATGGGGTTTCAAGATTAAACCACCAGTCCAACATTCTTTATTAAATATTAACCATGATTTGGTGTATGCCCAGTAGCCCTTTCAAGTATCCAGCGCTGAAATCGTCAAAACTAGATACAATATTATTAATGGCAGTCACTTCAGGAAAAAGGCGTAGCCATGTTCCAGTTCCCAGAAGAAATGGAAATTTAAAACTACGTACCTAGACTGTGATCCACACGTTTAAGTTCAGTTCATATGGGAAGAGAGATTAAATGAATAAGAATTGCGGTGCATTGTTTCATCAATTAAAAAGGAAACAAGGAAAAAAATAGAGGGGCCCGTTTTTGTATTGTCCACACACTTGCTTCTTTTAAATCTTCAGTAGGAATGCTTCAATCACTGTCATAATCACATCGACTTGATTCGAATTTATCATAAATTATTATTTATTAACTTATTGTAATACATGAATGACTCATAGCTGTTTATCTTTATCCAAATATCTTTCTTAAAGCTAATTGGTTAAGGCCATCGATCCTCAGACTTCATTGCTAAAGCCATTCATAAACCATCATGTTTCTCCTTGGCTAACCCTAATAAGTCATTTATTAAAGCACGAAACTTGCATGTGCCATGTTGTCCCGGCAAAGCAACTTTTTGTGTACGTTAATTACACGCAAATGTTTCTCATAGGAAATTACACTTCTCTTTTTTTTTTTTTTTTGAAATTTTTAATACTGGTCTGAACCCCAGTCCCTAGACAATGGATCATTGGGACCACCAAAGATTTGCAACAGAATTCCATAAACGGGATTGCCTACGCTCTGTTCTAATCAGTTCCTTACAGTTACTGACTTATCCACCGTCCACGTTCCACCAATTCACTACAACCATCAGCTAAAAATAAAAATTATATCCCAAACAGCCATGCACAAGCAGCAGAACCTGATTGCCTTTTTGTTGGATGTCATCGATGCTTTTCTTAGCCACAACAGATTGTCTAATACTTTTCTTAGCCTTCATTTAATAAGCTTAATATTTAAAATTAGTTTATTAATATTAAGGTTTGGGTTAGATTAGATTGGGTAAACTCAAATAAAGTTAAACTTTTATATTATGAGTATTTTGTAATAGTTAAAAGCTTAATATAAAAAATAAAAAAAAAGACAATTAGAGTGAATTGTCTTGTAATTGCGTCAAGTTCTGATATTTGATAAGAATTCTTTGTTTGAATGTCAAACGTAATTCCTTAATCGGAACAAACCATGATAAATCATGTATTTTATCTTTTATATTATATTTTACTTGTGCCGTGTTTAATTTTCGACTTCAAACACTTTCTCGAGACACCCATAGAATAGTTCCCATTTACTGAGATATTAAAGAGAGACTCTATAGCTAAAGTAAGTGTTGCCTTGCACTAGGAAGATGCTGATGCCTGTTAATTTCAACTTGGAAATAGAAAAAACCCTGTTCATTCAATTCAATATATATATATAAAGATACGGAAAAGCCATAATATTGGATGTGTGAACTGAAGATTAGGTCAAGGAGCCTCATAAAGGAGTTTCAAGTACAAATCTGCACATCAAAAAAAGAAGGTAAAGCTAGCTAGCTTATATATATATATATATAAAGTATGTACGTGCAACTGCTGCTGAACATGATCCATTGATTATAATTTTAAATATAATCTTTAGCACATAACGGGTACTGCAACCTAGTTGAGTGTGTGTAGGTATCATATTCCATCTCAAACTTTTCATTTTTATATACAATTGATTATCTTCCTCCATATATTCTGTGTCTTTTCGCCAACCTAAGTTTATTATATCTTTGAAATAATAAATTAAAGCTTGTTGTTAGTGCTGGTGCTGGTGATGGTGATGGTGATGGTGTGAAGTGTGTTTGATCAAAAGCTTGATTCTTACGAAGTAATTAAAATGATTGTGAAAAGAAGAGATAATAATGTATAGAGACTAAAGAGCACATGGTTGCAGTGTTGAGATAAAACGAAGCAGAATTATTATATATCATGAGTATATGAATCTGAATTTGTCCACATTACGTAATAGAATAAAGCACTAAATCGAAGTTGGAACTTGTCTACATTACATTACGTAACTTGACAGCAAATTCTAAAACCAAAGACATTAGTGATAGTGGTGGATCTCTCCATCTGCATTACTCACTGTCAAGTAAATTATGTCATCAATTCAGTAATCAATTCAGTAACCGGGTCCTTCAATTTGTAAGGTTGAGGTGAATTCTAACCCCACACAAAATCCATTAAAGGCCCCACTTTCACCCACAACTTTCTTTCTTCTTCACATTACCATGAATATGATGTGCCCACAAGCCCAACAGGCAGGCTTTTTTGCCTTTGCAATTTTTAAGGGTTTGTATTCCGTACACCAACTCCTTTGGTACATCCAACACCACTGTATATTATATGGAAACCAGAATTTGTACAATTTGTAATAATAGTTTGATTGTTGATGTGCCCTATCATACCCAACTAAATTGACCCAAGACAAACGCTTTATGTACACGTGGGCCCATGACCCGCATTACATGTGAATCATTCACACTGGTGGGCGTCAATGGATTCGGCTCACTCAAAGCTGGGTCCGGCCTAGATTCTACGTCCAGCAATCCTCTCACAGCTGCGTATTCAACTTTTTTTTTTTTTTGGTGAGCGGAAGCTGTCCAAGTCAGTTTGCGTGTACCTCAACTAATCTTCTTGGACTTTAAAGTTGATAGCTGAGTAAATCCCCTCAGTGACCACCCTTATTAGCAATCTAGGTGGATTGAACTCAGAATCTCTTGAGTAATACACCCAACAATCCTTGTTGACCGTTGGACCACCAAGTGGTGGTTTCATATTCACCCTTTTGATAATGAAAATTTAATGTATAATGAGAGAGTAGTTTATGGAATTTCACTTATTAAGAAAATAAAATTTCAATTAGATGGTCATGGTAGGACATGCAGGTTAGGCAGAGGTGCACATTTCTGGTTTTAATTGTACAGAAAAGAAAGCGATCAAGTAGTGGATTTAATATCAGTTTGAGAAATCTGGTTTTATCTTTACGAATACACCACACACCAGAACCACAAGCTCCATGTGCTTGGAAAAGCAGACAATGCCAATCACAAAACATCTACAAAAGCTGCCACTTTGAGTGGAAAACAACCCTCCAACAAGTACTGATATTTGCCCATTTACACCAAACCAGAGGTTTTCTTCAAACCATGCCCCGCAGTTGCCCACCTGCTGCTCCAATACGCGGTAACATTTTTTTTTCTTTCTTGCGAGTTAAAAAATGACTTAAAGCAGAGGCGAAAAGTGTAGTTTAATTCAAAGTTTACAATAAGTAACAACAACGAGAGTCCCAAACCAAACAACCAAAGTATCAAATATAAACATTAGCACCATTTACCACACGTGAAGGTCCAAAGCTATTGGAAAACCAGTGCCTCATTTTAGCAAGGCCCTATACCCACATTCATATTTCATTTGTCATCCTAATCCAAATTCAAATATTTGATCCCAGTTAAATGGGAGTACAAATTACAAGACATCTTGCACTTGATAAGGTACTCGGATTGAGAAACAGAGCACTATCATTCGCAGGAAGTCAAAACTTAAAAGCACAAAATCCCAGAAATTTCGGGTTATCTTATGGGCCTTTGTGTAAGCAACCATGCATGTGAAGACAAAAAGCAGAAAAAATTATCTCAGTTTGATGAATATTTGGTCGAGAAAATGAACTTCATAGTCATCCAATTGAAGGATGTTTCAATGAAAACCAAAAAGCGTTGTGTGGGAACATGAAGTGAGTGGCAGATCAACAATGTAATGAGATGATAAATACTTTGATGAAGAAGAATAAAAGAAAATGACTTGTTCGACCTCAGTCGCTCCTTTCGGGCCTAGCAGATGTAAACATAATATTGGTATTAACAATTTTGCTTGGTCCAAAATTTCCAGGGCAACTGTAAAGGGGCAACCTTTCATTTTTGGAGCCCGCCTCAAATCTCGACTAGCAACTATATGTAAGAATTCTAACATGAATTCCATTTAATTCTAACAATTAATCTCAAAGATCTACATACTGATTATAGAATACTGAATTTAAGGATTAAGAATTAGAAAAACTTGATTCTGTTATGACTTCTAAATTTCTTGAATTCTCTATAAGTAGTAACTGGTCTCCCTTTCCAAAAACGCTCCAAAATGACTAACTTTCAAATGAAGTTCAGCGTATAATCACATTTTGGAAAGAAGATCCAACTAATTTATATCAATTTATTAGGCTCTCTCATTAAAAGTTCAATAAACTCTAAAGCCCATTACAGGCCCAAGCCTACACTTGTCATCAACCCAGATTATTAAAAATGAAATGTATTTGACAAATTCTAAAATGATTGCATAAGTCCATCAAGATATCTTATTAGATTGTGTATTTATCTGATTTTATCAAACTAAAACATAATTAATGTTAACCCACGATTAAGAAATTTTCTAACATGGTATCCTTCGTTCAAAGAATAAAACATACGATCACACATATCTACATTGAGTTTAATTTGATATACAAACTATACAGCCTTGAATACAACAATTTACTGTACAATTAAGTAAGCAATTATGCTTATAGATGAGTAGGACTCCAAGTTCCAAGGAGATTTTACAGTTTAATTCCAGGAACTATGGCACCTTCTGACACTTCCTGCTATTTAGAAAACAAAACATGGGTGCAAGAAGTACAAATAAGAACATATTTGAGGTTATATAAAAATTTGTAAGATAATCAAAATAAAATTTTGCTACAGAAGACCGATAAGATATAGTTGATCACACCTCACTCTTTCCAGTTGTATGGAGCACGATTGACAACTAAATAATCTCCACGAATGTCCTTTGCAATTCGAATGTCATCATCTAGGTAAACAGATTCGAACCTGAACGATTGAGCATTTTCAATTATATCACAATATAGTCGAGGAAAAAATATTTAACAATCAGAAACAAAGAGGAAGATAGACACCAAGAAATAGGATAACTAGCAAATGCTATCGATGATCTCCGTAGAAAAATTAAGTTCTAAAATGAGCCTGTTTTTGCATCTCAGATGAGTTCACAGAGTATCAATGAAGAGTTTCCAAGATGTGTATTACGGGCTAACTAGAATGATAAAGTTCTATAAAATAAATGAATAAATGGAGTGGAGTATTAACTTGATGAAATCAAGATCAACATCAGACAGAATCCAGAGAATGAAAAAAAATTAAGACGAGGTGGCATCAGTTGAGGACAAAGTGAATGAATTTAATTTTGAGTCTTTTGATAATTAGAATATTACGTTGGGTGCAAGGACTGCTGATTTTATCAAAATCAAATCATGTCAAGGGCATGAGCAGGTAAACAAAGCACATTGTACAAACAAATATATGATTTTTGGATACTCTTCAACAATCCCTACGTGTTCATATTTGAGATTGATATTAACAATATATTCTTGTAGCTAACCCAATATTTAAGAGCAAAAAGTTGAGTTGCAGGGGAAAAAAGATAAAACCTAATGAGCAGGATGAAAAAGAGAAAGGAAGAATTATTATTGCAATCAGAAACAGGATCAAGTTTTCACTGCTTCACTGGAGATTATGAATATCGAGATGGAAGCCTAATTGGAATAATAGGATTGGTTAAATCAAGGCTTACTGGTTATCTCATCCAGTATTTCCTCAAATATATAGGTACATGAGAACAAAAAACTGGTAGCACTGCAAACATATTTAATGAAACACAAAAGGACCTTATAAAGAATATAAACCAAATCTAGTTGATGCAATTAAAAACGATGGACTCACATTCAACACTGGCAACAATGAAGTAGAGCAAAAGGAGAAATCAATGCAGAAAAGGGTTGATAACACTGGCACCCCTTGAGGTTTCAGTTTATAACAGGCCTGTAGAAAAAATGGTTAGGGTAACATATAGACCCCAGAAGTTAACAGCCGTAAGAGTAGTTATAACATAATAGTGTCATTTTACTAGGCAAAGTCTACTTTGTCCTTATAAAGGCCTTTGGTTCATAAATTTAACCTTGACCTCCTGTAGAATTACGTTAATACGATCAGAAACAAATTGCATTTTCCTTTTTCTATTTCTAATAATCTTCTATAAGCCCATGGAATGCAGATCGTAACAAATTGCATTTTTCTTTTTCTAATTCTAATAATATTCTCAGCTTTAAATTTGTGCAATAAAACTCACCAAAAATCTTGACCGAAACCTCAGGGGATGTCCGTGTTATTAACCCCGCAGAAAATCTATTCTGTCCAGGCATAAGGAGCACGATCCACAACTAAAAAGTCTCCCCTGATATCCTTCACTACTCGAATTTCATCATCAAGGTACACAGACTCAAACCTATAAGATCACAACAGCCCTTGATACTATCGCAATAATAATAATATGAAAGAAAATGAAACCCAACACATTCCCCTCATTCAAACTTCAGTACAATCACAATGGGTAGACAAACACACAGCACAGTATTGTTTAATACTTATAAAGTATTGATCATATCTTAATTAGCAATAAGAAATCAAAATTTGCTGGCCTTGTATTAAGCTCACAAATAAAAGACTAACCAGCCTTTCCCAAAAGGTGGCAATGGAATTTCCCAACTTTTTCCGCGTAAAACTGCACTGGTAAATCTAACAAAAGGCCACAGCAATTAGAGCTCAAAAGGACAAATATAATAAACCTGAACTTAACCCATAATACAATAAACCCTGTAAAATAAATAAAAATCAAACTAATTACCTGAAATTCACTCTTTTGGGGGAAGCGATTTCGATATCCGACCTTACAAAGAAAACTCCATCGGGTGGAAAAGTAATTACATTATTGAGAACCCCTTTTTCAACATCAATCACCTGCAAAACGTCACCGGCTTGAGTACTAAACAAGTTGGCTTTCTCGATAATGAATAGTTGTTCTTTCTCCGTGGTCCAGAGCAAGCGCCACGTGGCAGAGAGGGAATTATCGGTGGTGACCATATCTCTACCAATAACAGCCATGGCATCGATAGCTTTGATAATGGCGGAAAGCTTGGCGGGATCTTTTTGCGTTTTGAGGCCTCGTTCTTGATCGGAAATGAGATTGAGGAGTTCTTGTTTGGCTAATTGTGATTCGGACGTGATAGACGAGCAGGTGATTTTTGAAGTGCGAAAGTGTTGGTGTTTTGAAAAGTTAGAGGTAGGGTTTGGGTTTGGAGGCTTCAAAGAAATGGGGAGGAGAAAACATGTACAGGCACCCATGGCCAATTGTTTACTGTAATTGCAGATAATAGAAATTATGAGTGAATTTTGGCGGTTGAGGCTGGAGCCATAGAGGTAGCGTGCAAATCACGTGCTAATTTCTTTTCCATTTAAATTTGAAGCCACCTTTAAATATAATAATATATATCCTTTAATACGCTGACGTATCAATGAAACACTGAAAGTCTGAAACCCTTCCCATGCCCACAGTGAACTCTTAAAACCCCGTAGCCGCTTAAAGAGGGCAAGCTTCTCTTTGAACATCCCAGATACGTTTTGTAATTTGTAATTTCTTGTTCCACTACACAAGCTACTCTAGTATCCACTGACAGATCTGATCTAGGGTTTGTTCTCTCGTTAACTAGAAATGGCGATTTCTTCACAAACGCCTGATATTTTAGGCGACCGCCAATCCGGCCAAGACGTTCGTACCCAAAACGGTAAATCTTTTTTCCTCTTTGTTTTCGTCTTTGTTCATTTTGTAAAAATTGTGCGCTTACTTGTTCATTTCGTTTGATTTTTTTTTCCTGAAGTTTGATTGTTTATTTTGTTGGTGTGAGTGCAGTGATGGCGTGTCAAGCAGTTGCCAACATTGTTAAATCCTCGCTTGGTCCTGTCGGACTCGACAAGGTGTCAACTTCGTTATCTCTTTCTCACACTCTTGTGTGTTCTTTGTATTGAATACGATGCTTTTTGTTCTTTCTTTTCTGTTTACTGTTTGGTTACAATGGTGAAATCTTTAAAAGCTGGATGATTTTTACTTGAAATTATTCTGGGTCCTACATGGCTCTTCTAATGTTCATAATAAAATCTGGAATGATGCACTGATTGCAATCCAAATAGTTATGAATGCCAGACCTATTATATATAGATGTACGTATTTAATTTGTTTTGAGATTGGTTGTATAAATTTCCCATCAATAATTGTAATATGGGTCCATAGTGGACATGCACTTTGCTTGTGCGATAAGATTGTATCTTGCCCGTCACTTTTTTTTTTTTTTTATGTTGATTGATTGCAGATGCTTGTTGATGATATTGGTGATGTAACCATAACTAATGATGGTGCTACGATTCTCAAGATGTTAGAAGTTGAGCACCCAGCTGCCAAGGTAGATAGTCACGTTTTGTTCTTGTTATGTCTTTAGTGTTGTGTGTGCATGTCTCTATGGGTTTGCTCTTTTGCAACACCTACATGTTTGAAGTTTCTTTTCTGTGGTGATAGGTACTTGTGGAGTTGGCTGAGCTTCAGGACCGAGAAGTTGGAGACGGAACAACATCAGTGGTTATTGTGGCTGCTGAGTTACTGAAGGTAACTTGTTTTATCAGATACATGTCTACTTTTTCATATGGATTAGTAGCAATTGCACTGATATGTGAGGTACTAAGACTTGGTTATCTATGATCTGGTCATAATTTCTGCAGAGAGCGAATGATCTGGTGAGGAATAAGATTCACCCTACATCTATTATCAGTGGATACAGAGTGAGTACCTCTTTTCTTTCAATTTTTTGGCCCTTTCTTCTTTATAGATTATTGTACATGTGCTTATTATCTTCGTGTGGACAGCTTGCAATGAGGGAAGCTTGCAAATATGTTGAAGAAAAATTAGCAGTGAAGGTAAGGCTCCGCTAGTGGTCTTAGTTTTTTAAATATCAGTATGACCCAAGGATTACGCTGGTAGTGGTTGCCCATGGTAGATTGTGTAGCATTGCTTGTGGTGTAATGCTTGTAGAAGACCTAATTCTGAGGTTAATATTTCCTAAGTTACACTCCACAAATACCATAAAGGGTTCAGTTCATGGCTCATTTTTTGGTCTTTGTGATGTGTGGCAATGCTATGATTAGGTTGCTCATTTTTATTGTGTTCTTGACATAGTGTTTCTCTTGATCTATTTTTATAGGTTGAGAAGCTGGGAAAAGATTCTTTAGTGAATTGTGCTAAGACAAGCATGTCCTCAAAATTGATTGGCAGTGGCAGTGACAGTGACTTTTTTGCCAATTTGGTATGTGTTTGCCCCAAGAGTTCTGTTCAATGAAATCCATCTCTTTCATATATTGTTACTTAATAAATTTTTTCTCAGTCATTAAATGTTCAATCTGGACTCTTGACTTTTATTGCTAGCAATATTGATCTGTATTTTCCAGTATGTTCTGTAAGAGCAAATGTTGTTGCAAATATCTAGTGAAGGAGTTTTGTCTTAAGACTGTCTTGGGCGAGAAATAAGTCCTCATTTGCGAACTTGATTGATATATAGGTTGTAGATGCAGTACAAGCAGTGAAGATGACTAATGCACGAGGGGAAGTCAAATACCCAATCAAGGTTGGTATTTGCACATTATTTTATTGGTCATGGAAATTCTTGTATGTGATCCTATAATGGGATGAAAACATGAAATATTTTCTGTTTGTATCGGAGCTTCATTTTCCCCATATTGAACCAACAATTTAATAGAATATACTCTGTTATTCTTCAAATGGAAAAGTTATAATACAATAGCTGATCTTCTCTTATTGCAGGGAATCAATATTTTGAAAGCTCATGGAAAAAGTGCGAGAGAGAGCTACTTGTTGAATGGGTATGCACTGAATACTGGCCGTGCAGCCCAAGGGATGCCACTCAGAGTTGCCCCTGCAAGGATTGCTTGTCTTGACTTTAACCTTCAGAAGACAAAAATGCAATTGGGTGTGCAAGTCTTAGTCGCTGATCCCAGGGAGCTTGAGAAAATTCGTCAAAGGTGATCAGATAACTAACCTTCATTTATTATATGGTCTTAAATTTTTTCACACACCACTGAAACATAGTACAATCGTCTGCAGCCATTGTTCATGTTATATATTTGCAAACTTATTTACTGATGATACTAATTTCTTCACAGAGAAGCTGATATGACAAAGGAACGTATTGAGAAACTTCTGAAAGCTGGCGCCAATGTTGTTTTGACAACAAAAGGAATTGATGACATGGCACTGAAGGCAATTTTTTTTATTTCGAAAAACTTTTTAGTTACGCTATTTTAATGTCTATGTTAATTTGGTATATAGCATTTTTAGTGTGCTTAGGGTAACTCTCTGCTTAGATTGTTGTACTTATGTGGTTTACTTCAATTTATTGTGTACCTTGTGAGAAATTAATTATGCTAACGTGTTTCTGTTATCTCACTAATTCTGGATTTATGTTGTTACTTCAGTACTTTGTGGAAGCTGGTGCTATTGCTGTTAGACGTGTTCGAAAAGAGGATATGCGCCACATTGCCAAGGCAACTGGTGCAACCATGGTATATTCCCTCTTCTTTTGTCATATTGTATATGAATCAAGGATTATAGTTTAATCTATATATGATGTAATTTTTCTGTTACTTTTTTCCAAACCTATAGATTTTAATTAAATTTTGGTGGAAAAGGACCAAGACTTTGCAGTTCCATTTAAAACAGTGAATAACTTAACATTTACCACAACGGTCTTTAGTTATCAGATTATGTTGCTAATTTTTATCTTCTCATTTTGTATATAGGTTTCAACATTTGCTGATATGGAAGGGGAAGAAACATTTGATTCCTCGTTTCTTGGATCTGCTGCTGAAGTGGTAGAGGAACGTGTTTCCGATGATGATGTGATTATGATAAAAGGGACTAAAACTACAAGTGCAGTGAGTGATTTACTTCCAATTGAAAGTTTTTTTAAAATATAATTGTATACACTGCTGAACTTCATGTTTTGTAAATGACCTTGCTTTTGGTAAAGGTGGAGTGTTTGATTTTGATACTTCTATTCTTTTCGTGGTGAGAGCTGACTAGCTTACTTCAATTCCACCTCACCACTTTTATCAACAGAATTAAAGCCAGTGATAAGCACATTTCCTGTGTACTTTAATCAATGCAAATCTAGAAGCAAAGTTTATCAAATTTGAAGTTCATTTAATATATCAAAACATAACTTTTTGTCATTGGTTATATTCATGTTTTCTGATTCTGCTACTATTATTGTTCTCAAGGTCTCATTGATACTTAGAGGAGCAAATGACTATATGCTTGATGAGATGGATAGAGCTCTACATGATGCTTTATGTATAGTCAAGAGGACCCTCGAGTCAAATACGGTAAACTTCCACCTTGTGGATTAGTTTCTTACTTTGTTTTTATGATTTTCCCATTGGTACATTCCTGTAAAATATGACCATCAAAATGTCAGATTATAGTTAAGAGAATATCTTCTGGTGTGTATCTTTAATATCAGGTCCTATGGAAATATATATTTACTCATTTTATGGTGTGAACATTGTAAGTTTATACCAACAAATCGCCAAAAATTCAATTATTTTTGTATGGCTCCAAAAATGGGCTTTGAATGCTGTATGCATGGTGCTGTTTCAAAGTTACATATAAAATAACATGAGGAATTGGGAGTTGTCATTCTAATTTATGTGTGCTCATGTTGTATAATACAGGTGGTAGCAGGTGGAGGCGCAGTTGAAGCTGCCTTGTCTGTGTATTTGGAGTACCTTGCTACAACCCTAGGATCCCGAGAACAGTTGGCAATCGCTGAGTTTGCTGAATCTTTATTAATTATACCAAAGGTCTTGTTTGTATTTAAAGGCTTGAATCATTAACATTTAATCCCACTGTGGCAATTATATTGTAGACACAAGTGACTTTTATCTGAACAGGTGCTTGCTGTAAATGCTGCCAAGGATGCAACTGAATTAGTTGCAAAACTACGGGCGTACCACCACACTGCACAAACTAAGGCTGATAAGAAACATTTATCAAGGTATTCTGATTTTGTGAAATATGGTTTGTTCTAGTCACACAGAGGCATGATCTTTCTTGATAAAGAACTATATAATTTAACTGTACTTTTATGTATCACTTTTTTGCATTGATACAGTTCTCTTTAGTTTCCTATCTGAATAAATAAATGTAACCATGATCAAAAGAGAAGCATTAGAAGAATATTTTCGGAATTACATCAATGACAATTTCACTCTTTTTATTGTGTATTTGAATTGGCTTTCTCAAACTGATGCAGCATGGGACTAGATCTTTCAAAGGGTGCCATCCGTAACAACTTGGAAGCAGGAGTTATTGAACCTGCAATGAGCAAAGTGAAGATTATTCAGGTAACAGTCATGACATTTACAGAAGCTGATCAATGTAAGTTTAAGTTTGGTTTCATATTAACTCACTAATTTTCGTTCCTAATTCATTTGCTTGACAGTTTGCAACTGAAGCAGCCATAACCATTCTTCGAATTGATGATATGATCCGGCTTGCCAAAGATGAAAGTCAAAACGAGGAGTAGATTAGAATCTTGACAGCAATCTTTTTGGGTATCTAGGAAGAGTAAGGGGGGTGGGTTGGAATTGAAGAGGGCTCTCTGGTTTACGTTGGCTCCTCAATTGAATTAAAACTGGAGACAGGATTTGTTATGTTTTGTAATGTTTGTTTGTTCACTTGATGAAGTATTTTGTGGCAGATTACACTGGGAAATTTTCAGTAAGGGAACTCGTAGAAGATGGTTTTGATATTGAGAGGGAACAGTTGGAGCCAGAAATCTTCATTAAATACTAGATTTTTATGAAGAAGCCCTTAGCTGAGAGTGCTGAAACTCCCAACATCAATATTAGTTGTTTTCGTTGTGTAAAAAATTATCTGGATGCTTTGATGCTTTTTGATGGACAAATGAAGGATTTCTAATCACTTTTTTATAGTATAGCAAACGTATGGGTTAGAGACTCCAGAACACCTGTTTTAGCTTCATGTTTTAAAAAAGAAAAAAAAAAAAAAAAAAGGAAACTACAATACCTACTTTTGTTTTGACGCCTTTGTGTGTCTGAGAATTAGATTGTGGTACTCTTTAGTCTTTACTTCGGATCAACCAATGAAACGGCAACATGTAGCATGTCACCGGTAAAAATGGGTCTGAACTCTGGGTCTGCACTAATGGTTGCCACTTTTATACGGTGATTCCACTGATTCGACATGATCCTAGCACATAATTGCTCTCCGTAAATCGTTACCCGTCCAAGTTAAATCGATTACTTAAACATTCTCATGAATCGTCATCCCGCTCAGAGTCTTCACTTCATAACGCAATCGCTTGTTGTAGCTCTTATTTCTCTCTGCGGTTGATTCAGTCCTTTCTTCTTATTCTCCGACTCACCGTTACTCATCTGGAATTACTTTGCGTTTATGTGGTTTTTAATCAAAATAAGAAATCCCTCTCATGCTTTTTTTTCCTTGGTTTTCCTGTCAACCAAACAGTATGTTATTTTCCAGGGTAAATTTTTAACTTTTATTTTTTATTTTTATGGATTAATTATTTCTGGCCCTGCTACCTTGTATAATTATTTTCGGTTGTTAATAGATAATAATTGCTTGACATATATAGACAATTTCAGTATTTTTAAAGATTATATTAAAAACTGCATAATCAACTATCCGTTGTAGTCTAGTTGGTTAGGATATTCGGCTCTCACCCGAAAGACCCGGGTTCGATTCCCGGCAACGGAATGTCTTTTTTATTTTTTTAACTTGTTAAAATTTTTCTTATAATTTTGTGAAATGTTGTCGTTTTAGTATTAAATTCATAATTTTATTTTTTCTTATAGTTAATAGTTTTGTGAAATAATGTTGTTTTAGTATTGTTTTGTTTTTGCTTAAAGAAAATGATGAAATGATTATGCTTGCCACGGCGCAGGGCTCTTGGGGCAAGGTGCATAGAAGAAAGGTCAGTTCCGGTTATTCTTTGTTCTAGGCCGGTTGTTTAGGTAAGTAGAACTGAGAATAGGACTTGTTAACTCGAGTTTAAATAGAACTATCGATAAGGGAAAGTGAGATTGTTAGTTATTTGAGAAGCGAGAGGAAGAGGTAGGACAGGACTCAAACCAATACACTCTACAATCCCCTCATTAAAAAGATCACTGAAAAGATCACTGAAGGAATGAAGGAAAGAAAATTGCGCAGTAGCAGAGGAAGGAGATGAGTAATATCACTGCTAAGCCGCAGTATTTTAAGCTGAATGAGAAAGAGAGTGAAGCGGTGCCACCAATTAATACACAAACCACTCCATTTTGAATTTCATGTGACCTATAATAATATGACACGTAGTAAGGAGTAATTTAAGCCGGTGTGCATCCAAAAATATGTTTGTCAAAAGAGCTGTCTCCAGTCCTTGACGCCATCCATGTGCTACGGGTGTCCACTTATTATATTCTCACGCAAGTTGGGCCCCACGACCCATGTCCACCGACAAGGCCCATTTATTACTGTACAGTCAGTTGACTTCTAACCATTACTTGTTATTATTTCCAAATTCCAACCCCACCCCAAATCATTAAATTCAATTCTGTCAAACCTTTTCATTAATGCTTATTGCTTTAATATTTTATTTATTTAATTACAATATTAGTTGATGTTGATTAACACATGTTATGGATTAACAGCTCTTTTTTTTTTTTTCTTTTTTTTAATTGGGCTCTTCCTTCAAATTTATTACTTGGATCATGAATTCATCGCAAACTATTGATAAGCACATGACTAACCACGTGCCATGTACTGCTTAGGGATCACCATATCCTGCCATCTCACGTGATACGAGATCTCTCCCACCAAGGCAAAGACCTCTCGAATTTTCTTTTTTTTTTCATTAGTTTTTTTAATTCCACTTTCATCTATTCTTTATTAATTTAATATTTTAGATAATATTTTTTAAAAAGTAAGAATTAAGTAATAATAATGAGGTAGAATTTAAAAATTAACAAAAACATCTTATAGGTTTGTTAATTTATTAAACATCCTTATAATAAAAACATTAAAAATTATAAAAACACTCTCATTCGTTTATTAAATACGGTAGTCGGTTACTACCGTCGGAGGGTAGCCAAAGTAATTGTATCGATGCACGATCGGTTTGATTTGGCCGGTCATATGTCGAGATGACATTTTCTAGCCAAATCTATTATAGATTTGGTAAAAAAAGATCAAATCTACAGCTAGATCTGGCCATTAACGACCAGATCTAGCAATGTTTAGTCATCAATAACTAGTTATGGTCAGATCTATGGTAGATTTGATCGAAAAAAGTTAGATCGGTGTATTACCGACTAGATTCATTTGGTAGTGTATAATTATACCAGATTTCGACTACCTTTTGGTGATGGTGACTAGAATCTAACAAATGTGGATAGATAAGGGTATTTTTGTAAATTTTTAATTTTTTAAAGATGTTTAGTTAAACTAACCCATTTAAAAGGTTTAAAAATAATTGAGTAAAATATAATAATATTTTTAAAATAAGAAAAAAAAATAATAAATAAATAAACTCACCCGAAAATATGATTAGACTTCTACCAAGAGAGAATGATAAGTTAATTGTAGGCGAAAGTAGAGAAAATGAAATTCCAGGCTGGCAGCACTAACACTTTTTTTGATGTGAAATCATACTCTTTAAAAAGGAACAAGGGATGAATCAATCAGAAGTTTAACGTACCGTACCTATAAAGGAAAGGCACACCGTACATTTAGTACTTTTTCACTCGGTTATCTCCTTCCATTTCCACCGCCAACTCTACTCACCGACCTCTGCTTCTAACACGTGCCCTTTTTCATTTATTATTTTCTTTCCTTCTTCTACTTCATACTTTTTATTTCTCCGTTCTTCATCTATTTCCTTTCATTAACAAAATATACAAACCCAATGCCAGCTATATCCAGTTGTCGGTAGTAACCTTATTTACTTTCTCTTTATCTCTTCAATTCAATCAATAACGTGGTGCGGCGGGACTTTGGCGCCAGGGACGTAACGGAAAACACCCAACCCAACCCAACCCAACCCCGTCCCGTCCCGTCCCTTTTCCCTTCTGGTGTCCTCGTGAGTTTCTTCAGTCTCCACGTGTCCACTCTTTTTGTTTGGATTAGTGAAGAGCGTAACTGGCTAAAGTCGGTAAACATAGAATAAGCATGGGTGTGAGTGCAAGTGAGTTGAAATAATGAAAAGCCTTAAGGAGGGGACAAAGAGAGTATTTCTCGTGAAAGGATAAGAGCCTTTTCAATAGTTACTCGGACTTTATTCATCCTACAATTTATCGGCTTTAATGGAAAGTCAAAATACTATCATTATTATATATTTTCTTTCACAGTTTTCACTGCTTCCGTTATAAAGTACATCTCCCGTCTGGAATGGATTCTTTGTTTACATCATAATTGATTAGTTTTTGAATTATAAAACCTCTATCTGTCTATCATTCAATACAATTAATTATTTCACTTCTTTAGTACAGTCTTAAATGCAAAAATAACATTAAAAAATAGGGAGAACGACGTTTTCCCACGCAAGGTTTGGTAAAACGATACTTTTCTACCCATCAAGTTTTAAAATGACACTTTTCCACTCCCCGTTAGATTTAGTTATGTTTTTCATTAATATTTGATTGAAAAGATAAAAATATCCTTAAATATTTTACTTTATAAAATTTTTATTATTTTTTAATTTACCAAAAAATCAAATATTAAAATTCAAAAAAGAAAAAATAGTTAATCCCATTTAAAAAGTTAGGAGTAATGCTATAAAATTGTTTAAAGTTAAAAAATCTTAATATTTATTTATAATGTCATCAATATTACATCACTATTATTTATAATATTTTTCATTTTTAATAATTAATATAAAAATCAATATTTTTAATTAATTAAATAAATACAAAAAAATTATTTTTATACTTAAACTAATAGATAATTGAATAAAGACTTTGAATTAATTAAATTTTAATTTATAATAAACTATTTAAGAGTATTTTCGGTCAAATGTTAATATAAAACACTAACAAAATCTTATGAAGGATGTAAAAGTGTCATTTTAAAACTTAATAGATGGAAAAGTATCGTTTTATCAAACCTTAGAGAGTAAAATGCCGTTCTCCCTAAAAAATATTATAATTAAAAGATATACGAGTATTATAATGGGCATGGAGAAAGACTTATAAAAATGATACTAGAGTTACAGTAGCTGCTGCATGTGGAGCCATTTGTTTATAAATGCATGAAGTCATCCATGTACTTGGCCATAATAATTTAATTTTTGAAAAAAAAATTGTGTAATTTCAAAATCGATTTGTAGTGTATATATCCAGTTGTGGAGATGAAGAGAGAGAAATAAGCAAGTAAGAAAAGAGTGTGTCTCTCACTACTGCATGGTCACAGGTCACTCCCTGCACGTTCCTCTGCCCCCTCTGCCATCAATATATCAATCCCCACCTTAATCATTAACACCCCCCTCCATCTCTCTCTCTCTCTCTCCCCCTAACTCTCTACTCAACTACTCGGAGAGCTGAGCTGAGACTTGAGAGAGCTACTCACAATAAAATCTCCACAGGTGTAACCCTTTCCGACAGTCAACTATGGATATGTACGGATTCTCTACTACTACTACTCAAGATCTATTTCGCATTGACGACCTTCTTGATTTCTCTAACGAGGAAATCTTCTCCGCTTCTTCCTCTTCTACCACCGCCGCAACTCACTCAAACACCACCACCACTACCACCGACACCAACCATATCCTTCCTTCTCAAAACCTCTCTATCCACTCTTTTAATCCGTCCCTTTCTACTGACTTCACCGACGACCTCTGTGTCCCTGTATGTTCTTTTAATCCTCTCATTTCATTTTTGGGTTTTAATTTTTGTATGTATGTTGTTTTTAATTTACTGTTTTGAAATTTTTAGAGTGATGACGTGGCTGAGTTGGAATGGTTATCACGATTCGTAGACGATTCCTTCACCGACTTCCCTAAAAACTCGATTACCGGAACACTAACCGGCCGATCAGACACGTCATTGTCAGGTAGAGGACGAGGCAAACGCTCAAAAGCGACAAATTCAACTACCTCTAACACAACTACGTGGACCTGGACATCTGAAACTGGAAATTCGAAACCAAAAAGAGAGAGTCACCGCCAATCGTCGCCGACTCCTGACGGAGGTGTGAGGAGGTGTACGCACTGTCAGTCGGAGAAGACGCCTCAGTGGCGAACGGGTCCACTGGGCCCCAAGACGCTCTGTAATGCGTGTGGTGTACGCTACAAGTCGGGTAGACTTGTGCCGGAGTATCGGCCGGCGGCAAGCCCGACATTTGTGCTAACTCAGCACTCCAACTCACACCGTAAGGTATTGGAGCTTCGGAGGCAGAAGGAGATGTTGAGGCAGCAGCAGCAACAGCAAGGGCAGTCACCGTCACAAATGTATCGTCACCAGCGTGACTTTGAAGTATGCTGAGGTGTCATAATCGGAGTGTTTTCTGAAAATTGATCATGTAGAACGGGAAAAATACTGTTCCGGTGATATTATAAAAAATCTCAAAATTGTTGGTTTTATTGGTTATTTAAAAATTTGTCTCAATCGAGAAAAAAAGGTTACGGTTTAAAAGTTTCAACTACCTATTGCGCCCTTTGTTTAGCACTTTGTCGAAGGTTAGAGAGAGAAATGATGAAAGTGTGACCTTCCACGTGATCAAGCTGACCGAATATTCTTTATCTTAAACTCACTCTTAATGCCTTTACCCTTCTCACTTCACATGAAAACCGAGGGAAGGCTACCCAGAAGCGTTTATTTAGTGTGAACTAGTAAATTAAAGAAACACTTATTATTATCAGCGGTAGGATCAGATCAGACGGTTGTAATTAACCTGTGAATGAAGTAAGGAAGAGTTGAGGGAGAAATTGATGATCACGTGATGCTGATCAGAACATAGGTAATATTTTTTATGGATGAAGCATGTGATTAAGATTGATACCCTTTCAGCCCACAGATTCCCGCAGAAGAACCAGCAATCTGATATTAAAACACTAATAAAATACTAAGAGACAGTGTAGTGTTGGCTTTAGCTACATCATATGTCCATAACCCTGCCAGTATTCCACATGAAAACATTTATCTAGGCTGATTTTGATATCATGACAAGCTAACATTGGGATTTTCCTTTTTATGAACAACAAAAAAAAAAAAAAAACAAAGGGAAAAACCCCAAACTCTTAATTTAATTACCACTCGACCTTTCCTGTAGAATTCGCTGCCGCAATGTTTCATTGTCAAACTACCACACGTAATCATAAACAAATCAAAAGCTAACTCAAATCAAGCGATTGCTTTGGCTAAAGTCACCGAGGAGTTCATTCCCCTTTTTAAACATTACATGGCTTTTTATACATGAAATTATGCAAATTCATGCACATCTGCCTCCAGCAAATCTACCTTAAAAACTTTAATTTTCGGCAGAGCAGTTTATTTTAGATGTTAAAGCCCCCGTACAGAAGAAAAAACTGAAATACAAGAAAAGTTCTTCCAAGTTTCCACAGAATCCCCCAGGACATAATTCGGTTTGTACACGCCGTCATCACTCAGTGTCAACCAAATTTCAAAATTGAATTTCTATAAGGAAGCATCTCTACATATTAGAGATGGTATATCTGACTTTAATATTCATGTAACAATAAGAATATGGACGTGAGAATTCTCAGACAGAGATTCCATAATTACTGATTTTTGAAACCTCCTTCGTTAAAGCATTCCTTTCTCGCTTTGCCTCTGAAGCAAGGTTGGAAACCTGCCAAGCAGAATCTCAAATAATCAAATGTACTTGCCAACAAAAAGAAATATGAATACACAAGGCCAACATGTTTCCAGTGTGGCACTATTATAGGAGAAAGCATCAGAAGGCAATTCATCTGAACAAATAATGTGTTCATTGTAGTTAATTACTACAAGGGAAACAGTTGTTTAACTCGAGCATGGTGCAGTGTACTGTTATTAATATTACAGTGTACTTCTATTATGCTCTTTATGAAGATCACCAATTTGCATCTAAAATTATTTGTTTGAGGGTTTTATATCCCTGCAGCATATATACATCATGTTCTTGGCACAATATACCTTTTTCACAATCAAATCAACTATGAGATGAAACACTCTCAACTAAGAGATGAAACACCAAACAATGAACATAAATGATTACAAGTTCAGCATTAAGAATGTGCACTAATCTTTCCCAATTGAATTTTATGAAAACAAGACACATAACCATCAGAAATCATGGCTGCCACATAAAATTGAAGAGCACTAACTCCTTGTGTTAATATAAGAAAACTTACATGTGACCGAAATCTAGATGCTTCTCTTCTAGGGAGTTCTCCAAGAATATCTTTCAAGCCTGACACAACAGAAACAACTTCAAGTCAACATAAGCATCATTTCTTTATCTCTGAAGGTTTTAACAGTTATTCCATACCTGCTGCTTGTCTTTCAATTTTATAAGCTGAACGAATCACACCTTGGATCTGCTTGCCTGCTTGCCTGAACAAGATAAAAAATATCTGAATATGAAGATTCAGGTGCAGGAAAAATATGACTATAAGGCTACCCTTCATCTAAAATCATGTACCTGAGTTTTGTCCTTCCACGAATAAACTCATCTTCTGCTACTGATGCTACCCTCTGATACCAAAATGGAAAATCATGAATTGCATACAAGAAATGCCTGGTTGGGACTAAATGAACAATTATTTGATGTAAGAGCAGCCAATGTTTAAGTTATCTATTAGGATCCTACATTGAGAGGAAAAAGGAGTGGACATGTGGTTTATAAAGGCTTGGGCACCCTCCCTTGGCAAGCCGGTTTTCCAAGGAGAGTTCCACCCAAGCCTATAAAGGACCACTGCCCAGCCCAATTCCTATCAAAGGCTCACTACCTAGCCAAATTCCTATTAATTTGGGAGGGGGATAAAATGGATCAGAGCAGGCCCCACCTTTTGAGCCCATGCAGCAAAGCCCACCGAGGGGTCAAGAAAGAGAGTCGTTGACATGCTTCTAGGGAAAGTAAGACCCAAAGAGAGGGCAGTAAAGGCTGATGAGGGCGGGGTAGATGATGAGGGCGGTCGCTCTTTGGAAAGAAGACCAATGAGGGCGTTGGGTCTTGAAGCATGGGGGAATGTTAGGATCCCACATTAGGAGGGAAAAGGAGTGAGCATGTGGTTTATAAGGGCTTGGGCACCCTCCTTTGGAAAGCCGTTTTTTCAAGGAAAGTTCTACCCAAGCCTATAAAGGACCACCACCGAACCCAATTCCTATCAAAGGCCCACTACCCAACCCAATTCCTATCAATTTGGGAGTGGGTTCCTATCATTATCATATTGATTTGTTAGGCAATATACTAGCTTTAAGAATAAAAGCTTAATGCTCTTTCCAAGGGATCAAAGTTCCCAGAAATCCATATATATTTTCACAGAGGATGCTATAATCATATTTTAGTACATTGAGTTTTGCAGCTTGCTCTTGCTGAACTGAACTGACCAAGAAAACAATAAACTATAGCTCATGAAGGAAACTAGTCAACTAGGGACAGAGTTACCTTGTTCACATCACAACAAATTCCATTGTTTTTAAAATAAGATACTACATCAAACATTGTCGACTCAAATATTCCAGAAACAGTAACAGACTCCCTTCACACACAAACACATGGGATAAGTCAATGCATGAATCAACATAAAATCATTCATTTGCTATCAGCTCAAGAATAATTGTGGTAAGAAACAACGGAAAATCCATTTGTTCTACAATATGATAGATAAGGGAAAGGTCACCTCCAACTTCTCACTTTCAGCCTTCAGGCGGTCAATTGATTGTCGCAATTCCTTTACTTTAGCATCAGCCCTTGAAGTCAAGGTCTGCAACCAGAAACATTTTGTAATGGTTTTTAACATTTAATCTTAGTATCATGCTTGAATTATCAGGAAAATAATAATCGCTACATAACAATATGATACACCCATACAGGAAGAAAATCATCATACAAAGTGATAAAAATGCAAAAAAAAAAAGGATTCCATGTTTAGTTAAGGCAGTCAATAAATAGTGCAAAAGATTAAAACGATCAGTACAAAATTGCTTAACAGATTTTCCAAGCCTAATTTTCCATATACATCTATCGTCTGTACAGGGCATAATTGACAATTTGCAGGAAGCAGAACAAAGAAAGACATTTCTTCTCAAGGAAATTTATTATAAGCAACGGGAAGGTTCCAAGGCTGTGAACCAAACTACTCATGGTAAAATTTCTTTAGGTTTTACAAGACATATCATGCATAATATTTGCATGCAGGCACCACAATTTAGTTTCACTTCTTCCAATACATATCTAGCCAGAGTAACACTAGTCTTACAAAAAGGCATACAAAGAGTCATACAAAAAGACAATCTCTGCCCTTAAAAGAAGAGAAAAAGAGAGAGAGAGAGAGAGAGAGAGAGAGAGAGGCAATCATGAATTTTAAGGGTAGGGATTGTCTCTTTGTATGACTCTTTGTATGCCTACTTGGAATGCTAGTGTTACTCATCTAGCCAAGGCAATAGAGCTAGATATGCTCTTCCTTATAGGAGTAAGTTTAGACTTCTGTGAAAGTGGGAAAGACACCTCCAAGTTCTGAACAAGCATATTACATCCCGGCAACCATATGAAGAATTGCAAAGATCGTTGACCTAATTCCTAAATGACCGAAAATTGGTAAAGAAACTTTGCCTGCAGCTTGAAATCCCAATTTCATATTCCTGAAGTGCAACTTTCAAAAAAGTAAGCAACAATTTTACCTACTTTAAACAATCACTGACTTCCAATTTAAAGTAGTCCTTAAATAGCATTCCACTTTGATTTTCTGAACACACAAAACTGAAATTTAATTATCAAATTGACGGACAGCTATTATGGTGCAGACAAGTTGAAGGAAACTATAAGCCTAATGGTGTCTCCTGTCCTAGCAAGAATGGGAAGGGAGAGGTCATGGTTCAATCCTCCGCCTGGAAGCATAAGTATTATTTGCAAAGCATTAACTCGAGGTATTTGGCTCACCTCTTCACTCATCAAAAGACGCTGGGCATTGTAATACAAGAAACGTCTTGGCCCTGCATGTTATGACTGAATTACATAAAGGCAACCATAAAAATTCATTAACTCAAAACATAGCAAAAATATTATAATGTAAAGAAAATGGCTTATATGAATATTTTTACGCATTTGAAGTCTTTACAAGTAATGGCCTGGAATCACTAATTTGAAAGCCATTTAAAAACTCATAAACCATAGATCAATATGACTGAAGTGCATTAACCAACTTAACTGGTTGTGAACTTTACACACAACCATACGATAGACATAAAAAGAGGTAAATATAGGTATCTAGGACATACTCTTCAATACTACAGATCCTAAACCAATGGCAACTCCGCTCGTAATCAATGGATGAGAAGCAGCAACATCAATACCCTCTGCAACAACAAATTTAATACTTAATCAATTTTTATAAAAAAAAATAAACGGTGAAACTAAAACAATCAATCACCTTAGTAACACGGCAGGTAATACGGACCTTTAACCTTTCCAAAGAGGATGCTCTCGTAAACAGCATACTCGGATTTAAGATCTTGAAGAGAGTCCTACACTCAAGAATCAGATTAAAGCTACATTTAATCTCTTGAAACATTACATATTGAGACTTTAACTCAATTCCAGATAGCAAATTGAATTCCAGATTATAACAAACTGCAATGCAGCTTTTTTGGCGTAAAATAAACAATAAATTCAACATTAAATTTTCAATGCAGCTTTTTCAACAATCCTCCCTTTTAAATTTCTAATATAAACGTAAAAATTTCAAATATTGTCCCTTCATCCACAATTCGAAACCCTAAAAATAGAATTTATCTTTTTCTTTCGCATTCACTTACTAAGGAACCAAATAAGAGAAGTTCTAGAAGTTTACAATGGTTTGATGAAAATGGGCAGAAGCAGTGAGACGAATTTGAGAAAGGCGAGATCTGGAGGTTTGAATCGCAGAGTCGACCGACTCTTCAAGGGTCTTCTGGTAAATCATAAATTGCTGCACTGCGTACTCGATCCATGGAGTGGCGTCTTCTCGGATTTTCGATTTTACAACAATATCACTAGGTGGGGCTAAGTTTGGATTCTCTCCTTGTGATGATTCTGCTACGGTTGCCATTCCAACGGGTTTTATTCAATAAATTCAGAGAAGCTTTCCGGCTCACAAAAACAATGCACTTATTTTCTCTTTTAATACAAATACGTGACAGTCAGTCACCATTTTTCTGGGCTTTTTTGATGATCCGACCCGACCTGTGGTAGTAAGTGGGTATTAATATTTATTTAACGTGATAAGATAAACCCAAAATTAAATTAATTAAATAGTTATTCAGATTTAATCTACTTGTTTTAACACTAGTTATTCTAAGATAAAAATATAAGATTAGGTGTTTTAATAATATTATATAAAAGGTACCAACTACAAAATCTGTAAATAGGAGTTTAATGTATACAGTACTCATTTAATTAAAGATCTTATATGACTAATATTTTTTTGTTTTTTAGTCAAATTTAAGTAATGAGATTAAAATAAATAGGAATGATTTTAATATTATGTTAGATAAATATTTTAAAATTTGAATTTTAAAAATCAAGAAAGTTAAATAATCTAATATTATTGAAAGTAAAAAAAAGAAAAATATTACCGTTACAGTCACCGCTTACACCTGTCTATAAATTTGACCCATCGTGCCATTTATCCCCCATTTTCAGCGATCAGAGAGATTACCGAAGTAAGAGTCTTAAGTGTTTCGACGATTCTCAGTCTTGGCAACCTCAAGTCCAAGATCTTCCGCCATTGCCAAATTTTCGACCCCTCAGTTACCATGCTTGGCCTTTCCTCTATGATTCCAAGCCAGATTCGGTTCTTGCTCCAAAGCTTGACCGAAGCAAACGCCGATTCTGTTTTGCGAGAGCTCTGTCAGGTGCCCTGCTAAAACCCTAATTTTCATGTTTCATTGATTGTAAATATGTTTATTGCTTTTTAAACCCTGATTTTTACCAAGAATCTAATTTGGTTGTTTGTAAAAAAGAAATGATTTTTTTTTTTTAATCTTCGAACTTAATATTGTGTTAGTACTGTGTTAGTATTGAGACAGTGTGTAGTTGTAGTTTCGAGTCCTGAGTAAATCTAGCGAGTAAGCATAGATGAACACCGAGATAAATTCCTTGAGATAAAGTTACCAAGGATAAACCAAATTGGTGTGTTATGTTGTTTTTTTTTTTTTAATACTTTTTTCTTTTTTTTTCGTTTTTTATTTATAAATTTTATAAGCAAAATAAAATTTAGCTAGATTTACGAGAATAGTTACCTGGTCCGCAGTAGAGAAACAGAAACCCTAAACAATATACTTCAACGTGTGGTGGATAAGTTTGGTTGGAAGGATATGTGATGAATTATTCCAGAATCAGAAAGAAACAGCATATTTCTAGCATAAGTTTGATATTCACCGAAGTTGGATTCTTAAGAAATCTGACCGATGAATTCAATTTGTTTGTGGCGTTATTTAGTAATTTTAAATTGGAAGAGTGGACACTTTGATATAACCAATTTGATGAATTTTGAAGATATAATTCCTGTTATAGGGAATATAAAGTTATGAAACTTATTTATGTTAGACAAATTTGTTGCTCTATGTATATATCAGCTAACAAGGAGTTGTCTGTAAGAAATTATTGTTAAGTACTACCTATGAAAACAACTTATGAATTGTGATATTTAATCAGTGGGGAATTACATTCTTGTAGTGAGCTAAATAATAGATTTGGATGGCGACATCCTTTGTCTTACAGATTTTATGCATCTGACTGGGTTAATGTAATTTTTTTTTTGGCCTTCGGCTTGGCAGTTTATTGAATATGGAATTGGGGAAGGCATTATCATGCTTCAAACTTGCTTGGATCACTTGAATCTTCGTGGAACTGACTCAAGGAATCCGCAGCTTGAATCAATTGTAGCATCAGTTTTTAAATACATCATGGATAAACCAAATTTTGGTACCGTATTTAGTGAGTCACTAAGGAGTACTGAGATCAATGAGCAACTGCTGGAGCATTTATCCAATGTGCTACATTTATCTGTATCTGAAAGGATTGGGATTGGTTTCGCCTTGTCTGATTTAGAAAATATTGATGTAATATTGTGTGGTAAGTTGCAGGTTTTAGTTGTATCATTGATGAGTAGATGTACTCATGCTTGATTTACTTCTGCCAATACAGTTTTCTTTGACTTTCAGTTTGATAGAAATTAACAGTTTGCTGCTTTCTAGGGAAGAACTTTTGTATGGCTCAGATTGAGAAGCTATGTGCCAATCCTGTTCCTGTGAATTCAGCTGAGCAAATTCAGAATATTGTTATGTTTCTTCAGCGGTCAAGTGACCTTTCCAAGCATCTTGATTCTCTTATGCAGATGTTGTCTTTAGTGCAATTCAAAGACCTTACCGAATTTGCCTTAACTCCAGTGCTTCCTGATGATCTGCGTGAGGCTAAGTATTTAAGGTGCCGGTCCTTTTAGTTGTTTTTCAACCTTAAATGGCTTTGATTTGATGATATTCTGTCAAGCCAGCTGTGTATTACTTGAGAGACATAAGCTGCTTAATTAGCTTTTTTTTTTTTTTTTTTTTTTCTTTTGCTGCAGAGAAATGGATTTGTTCCATGAATGCATGGATAATGATTTTGATGATATTTTAGCGGAAATGGAAAAGGAAATGAGCATGGGAGATGTTATGAAGGAACTAGGTTATGGATGTACAGTTGATGACACACAGTGCAAAGAGATTCTCTCTCTTTTCTTACCGTTGACTGAGATTAACCTTTCTAGGATACTTGGTACAATTGCTCACACCCATGCTGGGCTGGAAGACAACCATAATGCATTTTCAACATTTGGCCTGGCCCTTGGTTGTGGCACTCATTCTGATTTGCCACCATTAAGCTCTTGGAATGTTGATGTCCTTGTGAAAACGATCAAGCAACTTGTGTGTACTTCTGTTTTTCTCTTTGAATGTGACTTTTTCAACTTTTTGTGACGATTACTGCTTGATTCCTAAATATTTATGCTGAATACAGGCTCCTAGCACCAACTGGACTCAAGTTATTGAGAACTTGGATTATGAGGGTTTCTACATCCCCAATGAGGAGGCCTTCTCTTTTTTCATGTCTGTATATAAATATGCATGCCAGGTATATTTTGGTAACATGCATAACAATGTGTGCATGCCAATATATAATTATTTACATGTGAATTTATGTACCTTGCACGTTTGTTCTGATATTTAAAACTGAATGCAGGATCCATTCCCTCTTCATGCCATTTGTGGGGGTGTTTGGAAGAATGCTGAGGGCCAGTTATCTTTTCTTAAATATGCTGTAACAGCGACACCAGAAATATTTACCTTTGGCCATTCTGCAAGGCAGCTGGTATGATATTATGTAGATCCACTTATTGCTACATTCCGTATGTGATTGGTCTGATTTTAATGGTTAACCAACTACTCTTGCAGACTTATTTTGATGAGGTGCATGGCCATAAGCTTCAACTTGGACATGCAAATCATGCTTGGTTGTGTCTTGACCTTCTAGATGTGCTTTGCCAACTAGCTGAGAGGGGTTATGCCAGCTTTGTCCAATCAATGCTTGAGTACCCTCTCAAAAACTGCCCTGAAGTCTTGCTTCTTGGAATGGCACACGTTAATGTATGCTTTTTATATCTAATTTATGTGGTAATATTTGATGTTATGTTAATGGATAAATGTTCTTTTTGTTTGATAAACTTTTTATTTGTTTTTGCAGACTACTTATAATCTCATCCAGTATGAAGTATCTTTCACTGTTTTCCCGATGTTAATAAAAAATACCATGTGCAGTGGTATGATTCTTCACCTCTGGCATGTGAATCCCAATCTTGTATTGCGAGGATTCATAGATACTCACAACACGGAACCTGACAGCTTGATTAGAATATTAGACATATGTCAGGAACTGAAGGTAAGTTAGGGTGATTTAAGAACATGTCATTGATTATTGAACCCGGTTGTGTGTTGTATGGTTTGAGGTAATGTGCCCATTTGTGGGTCATTGCACTAGCAATTGTTTCTTTCCCATTAATTGGCTCTCCTTGTCATCTTAGTTATTTATTGCTAGGAAAGAAATGGTCTGTTCTCTCATTAGGTACCCATTGTTTATGCAGCTATAGCACTTTCATATGTTAACCCAGTCATATTTCATTTTATTCAGATCCTATCATCAGTTCTAGAGATGGTCCCTTCTCTTTCCGCTATCAGATTGGCAGTTCTTGCTGCACAAAAAGAACTTGTAGACCTTGAGAAGTGGCTGAGTGGTAACTTAAGTACATACAAGGATTTCTTCTTTGAGGTAATTCCGGTTGTCCTCAGATGCCAAGATATGGCCTGTTGGTGGTCTTGGACTCCCATTAAATATGAATTATAGTCGTAAATAATTATATAGAAAAAAAGGCTGACTGCATTTTGCAAACATCAGGAGTGCCTGAAGTTTGTCAAGGAGATTCAGTTTGGTAGATCACAGGATTTTTCTGCCAAACCTTTCCTTCATTCTGGTGCTCTATTGAATCTTTACATGGAAAAGATCACTACTATTATGAAGGTAATACTTACAAAATTGAGTTTTTCTCATTTCTAGATGCAATTCCTTTTTTCAATGATTTTCTATTGTTACCTTTATGCTCATTTATGTAGGTTTTGAAATCGCATACTGGCTTGATTACTTCAGCCAAACTCCTTGATGAACTGGAAAAGTTGCATGCAACAATCTTGGATTCTAATCCAAAACTACAGAATGGTGGAGCTTCAGAATCATCGGCGACTGATGGATACGCAGATGATATTGAGGCAGAAGCAAACTCTTACTTTCATCAGATGTTCTCAGGTCACTTGACTATTGAAGCAATGGTTCAAATGCTTGCACGATTCAAGGATTCTTCAGTGAAAAGGTGTGGTACTTTTCCTGTCTGGTTGCTCTTACACTGGACTTTTCATTTATTATTTTATTGTCTTCTACCTTCTTAAATTATGGAAATATTGTCATGATGGGGCAGAAGGATGGAAGAGGGCATTCATATAGTTGATGACAACTATTAAGTTTGGGGTTGAAGCTTGGTTGTATTGGCTTTGTGAGTTTACAACCGTTGTGCTTTGGAAGACAACTTCTTGTTCTTATACATACATTGAGCCTTAGAAATCCTTATAAGATTAATTCACTCATGATGATATGGAGGATGATGTAAAACTGAAATTTGATTTGTCAAACATCATAATATGGTGTTAAATTTTTATTTTTATTTTCTCAATTTTCCATTATGGTCCTCTAATATGACTACTGAGAAGAAAGTTTTTCAAATGTTTTGACATTTATATGGATGCACTTCTAAAAGCATCTTTTGTGTGTCTGCAATTTTGTTGTTGTTACGATGCAGTAATTGCTTAACTAGACGTGGATCATTGGGTTAATGTTTGCTCACACCATATATAATTTTTTTCCAAATGTTCATTTTTATTGATTGATGCTATGAATTGACAGGGAACACTCAATTTATGAGTGCATGATTGCAAACCTGTTTGAGGAATACAGATTCTTTCCAAAGTATCCTGACAGGCAGCTCAGAATTGCTGCCGTTCTCTTTGGTGAGTTTCATAACCAAATATGTGTTACTACCCTGGCTTGTATTTATACCTTTTTTGTTTGATTCTGTTCTTCAATAGCCAAAACCATAGTTTAGGAGCTTGAATTTTAATCTATTGTCTCTTTGCTCAGGTATGTTAAGCACTGTTGTTAATTTTTGTCATAATAAGCCTTGCACATATTTCCTTGCTTAGTAGATGATCCTGTTGGCATAAAGAAAGGAAGAATCCTTGTTTTATGATTCACTCTGTTTGGTACTCTGGAATAGAGATATATGGTTAATGTGCATGAGCTGAACATTTACTGTTTACCCATTGGAAGTTATGTGGTCAACTTGATAGTCATAGTTGTAGTGCTTGACTAGATACTCGTTACAAATAATTGAGATCAGACTTTCATTTCATGTTTTGTTTTGTAATGCTCTTCTTCATTTCATGTCTTGTTTTGTAATGCTCTTTACGTTGTGTGATTATGTGAATTGTTTGAACTTGTATCTATCACCTGAATCACTGCCTATTCATTATTTTGTTTGTATATTAGTTACAGCAATGTATCTTTAACTTGATTTTGCTTTCATTTTGTCTTATTAATCATTGCTCTAACCAAATTTCAGGGTCCATCATCAAGCATCAGCTTGTAACTCATCTCACCCTTGGGATTGCCCTGCGTGGTGTTTTAGATGCATTGCGTAAACCTGCTGATTCGAAAGTGTGTATCTTCTTCTTCTTGAAATTTCTGTTATAGGTTTTCCATGTGTACTGCTGATGGCCTCTCTGTATGCAGATGTTTGTGTTTGGTACAAAAGCATTGGAGCAGTTTGTGGATCGTCTGATTGAGTGGCCACAGTATTGCAACCATATTTTACAAATATCTCACCTGCGTAGTACACACTCAGAGCTTGTTGCTTTCATTGAAAGGGCTCTTGCCAGGATTTCAGCTGGGCATTTGGAACCAGATGGAACCAATAGTGCTTCAACTGTTCATCAGCTTGGTTCTTCTCAGGCTACCTCAGGAAATGGGGAGGTACATGGTGATAGTTTTATGGAAACACTATTAGTAAGGAAATGAAAGTAGCTGCTATTGTCAGTGTGACTTTGCTGAAAATTAATTTCTATTCCTTGTCCTTTTGATTCCCATATCTGTCTATATGAATATTGTTTGTGATGTACTTGGACCTTAATTTTTGTGCAGTCCATAATAATGCTAACTTCATGGGCATAATTGTTGTTATCCTCCACCTCCACCTCCACATTCCCCTACCCATCATGCACGTGCTAGAAGACCACCACTACTGGTGTCTTTATCACTGCTTTTGCATTTTCTTTGACCATGCTCTTACATTTAACTGCAAGTGTACCAAAGTTGCAGTGTGCTATCATGATTCAGACCACCACCTCATTGCATCCAGATGTCTTTTTACCATCCTAGAATGATATCAAGAAAATGGCTGATGTTGAATGTGTAGGAATTAGTATATGGTGACCTGTTTCTAATATGAATGACTTGGTTTTGATTTTGGTGGAGACTAGACCACAGTTTTTGAATTAATGGCATAAATATCATGTATATTTTGTAGCTAAAGCAGTGCCTATTTTTGCATTTTGAGCCGTTTTTTTTGTTATTACTGACTATCGTATTTTTTCAGGTTAATAGTTCTACCATTGCACAATCTGGGCCGCAACATTCTTCTCAGATCCAGCTTCAAGCGAGAAATGAAAGTTCTCTTGATGAGCGTCATAAAATTTCTGCACCCTCATCAAATGATGTAAAACCACTTCTATCTTCCACTGGACAACCTTCAGTTGTTCCATTGGGTGATAATTCTAGTGTTCAGAAGGTATCCTTGGTGACCAGTGCACTTATTTATCAGTTGAAATGCCTTTTTACATTGATGTGATCGAAGTTATTTGTAAAACTGCAGTTGCAAAACACAATCAGTGCTCCAGCAATGCTTTCAGCCTCTCCTGGTTTTGTTCGTCCTTCCCGAGGAGTTACATCAACCAGTAATTATCTGTAACTTGCATTTCAAGCATGTAATTTTTTTTGTGTATAATTTTTTTCAACCTTGGTTATTGTATTCTATTACAGAATTTGGCTCTGCTTTGAACATTGAAACACTAGTTGCTGCTGCTGAGAGAAGAGAGACTCCCATTGAGGTAATTTACTATATTTTAACCGTCTTTCTTAAAACATTGGACTGGACTATGTGTCCGTATGTGATGAAGAGTGAATTTTAAATGTTTTGCTCCCCTTATCATGTTAGTTTATATTTTCGATCAGCTTAATTAAATTCTACTATGGTTGTCACAAAACTGTGTTAGTTTTGCTGCCATGTTGGCATGACATGGATACAAACTTTTAGCATGATTGTTGGAAATGCTTTTGTTATGAAAATTGGATGAGGGAATTAATGTGAGCTCAGTTGAGTTTTCATGGATCTCCTTTTGGTGCCGATCTGCTGGTATACAAGTTCTACAAGTTGTATCAATCATCTTTATCATGATGTTGGTGGTTGCCTGTGCCTTTAGTACTGATTAAGATATTGTATATCTTCATTTTTACTTCCGTTCTAGTTTGATAAGGTTAAATTTGTAGTGCCGGTAGGTTTATATTATATATTGTTTACAGGCTCCAGCATCAGAGGCTCAGGACAAGATATCATTTATAATCAATAATATTTCTGCTCTGAATATTGAGGCCAAAGCTAGAGAATTCACTGAAATATTGAAGGAGCAGTACTATCCATGGTTTGCGCAGTATATGGTTATGAAAAGGTCAGAAATGCTAAGAATATCTATTTGATTATTCTTTATATTTGTTTGTGTATTATGTATCGTATGTTGTATTTTACAAATAGTTTATTAATGATGANAGAGTGAATTTTAAATGTTTTGCTCCCCTTATCATGTTAGTTTATATTTTCGATCAGCTTAATTAAATTCTACTATGGTTGTCACGAAACTGTGTTAGTTTTGCTGCCATGTTGGCATGACATGGATACAAACTTTTAGCATGATTGTTCGAAATGCTTTTTTATGAAAATTGGATGAGGGAATTAATGTGAGCTCAGTTGAGTTTTCATGGATCTCCTTTTGGTGCCGATCTGCTGGTATACAAGTTCTACAAGTTGTATCAATCATCTTTATCATGATGTTGGTGGTTGCCTGTGCCTTTAGTACTGATTAAGATATTGTATATCTTCATTTTTACTTCCGTTCTAGTTTGATAAGGTTAAATTTGTAGTGCCGGTAGGTTAATATTATATATTGTTTACAGGCTCCAGCATCAGAGGCTCAGGACAAGATATCATTTATAATCAATAATATTTCTGCTCTGAATATTGAGGCCAAAGCTAGAGAATTCACTGAAATATTGAAGGAGCAGTACTATCCATGGTTTGCGCAGTATATGGTTATGAAAAGGTCAGAAATGCTAAGAATATCTATTGATTATTCTTTATATTTGTTTGTGTATTATGTATCGTATGTTGTATTTTACAAATAGTTTATTAATGATGAAATTCAACTTTCAACAGAGCAAGCATTGAACCGAATTTTCACGATTTGTACTTAAAGTTTCTGGATAAAGTTAATTCAAAGGCTTTGAACAAAGAGATTGTCCAGGCCACATATGAGAACTGCAAGGTTTATATTACCTTATTCATGCAGTTGATATGTTTACAAAAACAAGGAAACAAAAATAACAGGTTGCATTTAAATATTCTTTTAGGTTCTATTAGGATCAGAGCTTATAAAATCAAGTTCAGAAGAGCGTTCGTTGCTTAAAAATTTGGGTAGCTGGCTTGGGAAGTTAACAATCGGAAGAAACCAAGTTTTAAGGGCTCGTGAAATAGACCCTAAATCACTGATTATAGAGGTACTTGAGTCTACAATATCTTTGAATTTGATTAATCATTGTTATATCCTTTATTCATATTTATGAGGCTTTTTTTAACAAAAGTCTCACATTTCATGGACCATCAACCTTTTCGTTCCTGTTGACAGGCTTATGAGAAGGGATTGATGATTGCAGTCATTCCGTTTACCTCCAAGGTTATAATCTTACTTATGATTGTTTTGCATGATCTGGCTTAAGTATTGTGAATTTTAATTTCTAATTACTTGCTGCAGGTTCTTGAACCATGCCAAAGTAGTCTAGCATATCAACCTCCAAATCCCTGGACTATGGGCATTCTTGGATTACTTGCTGAGATCTAATCGATGCCAAACCTGAAAATGAACCTCAAGTTTGACATAGAGGTGTGTACATATAATATGCCCATACTCAGACCTTATATTTGTCTTATACATTTACAAAATCAGTGACATATGGAGTTACGCATTTAGATATTCTTTTTATTGTATTTCATTTCAGGTTCTATTTAAGAACCTTGGTGTGGATATGAAAGACATAACACCAACGTCTCTTCTCAAGGAGCGGAAAAGAGAAATTGAGGGGAATCCTGATTTTTCTAATAAAGATGTTGGAGCATCCCAGCCTCAGATGATTCCTGAAGTTAAACCAGGAATTATTTCTCCGCTAAATCATGTTGAATTACCACTTGAGGTTGCCAGCCCACCTAATTCTGGGGGCCCTACACATTTAATGTCTCAGGTTTATACTGGTTTTGTGTTCTGTTGTTTAGTGTTAGCAGTTAATGACATGCATATTGAAGTTCTAACTCTCTCTCTCTCATCCTTTTTGGTGGTTTTAGTATGCTGCTCCTCTTCGTCTTTCTTCTGGTACTTTGATGGAGGATGAAAAACTAGCAGCTCTTGGCTTGTCTGATCAGCTTCCTTCTGCTCAAGGACTGTTTACTCAATCCCAGACACCTTTTTCTGTTAGTCAGGTATGGTTTTCATTATTATTATTATTATTTTTTTTTTTTTTCTTTTGTTAGAATTGATTGGCTTCTGATTTTTTTTTTTACAGCTTTCCACGCCAATACCTAACATTGGAACTCATGTTATCATCAATCAGAAGCTCAGTACCTTGGGCTTGCACTTGCACTTTCAGAGGTTTGAATCTGTTGCCCTTTTATCATATCCTTGCTTATTGAGTTCATTGGCTTGTACTTATACTCCACCTTCCATATATTATTGCAGAGTGGTTCCAATTGCGATGGACAGAGCTATCAAAGAAATAGTGTCAGGCATTGTTCAACGCAGTGTTTCTATAGCGACTCAGACAACAAAAGAGCTTGTTTTAAAGGTTTGCTAACTGAATTAAGCTGTCTGTATATATCAACTACATGGGATGGTTACATGAACTATAGTTTAGTTTTGACAAATTGTTTATTTACACAAGCACATTATTAAAACTTCCTGTTGCCACATATCTGGTGCAATATCTTTGTTACATTTGTATTCATGTTTGATTTTATACTTAATGTGTGTGGATAGACATTTCATGGTTATTAAATATCTTGAATTCTGCAATTGCATGATTCGCTGGAGAAACTTCTTGGGGTCATCCTTCTTAATCACTTGGCATTTACTTTCTGAGCAAGTATTTAGTTTTAGATAAATTGATGAAAACTGTCACTTCAAGAATCTCATGTTAATAGAACTAGTGATAGCTGTTCATGTGCATTTCATGATGATCACCTCACCTTTACACATGCTTGATACTCCTTTCCCTCAAATACTCATTGCCACAATATCTATCCATTGATATTTGCGTCCAACCTAAAGAGGAATGTGATTTGAGAAGCAAAAGGTTTTGATTCAAGTTGTGAAAGCTTGTCACAGCCTCGCCTCCCAACAATTCATCCTAAGCTTATCCTGTTGATAATCTGCCCAAGCCTTTTAGACAAACCTTTTTCTTAATCACTATTTGTCAACATATTTGTGCTTACTTTAATTCAATTCCATGTCAGGATTATGCGATGGAATCAGACGAGACACGCATTTATAATGCAGCACACTTGATGGTTGCAAGTTTGGCAGGAAGTCTAGCTCATGTGACATGCAAGGTTTTTTTATTTTTTTTAATAATATCTGACATGACATTTTTCACTTAGTTTCTGAATTGTAAATGATGGCCTCTTGTATTTTCTCTCTTTAGAGGTTCAACTTTTGACATCTTTTCTCTAATTATGTTTGTGTTTGCTAGGAGCCCTTACGTACTTCTATATCAAGCCAATTGAGGACTTCACTGCAAGGTTTAAGTATAGCGAATGAACTCCTAGAACAAGCTGTGCAACTTGTTACCAATGACAACCTTGATCTCGGCTGTGCGGTCATTGAGCAGGCTGCCACAGATAAGGTTCGATTGTTAACTCTGATCTATAGATACTTGTGTGCAATGATATACAATTTCAGGATCCCTCGCTTGCTACAAAATAGTTGCTAAATAGAGATAAAAATAGATAATTTCAACTTTTTGTCAGGAATGTTAAAAGATCCATATCAAAATGATTAATTCAGTCCAAACTGATCCAATTTCTATAGAACCAATAAGTTGGCAGATTGGGTCCAAAATTTGAAAAATCAATCCAAGCCTTTGGTGAATTTCCTCACGAAAATCTGCCAAACAGGCATCCATTCTTTTTTTTCTTTTTTTTTTTTTTTTGGGAAAAAATCCAGACTTTGAAACCTGGTTAAAGGTGCTAAAAGATAAAAAAGTCGAGAATTGAGACTTCTTCAAGAGTCTCTATGACCTGCTTGAGTACATCTTTTTAATTTGTTACACTTCATTCTGGGNCATATCAAAATGATTAATTCAGTCCAAACTGATTCAATTTCTATAGAACCAATAAGTTGGCAGATTGGGTCCAAAATTTGAAAAATCAATCCAAGCCTTTGGTGAATTTCCTCACGAAAATCTGCCAAACAGGCATCCATTCTTTTTTTTCTTTTTTTTTTTTTTTTGGGAAAAAATCCAGACTTTGAAACCTGGTTAAAGGTGCTAAAAGATAAAAAAGTCGAGAATTGAGACTTCTTCAAGAGTCTCTATGACCTGCTTGAGTACATCTTTTTAATTTGTTACACTTCATTCTAGGCCTGTGGTCTGCCTTTTCAATATATAGTGCTAAATTTAAGGACTCTTGGATGAATTGGCATCAATGATTTTGTCTTTGGATCAGTATAGGGTTCTAAAGAGTATGCCGAATGGTTTGAATTTTATTTTTTGTAGGTTTATAATGTCATTTTAATTTATGCAGGCGATTCAAACAATTGACGGGGAGATAACTCAACAACTTTCTTTAAGAAGAAAGCATAGAGAAGGTGTTGGTTCCTCATTATTTGATCCAAGCATGTATGCACCAGGTTCTATGGGTGTTGTTCCTGAGGCCCTCCGCCCTAAACCAGGGCATTTGTCTGTTTCTCAACAGCGAGTTTATGAGGTAAATAATTGATGGCCAGATTTATTGAAGTGTGACCGATTTCAAGGAGAAAGCACTTAAAGTTTGTTTGCTACGTGTCTTCTTCTCAGGACTTTGTTCGACTTCCTTGGCAAAACCAATCTAATCAGAGCTCACATGCCATGTCTGCTGGTTCTTTGACTTCATCCAGTGATGCTGGTCTGACTGGTGCATATGGTTTGGCGGCAGGACAAGTTAACCCAGGCTACTCAGCAAGTGCAGGAAACACAGAATTTGAAGCAGTCTCTCGCTCATTGGATGTTTCTTCTGGGTCAATTGAATCCAGTTCAGCTGCCCTGTTGAGGTGTTTTTATTTTTTTGAAGCACTTTTACTTCTTTCAATGATTCTGTCACACTGATGAACTTAAAATTTTGTCATGTTTCAGTGTACCATCGACCAATATTGTGACAGCTGATAGTGGTGGTATTCAGCATAATTCTGAAAACGACTCTGTCAATGCTTCTTTTACTCCAACTGCTCCAGCCCCTGAATTACTTTCTGTGGATTCAACTGAGGCTGGAAAAGTGTGAAATCTTTCCTTCACTGTTTAATATGCTGCCAAGGACTTAAAATTTTTATTGCTGATATTGCTTCTGACTTCTGTGTTCAGGAACCAGGAGCTACTTCACAATCCTTACCATCACCTGTCACCCCTGAACGTCTTGGAAGTGGTGTGTTAGAACCTTCGCTAAACACAAGGGATGCATTGGATAAATACCATATCCTTGCACAGAAGGTCAGAGATTACAGCCTTTTTTATTTTTTGTTGGTTCCTTAATTATTATTTGTTGGAAGTCATATCTTCTGATGAGCACTTGCTCATATATGCAATTTGCTGCACTATGGTTATACTTTATATTGTCCTAAACACACCTATAAAGTGAGTGTGGGTGTGTGATAGAGGACTGTGGGTTGTAACATGAACATCTATTCTGCTTCAATTTTGCTTCATTTGGGTGGTTGGGATTGTTGTGGGAGTCTTGTGGGGATGTCAATTCCAGCCACAAGAGATTGCGTCATTTTTTCTGTTCTTTCATCTACTTTGTTTGAGTTCAATCATTATTGTTAGAGCTTATTCAATTATCTTGTTCAAATGTTTTCAGTTAGACGCTTTGGTAGCCAGTGATGCTACAGAAGCTGATGTTCAGGTATTGTATTTTCTATCATCTTGGTGTGCACCTTGGCTCTGGTAGTTCAAGTAACATCCATGTTGATGAAGATATGTATTTATTGGGTTGTTTTTCCTTTGTTCAGGGAGTGATTTCTGAGGTTCCTGAGATAATACTAAGATGCATCAGTCGGGATGAAGCTGCCTTGGCTGTGGCTCAAAAGGTTTACTCCTTTATAGTGGAATATTTTTGCGGGTTCCTTGTTTTCCTTATTTTCTTTGATGGATTATGATTGGGCTTCCTTTGTTGCTTCCACTGTTTTCATGTTGATGTCTATCTGCCAATTTTTGAATGGTTTTGGAGGCAAATTTGGCAAATTTGTATATGGTCTAAAGGTTGTTCCATATTTTCTTATAGGTTTTCAAGGGGTTATATGAGAATGCTTCGAACAGTCTTCATGTTGGTGCTCATCTTGCAATTTTGGCTGCCATTCGTGATGTTTGCAAGCTTGTTGTTAAGGAGCTCACACGTTGGGTATGTTCTGTTCAATTTTTTTCTGTATCTTGCTCCAGATTTGATGGTTCCTTACTATGCAATTGTTCATTGGCTTGCCTTTTTGCCTATTACTACATTTGGTCTGCCTTGCCTAGATATTCTATCTTGATATTGACTTGCCTATGCCCTTTTATCTTGGTATTTTGGTGCATGAAATATGCGAAAGGATTGGACTACAATCCCACAAATAATGTTAAACTTAGCCCATATTTAAATATTTAATTAGTTTCATTTAACTATTTTATTAACGAAATGATAATAACAACAGCACCCATCAGAGGATTAGTCCAATCCAAATTTTTAAGAGTTTAGCTTGCAATATTACTACTGCACAATAAATTGTTCTGTACAAGAATGAATTCTATAGAATACTTATTGCAACAGTATTTCCAATAATTCATGGTGGGATTACAACAGAATTCCCATTATTTCTGATTCCATGAGGTTTTGCTTCAATTAACTTATTTGGGTTCGAATGCAAAATTTGCTGAACCTCTGAGCTTACCAAGAAGATGGGAATGCCTTCATAAGAGCCAGTGCATTGGCCTATGTTCTGTTATTAATTATTAAGATAATCCTGTTCGCATACCTTTAGTTTCTTTACTATTATAACTTTGTTTGCAACTTTTCGTATAGGTTATTTACTCAGATGAGGATAGAAAGTTCAACAAAGATATTACGGTTGGCCTTATTCGGAGTGAATTGCTGAACCTCGCGGAGTACAATGTTCAGATGGCAAAACTTATAGATGGTGGAAGGAACAGTAAGTATAAGAAATATTTCCTTTTTTCAATTCTACAGCAGATGAAAAGCTGACTTATTGCATTAAAATATGTGCAGAGGCTGCAATGGAGTTTGCCATTTCCCTTCTACAAACTTTGGTTACAGATGAATCCAGAGTCGTTTCAGAACTCCACAATCTTGTAGATGCATTAGCAAAGGTTCCATTTATTCTTTTGTTTGAATGAGTGGATTAAAGTACAATTTTGTTGTGCAGTTTTTTACTGTTATGGACTTGTCTAGGTTGCTGCAAAACCTGGTTCTTCTGAGTCACTACAACAGTTGATTGAGATTGTTAAGAATCCTGTTGCTAATGTAACTGCATCTGGTGCTACTGCTGGAATGGATGATAAGGCTAGGCAATCCAAGGACAAAAAGGTTAATATTGATATTTTGGTCTTACCCCCTTCGGCCCTTCGAGTGTATTAATGCTTACGATCCTATAACTTTGTTGAAACAGGCTCCTAGTCTCTCCACAGCAAACAGGGAAGATTATAACAGCATGGAGCCCGTGGACCCAGATCCTGCTGGTTTTTCTGATCAGGTTTCTTGCCATAAAATTGATTTATATTTTTGTTCTAAAAAAATCATGTCATGAAGACAAAAGTAATAAAATCATTGGTGTTGAATAAAACCACCTGTAAATTTCTCACTTAAGTCAGTCCCCTTCAAAGGCTAATGGACTTCCAGAAGACACTAATAGAATGTCATCTCCATAGCTGAGCCAATGATCCTTTCTGTTAATACAAATCTTGATAGCCAATTATTTTGACCAAAGAAATTAAATGTCTCAAATTAACCCAATAGAAGCAGCAACCTTGGGCTTGGTTTACAATCCGTCACCAGAATGCATCGTATGCACTTACATTATAATAGATCTGATCTCTTGCCAACAGGACTCTTAAATTTTTTTTATTACATGCTCATGTTTGGTGTATGAATTCTACACAGGTCTATGTGTTGTTCAAGGAGTGGTACCACATATGCGAACTTCCTGGCACAAATGATGCAGCTTGTACTCGTTACATCTTACAATTGCATCAAAGTGGACTGCTGAAAGGGGATGATATGACAGATCGTTTTTTCCGAAACCTTACGGTGATTTTTCTTTCATAATTTGATTTTTTCTTTCTCAACGGTGTCAAGATTTTAATTCTCTTTTTCCATTTTTCAGAAAATTGCTGTTGAACATAGCATACAATCTGAATCACCTCAACAAGTGCAGAGTGTATCCTTTCATACCATTGATAGTTATGCAAAGCTTGTTTCATCAGTCCTGAAGGTAGTTGTATATCCTTCTGAATATTAATGAGGTTTATTATCACTTTACTTCCAAATAATCCCATTTTCATTTCTGTAATTGCTCATTTTTAAATGTTATACAGTGTTTGCCCGTGGAACAGGGATCAACTAAAATCTTTCTTTTGTCAAAGGTAATCTTAACTATAATTTATTTGGGTTTTACTCTTATATAACCATACATGATTTACATAATAATTTTTTATGTTCCGCAGATTTTGACCGTCACTGTAAGATTTATTCTAAAAGATGAGGAGGAGAAGAAGGCATCTTTTAATCCAAGACCATATTTCAGATTGTTTATTAACTGGCTGCTAGACCTTGGCTCATTGGATCCTGCTATCGATGGTGCAAACATTCAGGTTTGGCTCATTTGCATTTACTCTTGGTGCTTATAGTAGTATCCGTTGATTGGCTGATGTAGATGCTTGTGTTGCAGATTTTGACAGCCTTCGCAAACGCATTCCATGCTTTACAGCCCCTTAAAGTCCCGGCATTCAGGTTAGCATCACAACTTTATATACTTATCACCTTATGGTTGATATGTTTGAATCGTTGTTAAAACTTAACATTATAAAATATGTCATCATATCAAGTATCATTTTGTAGGATTCCTTCTCTAGGAGCCTTCTTTTTTGTTGACAACACAGTTTTCACTAGGATAGTTTGACATGCATGACCATTGTGCTGGCTTAGATCAATAGGATGTCCAAATTGATGAGAGTCAAAGGCCTAGACATCCATGTAAATCTTTGTTGAGCTTGTACAGAGTTACTTGGTATCTTGTCTTAGGAAATACGAAATCTCTTTATCTGGGGGCTATAAATATTTAGCTTGTGTTCAAGACTAACTGATGATGGAGTTTCTATTTTGCTGTTGTGGTAATAATATCTTATGATGTTGGGGCTAAGGTTTTAACAGTGATCAATGACTGGTATCCATGTATTTGGTGGACATTTGTCTGGGACTATTTATTTGCTGCTGAGTAACTGTGCAGTCAAAGGCTTCTTGCTCTAGAATTAGAGAGATATCCTGTTTTTGCTGATCATTGATGATATGATTGCTGGGGTGTTAGAAACACTAGTTTGGAGGCTCATATGACAATGTAGTAGGGAATATCCCCGTCTACTTTTGTATTTTGATTTTGGATTTTTCTTCCCTTGAAAGTATTAGAGTTGCCTGATTTTACTGCTCTTCTTGGGAGAAGTTTTGTTCTTTCCAAGTCCCTCCAGATTCTGGAAGACAAGATCATGATGGTTGTGGGATTTGGTTGTCAACATGTTGAGTGTGTAATGCATTACCTTGATAGTTAAACCTATGTACCTTCTCAGCGAGCCAATCATTGATCACAAAAATTATAGGAGATTGCATTTGTTACAGAAAATGATCAGAAATAACTGAATGAACTTACATCACTATTTCAGCATAGACGTTGATCTAGGAGACTTTTTGTAAAGAAATATTCTTATATAGTGTTTCTGTGGTTTGTTAACATTGGTTGAAAATGTTTGTCCAGCTTTGCATGGCTTGAATTGGTGAGTCACAGGAGTTTCATGCCTAAATTGCTCATAGGAAATTCTCAAAAGGGTTGGCCTTTTATCCAACGTTTGCTGGTAGATCTGCTACAATTCCTGGAGCCATTTTTGAGAAATGCTGAACTGGGAGTTCCGGTTAGCCTCTTTCAATTGCTGGTTCTTTTTATAGCTATAGCCCATATAACATAAGTATAATGGGTGCTCATTTTGTTATCTGCGCAGGTTCGCTTTCTGTATAAAGGTACACTTAGAGTGCTGCTGGTACTCCTTCATGATTTCCCAGAGTTCCTATGTGATTATCATTTTACCTTTTGTGATGTGATTCCTCCAAGCTGCATACAAATGCGCAATATTATTCTCAGTGCTTTTCCCCGCAATATGAGGCTACCAGATCCATCTACTCCCAACTTAAAGGTGCCTTTTATCATTTCTAATTTTGATTAATTTAAAAATGGAAACTAATTCCTTAAGTTTCATCAGATTGATTTGCTTCCGGAAATCAGAGATGCTCCTCGAATTCTCTCTGACGTTGATGCGGCTCTTAGAGCAAAACAGATGAAGGCTGATGTAGATGAGTATCTCAAGGTACTTCATATTCCCTTTAATGTTACACTGATGAACTGTAGTTCATAGAACTACATGGACTTGGTCTAACTTTTTCACTGGATTCCTTTTCAACATCCCTTTGGTACTTCTGTCTCTGATATTGAGCTCTAGCACTATTTATTTATTTTATTTTTTTGTTATTCTTTTTAATATAATTTGAAATTATTTCAGACGGCACAGCCAGGTTCCTCGTTTTTGACTGAACTGAAGCAGAAATTGCTCCTTCCTCCTAGTGAAGTTGCCTCTGCTGGTACTCGTTACAATGTACCATTGATCAACTCTCTTGTGCTTTACGTAGGCATGCAGGTAACTCTGGTTTTTAAGCTAATTTTATTCATGTTTTGTTCTTTTGGTCATCTTAAATTTGAACTGTTGATATCGTTTTTCTGTTGTTCACTTGGAATCTGTTCTCCAGGCCATCCAACAACTGCAAACAAGAACACCACATGCACAGTCAACAGGCAACAATAGTTCGCTTACTGTGTTCTTGGTGAGTGCTGCCTTGGATATTTTCCAGACGTTGATACAGGATCTCGATACTGAAGGGCGCTATCTCTTCTTAAATGCGGCTGCTAACCAACTTCGCTATCCAAACAATCACACTCATTATTTTTCCTTTGTCTTACTTTATCTGTATGCAGAAGCAAACCAGGTGAGAGCTTCTCTATCCAATTGCATTTTATGGTTTTTTCTGTGTTTTCTAATGGCTGTCCTTTTTATTCATTAGCTTAGTTCCATTGGGTAATGGGAGTATTTCATGTTTACATTGTATGACTCTTGGTCTTTAAATCATGTTGTCCTCATGGAGGGATTGTGATTTCTGTTTCAAGAATTTGTGCAAATCCTCAAAGAGTGAAAAATAGATTTTGGGAAAGTTTCTCAATGGCTTTAATATTTGATAATTTAAGACGATCAAAATCATTGGGTAAAATAAAAGAGTAATTAAAGTTGACTCTGTATTTTGGGCTTGTGTAGGAAATTATCCAGGAGCAAATTACAAGAGTACTGTTCGAACGTCTTATTGTCAATCGACCTCATCCATGGGGCCTTCTTATAACCTTCATAGAGCTGATAAAGGTAACCTTTTTCTCAATCTTGATTGTTAATTGTTGGACTTGTGATTTGTGAATTGATTTATCGTGTTGGATGTTATGCAGAATCCTAGATACAACTTCTGGAACCAGTCTTTCATTCGGTGTGCACCAGAGATTGAGAAACTGTTTGAATCAGTTGCTAGGTCATGTGGAGGTCTAAAGCCTGTGGAAGATAGTATGGTCTCAGGTTGGGTTTCCGACAGCACACACTGAGGAGACTTAACATGTTATCATTGTATTATTATTTAATCTTCTTTGTAATCTCTCTTTGTTATTATTTATCTAGTTAGTTTGTATTTGACTTGTATATATAGTTTAGTATTTAAAATTTTGTAACATTTACAGCACTCCTCTTCCAACCAACTGTAGAGATTTTGGTTACTTTTCATAATGTAAACGGTAGAAAAACACTCTAGTAGGTTCACAGATCAGACGGCTTCAAGTATTTATTGTAATGACAAATTTCAAGTGTTTTCCACTGATCAGATGGCTTCCAGTATTTATTGTAATGAGTTTTCCATAGATGGCTTCAAGTAGTCATTGTAGTGATGGATTTCTGAGTGTATTCCACATATTAGATCCACAGATTAGATAGATGCCTATCTGTCACACCCAGTTTAAGAAGAATTCTTCAGCTCTTCTTTTAAGTGGCAAAATCTTCATTGATAATATGCATAATGGAACTATAAAATAATATCATTGTTGAAACAATTTAGAAAGGTCGTTGGCACACGATGAGGAACTTCTGAAGTTGAAGATAAATGCGTGAAACAAAATGACCCAGAAGTCTATTTTAGGCTTCCTCTTGTGAATAAAAAGCCTATAATAATAATACATAATATGATTGATCATTTATGCAATCAGATATTTAAAGAATCAACATATCAATACCAAACAGAACAGTGATATTCGAAGAAATTAATAAATTTGGTGAAGCTTTTGGCAAAAGAAACATTTTAGATTAAAAGAGAGCTACAACTAACTACAATAACCACGCCGTCAACATATTGAAATTTGATTGAAGCTGGTTTCACTCACTCTGTACGGACAAAGTAAAGTTTGCCCATGACATGAAGGACAGCAACAAAAGCTATGAAGCCAATGCTCATAATAAGTACAACATTTGGAGAAATCTTTAGTCCTGGAGCATCGTCTGTGTAAAATTGGAGCATGGAACCCGCTGCCCCACCCGAGGCTCCCGCTCCACCACTTGTTGTCCTCCTCCTACGCATGCTTGCAGCTGCTGCTGCACTTCCTCTTGGGGGAGCTCCTCCGTTCAAAGCCATTTTCTGCAACATTTAAACATAAATTAAAGAAATCAATCTACGAATTCACATAATATCCATACATCAAAATTCTCTGCAACATTCATTCATAAATTTTCGAAATTCAACAAATTATTCAATCAACTTAAGAAACTAAAAACGCTAATGAATAACTCTTTCCTTATGGTATAACTAAAAACGCTAATGAATAACTCTTTCCTTATGGTATAACTAAGCTTGATGAAAAGCAGCTAACTTAGATTTAACCCAAAAAAAAAAAAATCTACAAATTGACATAATATTCATACACGAAATTCAGTCCCTGCATGTCAGATCTATATTTTTTTTTTCTCAATTCATCAAATCGTTGTTGATTTTGCGAAACAAATGTAAAACCGAGATCAACGAAAAATTCCAGGGGATGAGGACTCACTGAGTCGACTCGAAAATTTAGATCGTCTCGCCAACCGTTGAGGACGTGATTATGTCTTCTACAGCAGTTTGCTCGGGGTTTTATGGTGAATGGATTTTTATGCTTTGCTTTGATTTGTATCCAGCTGGTAGTGTTCAACCCTTCCACGCCTTTAGACCCAATAATCATTAGCCACGTCATGATAGCTCCACGTCATTCTGTTAAATATTTGAACCCTTTTGCTTACCGTTCAATTGCAGAATTCACACCAATCTCGAGATTTTGGCCCGACCCAATATGAGTCATTGTTACTCTTAACACCCAATCTTGAGATTTTGGCCCGACCCAGATTGAGTTTTAGTCTACGTTCAGAAGAATATAAAAAAAATTGACATACGACGTCGTTTCACTTAGTAATCTTTGTACCTATTCTTGTTCGGTTATTCATCCTCGTTATGTTATACTAATTTATTTTTGTATGATATTTAATTATTCTTTTTCAACTGATGAACAGGCTTGGAAAAAAATCAGTATTTTCTTTTTTTATTTTAACAATTTGATTATCTTCATCTTCACGCTGCCTTTTATGGAGCTCAAAATTAATCTCCCATGCTTCCAAAACTCACTCAACTGGAATAAAATTGATCTCTCATAACCAATAAACATACATATTGCCCACAACACCAAAGTGAAAAAGTAAGAAGATTCCCACATAAAACTCTCAGTCTCACCCTTGTATGCGTCCAATCACTAAATATATGCATAAAGAAACTTAACTTTGTAATGTTGACAAACACCTACCAACACTTTCTCCCAATACTACAAATTTCAATGTCACAACTAAAAGCATAAATCAACGTAAAAAAATTAATTCTCATTTCATGATCTTTTCCACCGACTGGTAGCTCGTACATTCTTATACAAGACTGATTCAGCCATATTTTGATAGCCAGAGAAATAGCCTACTGATCAACAGCCTCATGAAAACTATATACAATGCAAAATTTAAATGTAAATGCCTTACAAAACAATTGTTGGTATTAGCCGAGAGTAACATGTTCTTTTCTCACCATTGATAGCCACTAAATATTAACCTCCCAAAACTGGATGAGAATGAGATCTTATGCGGTTCCATATTTCCTGATTATCATCCATTCTAGTATTTTGTTTGAGCAGCCAATCATTCCAATAACCTGTTCTTCCCCACGCATCCTGTCCAAAGAAGAATAATGAATCTATTTTTATTGTCTCATATTCTTTCCCCGAATTTAATGAAATTTGTATGGGGCCTAAGATGATTTTGCTTCATTATGAGCAAGATCCTCTTCAAACCCTTTTTTTAAGCACATAATTACCCCAGCAGTGGGCATCTCTCCACAAAATATTTTCCATATCTCCTCAAACTTACTTCGATTATTGCTTAAAATGCATCCCATAGATTTTCACCACTTGCTAAACTAAACACCTTCATATTAACAAAGCTGCAATATAGTATTTTCCTTAAACATGCTTTATCTATTAAAACATGAAGATATCCACAATGTAAATTTAACGACCAAGAGGTCAAACTTAAACAAATGCAATAAGTCATCTAGAAAAGTGCGACTATAAATATTAAAGGCAAATACCTCGAATACCAGTTGAAGACTTTAAGTCAAATCATCCAGATCTTTGGCCCTGAACATCCTCTAAATCTTAATCTTAGAGATTCCTTTCAACGAAGTCATCATAGCTGCAAGATACAAAATAAGACGAAATAGAAATAAGGAGAAATTATATTGCAAGGTTTCATTACCACAAAAATAGGTGAAAATCTTCCTTGAAATCATATACCTTTCAAATGATACTACAGGCACAGCAGCACCAGACATTATATCATGGCATAAAAAGGTGTGGCTAGTAAATCTGCAGAATAGTTTGGAGAAATTGGAAACACAGCATGTAATACAAAAAACCAACAGCTGCACTGACAATTGCATGAAGATATGATGATATTGCAGATCCAACAAACTGAAGACAGTTTGACAGTACCAGAGGAAAGATGAACTTTACTAATGTTTATGCTTACACTAAATTATTAATAAGTCTGAACTATCTGCTTAAAAAAATTAGCACATCTAACCTTGCTTAATGTTAGGAAGACAGTACCGACATCAAAACACATCAAAAAAACTTATTCTAGTTTGACAATAAAATATGGACACAAGTTGCTCCATATACACTTATTGGGGTGGAAGAGAAATTAGTATATACTTCATCCAGCAGCCCACTTTGGAGGGCCCGATCTGCTCAAGAGAGAGATCAATCGCTCTTATCACCATGCTATGCATCTAAATTAGATGGTCTAATGAAAACTACCGAATTCCTATAGAGTGTGTGTATGTATCTGTTGAAATTTATTGCAGCTGCAGCATGAATTTGAAACCAAGATTATCAGCATCAAGTGGCACATTTTAAGGCTTTAAACCCTTGAAAAATCTAACACCTTTCTTTCCCACTCCAGTCCCTGCAAGACCAGATGACAACAGAAACCTGGAATCTGGCCGCCATTTCAACTCTTTAAAGACAGAAAACAAAGATGCCAGTGCAGGTGTGATTTCACCGTCCTTTATCTTGTTACACGAGACTACTCTTAGTCTTTGAAGCTCCTTCCAAGATAGAACTACCGACTCCAGACCTCCAGTTGTTAGCAAAGAGCATCCTTCCAGAGATAGAATCTTCACCCTCCTATAGAAAAGTAAACACAAAAATGAGTTTGAATTCTATGAAGTTCTAACTCCCTAGGATCCTCAAGAAGCACAAATTTCATTTCTTTATTCTTATTCAACTATTCACCATTTCCTGGCAGTTGTAAGGTGACGAGGTCACTTTTGATTTTTCGTAATAACAGTACATGGGTTTAGCAAAAGGACGTATTTCATTTTTGTTTAAGTCAAGTGTTAACAGTTATATGCAGCATAAAGAACTTATTAATATCTGTAACATAGAGATGATAACAAATAACAACAGCATTTTTAAAACATACAGAATGACAGAAATAGTCTCAAAAACAAGTTAACCTTCCAAAACTGTTTGTTCACAATCAACATTTCCTACCACACTTTGTAACATTAAGTACAGTCCTTTTTTAATCAAATAAACAAAAGTAGTATACAGTTAAAAAATATAATCAAAGAAACAAACAGTTGTATTAGTATCTTTTACATGAAAAAAAATTCATAATACCTGCAAATACAGGCAAGGCCAAACACATCATCCTCCAATCCCCAACAGTTTTGCAAAACAATCTCCCTAACATTCTCACAAACTAAAAACAAAGCTTCCACACTCTGCTTATCCCTTAGTTGACACCCCTGCAATTGCAATTCCTCAAGAGTCAAACAAGACCCCAAATGCTGAGGCGACCCAGGACTCGAATCAACATTCTTACATGATTGAAGCCTCAATGTTTTCAAATTCCCACAAAACGTCAGAGCTGCCAACCACCCACCATCCATTCTATGATCACAAAGAGTTAACTCTTCTAACATTTGACAACATTGACCAATAGCTTTAATCCCATCATAGCTTCCTTCACATCCACTTAACTCCAATTTAACTAATCTTCTACAACCTTGCGCCAATATTGTTAAACCAATATCTGAAACAACTGAACTATAAAATCCATTAATTGAACCAATCAATTTCACAACTTGTAAGTTTTGGCAGGCAGAAATTCCCTTCAATGACAGATCCCCACAACAATGAAACTCCAATTCTTGCAAAGTGTGACACTCATTAGCAATACTCGACAAACCTTTTTCTCTTGCGCCAACAACGACTATTCTCCTCAAATTCGGATAATTTTTAGCCAGTAATTCGAGCACTTGATCAATTGAATTTGAAGGTACAAGGTCGTCGTTTTGGACAACAAACCCGTTCGTTGGTGAAAGCCGAGCATCCACATGAACCGATAAAGACTTATGAGTCACCAAAATTCCTGAATTTTTTGATGTACGAATGCAGGCGCTAATGATGTTTATGTCTGAAAGATTGGGGAAGCGTAAAAAGACCCGACCCGACTCAATAAAGGACCAGTCGGTGAGGTTGAGGGATTGCACCAAACGGCCATGAAGGTATAACCAGCGTTTGCATACTAAAGAATTAGAAACATGTTGAGAGATTGGGAGCTTAGAGAAAATTTGGAGAAGCAGCTCGTCGGAAAGATGGGAAAAATAATCAGGTCCGGGTGGGTCTATGCTAAGAGATTGAAGAAATTGTAGATTAGGATGACTAGATGATGTTAACGGTGAATGTGATGGTGTTGAAGACACAGATTTGAGATGCATCTTGATAAACGCATACTTCAGATCTTGCTCTTTCAACCATATATCTGGTAAACTTAATGCTCTGGGCCTTTTTGATCTTGGTGGTGTCTTAATTTCACTATGATTAGGGCTAGGGTTAGGGTTTTTCTCTGTTGAATGTGACATTTATTAGGGTTAGCGCTTTCTAATCTGAATTATTAAAATTCAATTATTGTCTTTTAGCTACAGGACATAGCAGATTTTGGATTTAGATTTGTAGGGTGTAAAATTTTTCTCATTCATTTCTCAATGATTAAATAGCAGCTGGTTTCGAAGAGGACGTGTCAGAATACTATTGGTGGTTATTTTGGAAGTTGTGTAGTTCGTTTATATCAGAGTGTGAGTTCGGATATCCTCACTCCTTATTTATAAATGATTAAGTAAATAAGCTTTTTGTTAACATCCCTTAAAAAGCTTTCAGATTTGTCTCATTGTGTGAAGACTGAAGAGTGATAATATCAGTCGGGCCTTGGTCTTGGTAACTTTAATCTTGTTGGGCCAGTGGTTATAGTTATTACCTAAAAATGAGTAGCCTAAGGCCCATATCAAAAAGGCCTTAACGTGGCCCGTCCAGAAGACGAATTTAGTGGGAAAATTAAACGCATCTTTCTGCAGCGTCTTGTCATATATGTGCATGTATTTGTGTATGGCAGATATCGAGAAGCGGAGCGCATTAATTATTTATATCATCTCAGGCTTCATTTGATTCACAAATCACGTTGATTAGGACCCCACTTTGTCTATCACTAAACAGCGACATTACAACTTACCGTAGCTCCTTACTGCCAATTTACTCCCTCTAATTTTGGTTTTGAGTTTTGACCATGGTCACGGCCCCTTCTTCCACAAGAAATCATCATCCTTTGTTTTCTTTAATTTATCTCTTTGTATAAAAGAATTTCCTAGTGTTTCATTTGTTTATTTAATTTATTATTTGACTGATGAGAAAGGCTTTTACATCCAGAATAAGTTAACTGCCAATGTATATAAAAAAAAAAAAAAAACTAGTAGGTCATAAGCTTTGAATTCTCTCATTCACAAAAGAATACCATTTAATTCCTCTCTTTCTTTCTCTCTCTCCTGTCTCTGTCTCCTTTCATCTTCATCAGTCTCTCTGCTGATTTGTTCTTATCTTGATTGCAAAGATTTGGAGGCATTTTTTATTTCTTCCTATTGACTTCATTCACACGAGGTAACATAAAGAAATTGACCCAGTTAATCCATCAACCTCCATTAACCATGGAAATCTTTTTACAAAAGAACCAATGCTATAACATTCTTCTCTTTCCAAACTAGCAAATACCAAATCATCTGAAATGAGTCAGTGTGTTCCCAGTTGGGATCTCGATGAGAATCCCACTTACCCTCGACCCTCTCACCGTTCCCGCTCAAATTCCACGGCGCCTGATGTTCCCATGTACTCTACTTACTATCTTTCTCTTCCTCTCTTCTCTCTTAATTACATCCATATATATTTTACTCACTTGTACTACTAAATTATTTTTTATATAACCTAACGTTTGGTTGGCCGTGATTCAGGTTTGATTACGAAGTAGCAGAGCTGACATGGGAGAACGGGCAGCTAGCCATGCACGGGTTAGGACCACCGCGAGTACCAACCAAACCCATGGCCACCACTTCTACCACCAAGTACAATTGGGAGAAGCCACGCGCCAGTGGCACCCTCGAGTCTGTAGTCAACCAAGCCACTATCTTGCCACAAAGCAACCAGCCCCCATTTGATACCGCCACCAACGAAGAAATCGCGCCTTGGTTTGACCAACACCGAGCTGCCGCCGCCGCCGCCATGACTATGGACGCTTTGGTTCCATGCTCAAACCGCCCTGAAAAGCGTACCACGCACGCGATGGATGCAGTGCCAAGGCTTGGTGGCACGTGTGTAGTGGATTGCTCTACTCGTGTGGGCTCTTGCAGCGGGCCAGCTGCCACTCAGGATGAAGATGACGTCCTTCTGAAGAAAGCCAGGGTGGCGCGTTTCCCGGTGGCACCTGAGTGGAACAACAGGGATCAAAGTGTGAGCGGTAGCGCCACGTTTGGAAGGGATAGCCAGCACGTGACTCATGATACTTACGATATGGACATAGGTGTGGGTTTCACATCTACTTCAATGGGTTCGCCTGAAAACACTAGCTTTGCTGAACCTTGCACCAAGGCCACCACTGACGATGATCATGACTCTGTTTGTCACAGTACACCACAGGCAAATTTCTACCCTTTATCTTATAATATGTATTGCATGCATGCAATTTTTTTTTTTAATTTTTTTGTGATTTTACGGATCTTATAATATACGTATTTGTTTTTTGAATGTTACCGTATTTTTAAAGAGAGAAGCAGGTGACGAGGGGAAGAAGAATAAAGGGAATGGGAAATCCTCAGTTTCCACCAAAAGGAGTAGAGCTGCTGCCATTCATAATCAATCTGAACGAGTAAGTTTCTAAATATTTCGCTTTTTAAGTTGTTATCAAAAAAGAATTTTATGGATAGAGAATAGATAACTTAATTAACCTAAAGAGGAAATGATTGGTTTGTTTGGGTTAGCTTTCTGGATTCCTTACGAAATGAGGAGACAGTCAAATGATTAACCAAATATTTTTAATTATTTTAAGTTTTATACATTAAAATTTTATATGACATTTGGGGCATCTCACTCTCACTTATTTGGCTTTGATAATAACTGGCCCCCATATTCTTTATATAAATAGCAGTGTATAGCTAGTGCGACATTAATTAACTCAAACGACGTGCACTTTGATTTCCAGAAAAGGAGAGATAAGATCAACCAAAGGATGAGGGCACTGCAGAAGCTGGTCCCTAATTCCAGCAAGGTACCAAGTTTCACTGCCTAATTTTTTCATTCAATTAAAACCTGCATGTTAAAATTATACTCTACGTGGTGCATTAATGCAGAACAGTTTTAAATTAAATTCTTTATGTTATAAACACGTTAGGCCAGTGACGTTAACTACATGTTAATGATGAGAACTTTTCTAGTAAAGGAGGAACCAAAATGGTAGAAACAAAGGATACCCAAGCACAAAACTATAATGTTGAGATGCAAAAAGCTAAAGAATAAGTATTATCCCAAAAGCTTCTTAGCTCGCGTTCACTATCACTTATTGGCTGCTTGAGGAATATCTATTTTGAGGCCTTATCCTTTTGTTTTGTATATACTTTATTGTGGTCTTCCCTTTTGACTGATGATGAAGATCATCTCTTTTTATGTGTTTGAGGGAAACTGAATTTATTCACACTGGTTATGGAACTGACATTTTTCACTGTTGAGAGTACCCTCTGGTGGGCTCAATTAAGTTCCATAGTCCGAAACTAACTAAAGGATAAGATAACTGTGCTAATAGCTAGTTTAGTTTCACTAAAAATGGAGAATAGACAGAGGTGTGAGTGAATGTGGTCCAATACCCTCTTTCCATTCAAATGGCTGTAAGTATTTTGAGAGTAATCCGATTATCCTAGTCCACAAAAACAAAATAGGTATTGGGCAAGTTGACAGAAGGTTGTTAGGTATGAAGACACTCACCTGCTACCACATAAATCTCCCTCTACCTCCTCTTGTAGGACCTAAGCACTTATGATTGTCTCATATCCTCTACTTTACTGTAAAATCTTTTCATCATTGCTTCTATGGACGGAACAACAGTGGTTAATTATTGTGAGAATGGCATTAATGTGGGGTGAAGAGAGAAAGATTTGGGTGTTTTTTTTAATTATTTTGATTGAATTATTAATGGTGAATGTCAACTGTTCAATGTCACTAATTGATCATCTGAACCGTACATTTAATTTCAATCCAGCTACGTCTTTAATTCATTTTTAATTTACAGACTGATAAAGCTTCAATGCTTGATGAAGTGATCGAGTATCTGAAACAACTGCAAGCTCAAGTTCAGATGATGAATAGATTGAACATGTCACCGATGATGTTGCCAATGGCGATGCAACAACAACTTCAAATGTCGATGATGGCTCCAATGGGAATGGGGATGGGAATGGGAATGGGAATGGGAATGGGTATGGGAATGGGAATGGGCATCATGGACGTCAACACAATGAACCGTCCCAATATCAATGGGATATCCTCTGTTCTTACTAATCCTTTCATGCCTATCACTTCCTGGGATGCCTCTGCTGCACCACCAGCAGTTATGACAGATCCTTTATCCACATTCCTTGCTTGCCAATCTCAGGTAAACATTATTCATTTCAACTCTTTACTAAGACTGCCGGTGATAAGCCGGAGTAAGGTGATAAAATACTTAAAAATCTTATACATTATTAATTAAATATATATATTACATTTAACTTTTGTAGCCGACGACCATGGATGCTTATAGCAGGATGGCTGCAATGTATCAACAGCTGCAGCAACAACCTCCAGCTTCAAATTCTAAGAGCTAAGTACATGGTTGCTTGTAATATTGATCTGGAATTAGTATAAATGTTTGAAGCAAGTGCCTTTTGTCCAAATTATTACTGTTTTTTGGTCTTATAGTATACAATTATGCCGCTTCTATAATTAATTTACAAGTTGTATAATTATTTACAAGCTGTTATGTTTGAGTCAGTAGTTGGAACTGAGAAGACTGAGAACTTAAGATGATTTTTCTTTTTTTTCTAATGGAAAAAGCCATGGATTTAGGCTTTGTACAGTACGGTTCTTCTTCTTGTCCGTAGAAACAACTTCACCAGTTATTGACTAATGTAATGTAATAATTGTAAAACTGATAGAGAAGCCGCCTCCACGGACACAGCTAACATGTAATGTTTGTTAAAGAATGGACAAGTAAATGATTGGATACTCATTTTTCAACTTGGATTAAGGCGTTACCACACGTTTGTCTAGCACGTTTCATACCATCTCATATCATTACTGACTTTTCCGCCTTTCCTTCAAATAAAAAATTTAAAAAAAAAAGTAATTAAAAAAGTTAATTATAAATTTGATATTTTATTCTGTTTTAGTTTCTGTTTATATGGAAAATGAATCTGTACCGTACCTGACTGTAAAACCCCTTTTTAGACAGTGGGGTCCCAAACATACTTTACAACTAGTAGCCGTAACATCTTTATATATTTGTATGTTCCCCAAGAGAAAAGATGTGATAGCTATAGCCACCTAAATTGATTGAAGACGGATGGATAAAGAGTACATGATTGGAGCGGAAAGCAAACGCTTGGACGCTAAGACTACCACATGCTTTATGTCCAAAATCTAAGGTTCTGCCGGCAATCACTTTTGTCTTGTCCAACAAATTTATGATTGTGTGTAGAGGCCCAAAATATTAGTGCACAAAACATTTGGGCTTGAACCAATCACTTTAAAATTGGTCCAAAAAGGCCATGCAACCATTCGAACCTAGTGTTTGTTCGACTGATATGATATGCAAGAGAGTAATAAATTTGACTAATTGAGTGATGGAGCAGCAAAAGATGATATATGGCATATGCCCTTGGACCATGTTGTGTGTTCTCAAATGGGCTTGGAGATGTCATTTTGTGGCCGATGAGCACATTTTATTGCACATTCTCTTACCTCGTCATCTTTTGATGTATACATGAAATGTCCCTTTTAAGCTGGAAAGGCCAATGTTTTAAATTGATATGATCAAATTGTCAAATGCTGATTTTGAAAGAGTGGTTCTCGTTTAAACTCCCTTTTTAAAAGTTTTAAGAATATTTTTTCCTTCTTGTTCTTATCACACTCCCGTAATTTTCTCTGAAGGTGGACCGTAAAAGTTCTGGTTCCGAAGCTTTTTGGGTCCTTGTTCAGCTGCTTGGTAACAATAAGCTGGATAAGCCCAAGCTAGAAGAACGGGCCAAAATTTAACTAGATTAAAGAAAGAAGGTTGATTTCTTTGTTGGACTTGAGTTGGGCCAGACCTACATATTGGGCCTCTAAAATTCCCTCTCTCACCTGCGGCCATTTCATGGGGCTAGGGCTAGCATTGCATTGAGCACATGGATATTGAATCAAAAGTGTCGGTTCCCAATCAAATATTTGATAATAAAAAAGTACCAAACAAACAAAGAAATCTAAATATTGTAATTGGACATCTGAAACTTCTAGGCATTTTATTTAGATATTTATTTTGTGGACCTACAGCTTTTAATACGATTTTTAGCTAGTACAAAGTGGGTACTCTCTTGTACACAACATGCTTTCCCTTGTGTGCTCNTAATTTTCTCTGAAGGTGGACCGTAAAAGTTCTGGTTCCGAAGCTTTTTGGGTCCTTGTTCAGCTGCTTGGTAACAATAAGCTGGAAAAGCCCAAGCTAGAAGAACGGGCCAAAATTTAACTAGATTAAAGAAAGAAGGTTGATTTCTTTGTTGGACTTGAGCTGGGCCAGACCTACATATTGGGCCTCTAAAATTCCCTCTCTCACCTGCGGCCATTTCATGGGGCTAGGGCTAGCATTAGATTGAGGCATTGAGTACATGGATATTGAATCAAAAGTGTCGGTTCCCAATCAAATATTTGATAATAAAAAAGTACCAAACAAATCTAAATATTGTAATTGGACATCTCAAACTTCTAGGCATTTTATTTAGATATTTATTTTGTGGACCTACAGCTTTTAATACGATTTTTAGCTAGTACAAAGTGGGTACTCTCTTGTACACAACATGCTTTCCCTTGTGTGCTCTGTCCAGTGTCCACTTTTTTTTTGGCACTTAAATGAGGGCAGGGTACTCGACATACGAATCCTGATATACTCATATGATTTTATTCCATTCCGCCACCAACAATGGTGAAAAACTTTTACTCCTATAAACGCCTGTCAGTCCAAATAACATGGTCATATTAACCAGCAATGTTGAAGCTTTTTTTTTTATTTTTTTCATTATCAAGAATGTCTGAACTAATTTATGCATATCTCAATTAATTTTTTGAGGTTTTAAAGTTAACAGTCAAATAATCATTTCAATAATCATCTTTATTAACAATTCAGATGAATCAAACTCAAAATATCTTAAATAATATAACCAAAAACCTTACTTGATCACTGAATTACCCAAAATTTGAACCCGATCGAATACCAACCTTTTGAACGTGAGAGTGAGAGTCCGAATCAAGATGCAAAAGCAGTAACAAGAGAATCATAATTAATGCAAAATCAGTATGAGAGAGAGAGAGGGGAAAGCATCGCACGTGTAACTAGTAACAAGTTCACTGAGGACTATACATGACACGAATCTTGAGGCAAGTACCATTTCTATTAATGCCGTCGACTTACCTGTGACCCTACAGTGATGCCCATTTCCATTATTACCCTTCAACACACTGTCGGCGAGCATGGTTAGAGATGGTTTCAGTGTTAGATGCATTGTTTAATATAAACTATAGCAAAAGCTGAGCTGTTTTGTCTGTACTTTCTCTTTACATACAAACAGGAAGCACTCAAATCTTATTATTTGATTTCATCTTTGCTTCCACTCACCTTCCATTTGCCCAAAACCAATGTCGTTTCTTTCACAGCTATGTATCTCAACCAAGTCTTTTGTCAAGTAAAACATTAACCTTAATTAAATATTCCGCCTACAAACTTAGTATAAATCCTTCTCAAAACGTTTCATTTTCCATTAACTAAAAAACCCAACTTCCATTCTCTCTCTCTTTAGTTGCTTTCAGTACTAATAATAATGGCTTCATCTGCTCTTATGATTTCCCCAAGAAAGCTCCGATCAGATGTATACTCTTATTCTTATCAGAATGATTCAAACACTCCATTGGTGATATCAGTTCTTGCTTCTCTGATTGAGAGAAGTATGGCTAGGAATGAAAGAATTGCCAAAAACTGTACGTGGGCATTGTCAAAAGACAATAGAACTCGAGTTTTTGATTGCCATGAGATACCAGACATGACAATTCAATCTTATCTCGAGAGAATCTTCAGATACACTCGCGCTGGACCATCCGTTTATCTTGTTGCTTATGTTTATATCGATCGCTTTTGTCAGGCCAATCCAGGATTCCGAATCAATGCAAGAAATGTACATAGACTTCTCATCACAACGATCATGGTGGCTTCTAAATATGTGGAAGACATGTAAGTATTTTTTCTTTTTTCTTCAACTTTAGCCTTTTAAAGTCAATCAAGAAAAGTTTATATCTCATATTTTACAATGTTCTGATGGAGCTTTAATTTTTTTCCTTTATGGCAGGAATTACAGAAATTCATACTTTGCTCGAGTTGGGGGACTGACTACCAATGAGTTAAACAAATTGGAGCTTGACTTTCTGTTCTTGATGGGTTTCAAATTGCATGTGAATGTGAGCGTTTTTGAGAGCTATTGTTGTCATTTGGAAAGAGAAGTGAGTATTGGAGGAGGTTATCATATAGAACGGACATTACGGTGCGCTGGAGAAATCAAATCAAGGCAAAATGAAGAAAGAAGATTTAATCAAATCGCTCGTATTATGTTGTAAATTAATCAAACTAGAAAAAGTTTTGTCTGCCATGGTGATAGATTTAATGGTGTACAGATAAATATATAGAGTGATGATTGATTTGAGTTTTTTGGCTTCACCTTCACGAAGACGAAGGGTAATGCAGAGTGATGTATAAAAATATGTAATGGGTTTTTACTAAATTTGTTGATATCTATCATATGATTAAGTCATGGTTTCTTCAATTTGACTCTGGAACTGGAATGTCATGTTCTCTCTTACGCTAATAAAGATCAACATAAAATTGCATGAATTTAAACTTAAAAAGAAGAGGACACGAGACCGTCGGTCCGACCAAGATTGTGAAGGCAAAATTGAACTGCAATGATCTTGTGACGGTCATGAATTAGCTACAGTGAAAAGAATCAGTGGAACCCAGAAAGACCTAAAAGGCAAAAGTAAAATTAGTTAATTATTATTACTTAGGTTAAGCCTTGATTTCACCGGTCCATAATTGTAGCAGGGGAAGGCCTGCACTGCAATGATTTACATTCTCAACTAACATATAAGAGCCCAGTTGGCACACTAACCAGCAAAATTTGACCTTTTTTAGATCTCTGCTTTTGGTCAATTCGGCAGTTTATAAATACCATTAAATAATAAATATATATACACAACAGTTGCTTCTAAGTAGATAATATGTATATACAACAGAAGACAACTTGTAGCAGAGGAAAGACGAAAGAAAGAGCTGAATGGAATTGATCAGAGAGGACAAATGGGTGGATAGGAGAGGAAACTATGGCTTTGAAAAAGTGATCAAATTATTAGAATTAATCATTAAATTTAATTTGATTCTAACAAACAGAAGATATCAAGCACAAACAGTGTCTTGAAAATTAAATTCTACCTAATAGGATTGATTTAGCTATAGATGTCTAATCAAATTGTGGAAGTGGGCTCTAATTCTATCTTCGTCCTGTGCCTCATCTAATCAAGAACCACTACGTCTGTTCATAATTTTCAATTAGAGCTAAAAAGTAAGCCACTTTTGAATTAAACATTAAGATGCTGTGGTGGGTTATAAGCTGCTAGTCCTCTCTTACCTTCCTTTGATGATGATGATGATGTACGGACTCCCTTATATAATTTGATTAAAATGATGAATTGGGCTCTTATCTGTAATCTATACCAGAAACGATGACTCTTAGCCGTCGATGATATCGTTGAACATGAAAAACAGTCAAATAATAGCCGTCCATACAGTTGATTCATAATCCAAGTACCCAATACGAATAAATAAAATCAGTAGCAAAACGACAAAGAGAATGGAAGAAGGAAGGTGGAAAGAAGTTTGGTAATGTAGCGCCATTAAAAAGGAGTATAATATAAGTTAGATTAGGCGGCAGTGTCTTTACGACCAGTTTCTAATGGCCAAGAACATTTTCAAACGATACTTTATTTGTATCACAACTCACATTGTCTCCTCTCAACTCATGCACTTTCCATAAATTAATGCTTACTGAGTGGCAATACCCAGTAATTTCCCCAGAAAACTTCTGTTATTTAAATCTACTATCTTAAGTCAATTCCCAGCTCTACATTCAAGTAATTAATTTCCCATTTATAACTCTTGTTTCTACAGAAACTGTGAAAGGAAAAAAGCTTATAATATAATGGATCATTAAAGTTTTGTTTCAAGATCTTGTAATTTAATATTGAAAACGAAGCTCATGACAGGAGTATCTTTTTCCAGTCACGTTGTCATATAAATTTTATTTTGTCGTATATGAATGGAAATTGGTGCATGATTGGGAACGTATCGTCGAGCTAATATATTTCTTATACGAATTGTAATGAGATTAAGGAACATACATGTCTATTTTTGCTGCCATGTCTGTAAGCACTCACCTACCATAAATCTGAATATATTTAGCTCGTCAATCGTCAATTATGTTTGATTTAAAGAATAGAAAATAAGATACAGATGCTGATGCTGATTTTATGTCCAGTACATATAGTATCTCATTTGCAGATTTGCGCAGGGTTGAATCCCGGCATTAATTTGATGGCATTTTTCACATGACATTTTTGCCATATCATTCACACGTTGTTATTAATCAAGAACGTTTGGTTTAGCTAAACCATAAGAAAGAAGTTTCTTTTCTCCGTGTCTATCCATTTTCTCAAGCTTGAACACCACAATGTTCTTGAGCTTACTCTTGTCAACTATGAAAATTATAAAGGATGTAATATGGTTTTTTGAATTCGAGTCTCCATAGCTGCTAGGGTGGTCAATGGGACTCTTAATCGGTCGGTAGTTTCAGAATCCCAAATGATTAATTGAGTTGCGTACAAATTGATCCAAACATTCTGATCATTAAAAAAAAAATTAAAAAAAAAATAAAACTTGGACCAGGCTTAACGAAATAAGTCCATGTTCGAACTCACACTCATATCTATTATCTAGTTTGGGAGAAGTTCTAGCCCACTTTGTGTTTATAATTTGGCAGACTTGGGCTTGCTAATCGTGGACTTCAGTCGTCACACACTTACAATTTGGAAGACTTGGGCTTACTTTTTTCTGAAGCATGGGATGTAGTTTATGTTCCAGGGACAAGGTCCAATAAACAAATACAGCAACAGAGTACGGGAGAGATACACTATAATTTCAACTTCTTTCACCCTGTTTCCGCAATATATGCAGATCATCTTCATTGACAGTAAGCAATTAATGGAATTAAAACTACTGATAGCATGGAAAAAATTGAAACCCTTTCAACTTCTTTTACCCTGTTTCCGTGATATCTGCAGATCATTTTCATTGACATAAAGCAATTAATGGAATTAAAACTACTGATAGCATGGAAAAAATTGAAATTTGACAAAATAGCAGATAATCATTTTGAAATTTTGGTTATATTTGTTGAATTTTAGCCGGTCGGCCCAATCGTTGGGTAATATAGGTTACATCAACTTCACTTTTTCTTATTATCCCATTTTCGAATTGTCGTATCGCAGTCAATTTCAAATCAAACGGAAACAATACTTACAAATTCTCTGCAAGAAATCGAGACCCTTTCTACCATATGAGTTTATTTTTCTGTAAATGTGTTTCTGCAGCTCCATTCTGTTTCAACTACAAACAGTTTCTCCAGAAGAGGAATTTCTTTCCCTCTTCAAAATTCTTTCTATCGTGCGAAAGTGATAGCCATGTGGGTGATCTCAGTCACGTTGTTAGTTTGTTCCGAATTCAGAACCTGCGTCTTGACAGTGATAAAGTGATAACCATGTGGAATTATAACCTTTGTTAAAAAGAAAACTTCAATAATCTCCGTAATTAGTCTTTGATTAATCCAATAATTGAGGATGATGATGATGGATAATACACCAAGTTAGAAAATATGGCGTGTCAAACCATCAACTTGTGAAAAGAAATTTATATACACCTCAAAATCAAACGAAAATTACGTCCCTTGGATTAAAATATACCATTAGATCACAATCATATGGCATCACCACCGTGAAAAAAGAATTCTACAAATCCTTAATTCCCGCAAACTATTACGTGCCGTTGTTTTTGAATAATGTTGACTCTCCGGGTCCTCTTTAAGACATTCAACGGCCAATAACCACTATTAACGGCAACATCAACGAACCAAAGAATTTCAACAGTTCATTCATTTACAAAATACATAAATATTTAATTAATTGAAATACTGCATAGAGATAAACAACATTCAGTTTGACTTTATTCTTATTGATTTGGATCCTAGTCAGGGCCAGAGCTACAAAATTGATCTGCTGATGTAAAGGAAATCTATGTAAAATTTAATATATAATGAAATCTACGAGTTAAAGGGTTATCATTTATCGAAGCATCAATTAATATGTATACTTTAACAATAGTAATACATATATGAAGACCCTTTATAAAGATAGGTATATGAGGTGATATGAGTAGTGAAAATAAATATAATAAATTTGAATATTTATTTTTATTTTTAATGTATCATTTTGTATGTAATCTTTATAAGATAACTTTGTAGTAGTAATGCTCATACTTTTAAAACACATAGTATACGTTAATTATATTATAATTAATATTCTTAAATGTAAATATTTATTCATTTTCTTTGTCTTTATCCAAATTAAAACTTTATATTTATACTATTTTTTATATTTTATTTTTCTAAATATTAAATATTAGTGTGGGTGATATTATTTGTATTTTACTGTTATATATTGTGAGAAAATAAAACTATATATATATATACTGAATTGATGAAAAAAGTTGCAATCAAATGTGAAAATTTATAGGTAAACCTAAGTACATAATAAGGTAATCAAAATCCTAAATATACACGTAATAATATAACATATACTATAATCATGGGAAAAATATATTATAATTTATATAATATATTATATGATATATTATTTCCTAATATATATTAGCTTTTTTTTTTTTTTTTTTTTTTTTAAATAAAAAGAGTATTTCATCTCCCGCAATTCCAAAAGAAAATCCTCCCATATGCACGTGGCGTGTCAAAAATTCAAGCAACAGGTACCATGACTAACCTCTCCTGTCTATAAATACCTGCAAATATTACTTAAACAAACACAGCTTGTAGTGGCAACAAAGTGCATAAGATAAGAGTGTTTGATCTCATACAGTGATCATGGAGCCTGTTCTTCGATATCCATTCTCTTTCTTCACTCTTGTAACTATCTTATCTCTTTTAATCAACCCTTGTCACTGCTTCAATCCCAAGCTCCTTAACATTTCGTTGGCACAAACCGACTCAAACTGGTCACCAGCCGGAGCAACCTGGTATGGTAGCCCCACTGGTGCAGGATCAGATGGTAATGTATACAAAGATAGAGTGATTAAACATTTATAAATAATACGTGCCACATATGCGCTCACGTGAAATTAATTTTGTTATGAATGTATATATACACAGGAGGAGCTTGTGGCTATGGCGCTTTAGTGAGCCAACCACCATTTTCTTCAATGATTTCTGCAGGTGGCCCTTCTTTGTTCAATTCAGGGGAAGGGTGTGGAGCCTGTTATGAGGTACGTACGTACGTGCAACAACGAAAATTTTAATTTCTCGAACCTTATTCTTGTACTATAATTTCCCATGCATTCATAATCAAAGTTGCTTACCATGACAATTCAATTACAGGTAAAATGCACTCAGAATCAGAACGCTGCGTGCTCAGGAAATCCAGTGAAAGTAGTTATTACTGATGAATGCCCTGGAGGTCCTTGCGCTGCAGAGGCAGCTCATTTTGATTTAAGTGGAACCGCTTTTGGATCCATGGCAACTTCTGGCCAGGCTGATCAACTTCGTAATGCCGGAGTCTTGCAGATACAATATAGAAGGTAATTATTATCGTATCCCGCTTTCCTTATGTTAAAGTTTTCAAGCTTCGTGCTTTTTGTTTTCTATGATTAATATGTTATTCTTTAACCGTCGAACTGTTCTCGGTCACGGGACTTTATCCACGAAACCCGTGACACAAAATTTCTTACTTTTACATTTATGAATTTCGGTTGTTTTGTCAAATAATTCGATAATGATAGTTCATATTAATTAATCAATATGATTTGGCTAAGCAGGGTTGAATGCAACTATTCTGGGAAGACAGTGACCTTTCACGTTGATTCAGGGTCAAACCCAAACTATTTCGCTACACTAGTTGAATACGAAGATGGAGATGGTAATCTGGGTAAGGTTGAACTCAAACAGGCGCTTGACTCAGACTCATGGCTTTCCATGCAGCGATCGTGGGGTGCAGTTTGGAAACTTGATTCAGGGTCGACTTTACGTCCTCCGTTTTCAATACGTTTAACTGAGCCTGACTCTGGCAATACCCTTGTTGCGAGTGGTGTCATTCCTGCTAATTGGAAACCAGGACAAACTTATCGATCACTTGTCAATTTTAACGTCTAATTAATTTTGCATATGTATATATATAGTGGAGGAGATTATTAGTTCTAATTAGGTCAACTTTAATGGCTCCTCGCCTCCTCCCATGTACTCTCAATGTCCCGTGCACTTGTTAAATAAATCTTTTGGGTTTCTATAGCAAGCCTAGTTCGGCCTGCAGAAAGCGGAGCCCAGTAACAAATGATTGATTTGGGCTATTTGGTAACAGATTCAAACCCATTTATTCTAGCTGTTTTAGCAACTATTTACTCTCATGTAACGGTGTTACTTAATATTTTACTTGACTTCGAAATCGGTTTTAATCTTAATGAATTTACAGATTACACAAACTGAAACGGCTTTGTTTAACCTATTTTTCTTTACTCAGAAAGTCAAACAAAGTTGATCCCAACGTATATTTGTATCCCTCAACAGAAATTTAATTAATTAAATCAATGGTGATTTACACAAAGAGAAAGAGCTTTCAATATTCAGGTGATCAAAGAGAAATGCTCAACATTTTAATGATGAATTAATGTCTTTGTCTTGTTGACTTGTCTTATGATTAGATCTTGAAATTATAATTAAGCAACTATAATCACAATGCAGCTTATGAATCACAGAATCCATGAAGAGAGACTGTAACATTGCACCTCGAAATGTATCATTATAATCATCAATTGAAAAAGCATAATGTTAAAAACCAATCATGAAAATACAGCTAAACTAGGCCAAAAAATGAAGATGATTAACTCATATAAACCTAGCTGTGTTCTACATTGAAATGGTTGGTGATTGATATAATCAAAGGAACAGTCTTAATCATTCTTTCTTCTACTGTCGCTTTAAATTGCAAGGTAGCCATAGTTGAGTAGAGTGGGTGCTTTCAACTGTGTTTCTACTAAGCATGCTTCTTAATTTACTTAATCACTATCACTGCTTAAGTGAGTTGCTGGCTACAGTTGGGTCTCGACTCTCGATCTCATTTCATTTGCTTTGAATCAAAGCGAAATAATAATGATTGATTGATTAGAGACTAAACCCACTACACTGATGGAAACAACAAGACAAGTATTAATTAATTAAATAAATAAATTATATAATTTAATTTAAAATCAAAATAGAATCTGATATTTGTATAAACCATTGATTTCAGTAGAAAAGATTTGTGGGAATCATTGAAGCTGGAAAAAAGGGATAATGATAAATATGGATGGAATTAAAAGAAGAAAAAAATGTGTGGGAAAGCAGGTAGAAGCCAACCGACAGAGAAGGAGAAGCATTGGGTTAGTTTTCTTGGCTTGGAATTGAAGGGATATGAATAGGTATGGCAGTTAGAACCACTCTCTCTCTCTCTCTTTTTTCCATTTTTAATCCTTACACTCACTCACTTAAAGCTCTATTATACTCACACACTAAACTGGTTGTACGGACAACCGTTGGTATAAGTTTGACCGGCGGCGCCACCACACCACAGACACAAAAACACAGTCGTAGAAAAAGTCTCAAACCCTTTCATAATCCTACCACTTGTCATTTACACTCCCTTAACATTACTCTTCTTCTTATCTCTCTCACTCTCATCCACAAAAATTAACCATTACTTTTACTAAAAACTAGGACTAGTAATCCTTCTTCCACCATACAACCTGAAAACAAATTTCACTACAAGAACCTCCACTTTCATTTCCATCCTCACCCCCATTTCAATTTTTTTTTTTAAGAAAACAACAAATTGTTATCCTTTGCATGGCTTTGATTGTGGATCAACATGCAAACTTGAAACATTACTGTAAAATTTGCAAGAAGGGATTTGGTTGTGGAAGAGCGCTTGGTGGGCACATGAGGGCGCATGGAATTGGAGATGAGAGTGGTCATATTGACGATGACGATCAGGCTAGCGATTGGGAGGATAAACTTGGAGGCAATATACCACCTAGTAATAAGCGTATGTACGCGTTAAGAGCTAACCCCAATCGTTTAAAGAGCTGTCGTGTTTGTGAAAACTGCGGGAAAGAATTCTTGTCTTGGAAATCTTTTCTTGAACATGGTAAATGTAGCTCTGAGGATGCTGCTGAGTCTCTTGTTTCTTCACCAGGATCAGACGGTGAAGACGGCACACCACGAAGAGGGTGTGGTTGGTCTAAAAGAAAAAGATCTTTGAGAGCTAAAGTTGGTAATTTTAACTCGAATTGCCCGTCAAGTGAAGAAGAAGATCTCGCTAATTGTCTTATGATGTTATCTAACGCAAACGTTGATCCTTTAGAGGCTGAACCTGAAGAGTCTTGTGCTTCGGCTAGTAAAGATGAGGAACGAAGAAATACAATGAATTTTATTGCTCCTATTTCATGTAGACTGCCCATGGATAAGGCCAAAGGGGTTGCTAAAGGATTGTTTGAGTGTAAAGCATGCAAGAAAGTGTTCAATTCTCATCAAGCATTAGGCGGACATAGAGCTAGTCATAAGAAAGTAAAAGGGTGTTTCGCGGCCAGGCTCGATCATATGGATGATAGTTTAGCTGATGAAGATCTTGATGTGATCACACACGAAGAGTTTTTTCCTACTAAATCAACGCCAAATTTTCATTTTGAGCATGGCACAAATACTCCATTGCCATCTACATCAAAAAGAAAACCAAAAGTTCATGAATGCTCAATTTGTCATCGGGTTTTTTCATCAGGACAAGCTTTGGGTGGTCATAAAAGGTGTCATTGGATCACTTCAAATTCGCCAGACACCTCATCGTTGGTTAAGTTTCATCAATTTCATCACGATACCATGGATCAAATTCAGCAGCAAAGACCAAAATTCATCGACAATTCTGATCCACTTGATCTTAAACTTGATCTTAATCTTCCTGCCCCGGATGACGATCATGGTGCAGCAAGAAGGGAGAACGTAAAGCCATCAAGCTTTCAAGTGTCAACAGAGATTTACCTACAGCCATGGATAGGGAAAGAAAATAATGAAGATAATTACCAAAGCCATCAAGTTAACAGTGACCTTAATATTAAAAACAAAAATAATTGTAACAGTTCAATGCAGAACGTGGATGACGAAGCGGACAGTAAAGTGAAGTTAGCAAAGTTAAGTGAACTAAAGGACATGAACATGAGTGGAGGTTCATCTCCATGGTTGCAAGTGGGGATTAGTTCAACTACTGATATGGAAGCTGACCCATAAACATTAAATTTTCTGTTTCTAGTGATAGTAACCACCTTTTACTCTCAATTTTCTTCTTTTTTTATTTATTTATTTATTAAACAAGTGTAATTACAAAGTCAACAGGGTATAAATATTAGGTGCAATGAAAAATGTACCCTTATGAAATCAAGCCTGAGAGATTCTTCTCTCTCTAGCATTTACAAATTACGGTTACCGCTGTGTAATTCCATTCCTCGAAAAATAATATTTCTGCAGTTGACCTTATTTTTTTTCTTTAACATTCTTGCCTCGCAAACTTTAGTAAAAAATAATGGAGATTGATTTGGTTGTTTTCGTATCAATATCAGATTATATTCGGTGGGTGCTGTTTAATGCAAAGCAGAAAGAAGATGAGTGTCATCGCATTTTGATACAAATAAAACAAAACAACTTGATGGGTATAGGTTTATATATTCTTAAGCTAAATCATTAGTCGTGAATCATGGGGGAAGAAAAAAAAAAAAGAGAGAAGTAAAATTCAAAGAGTTGCTGGGTGGCTTTCGGCTTTCCTTCTGTAAAGATAAATTATAATGCAGGGAATTGAAAAGAATCCCAGCCGTCATCTTCAACTTCAAGTCGAATCATGCCCTCCAAACTGCCTGCCATTACAAGTTTGACTTGGTAATGGCAAGTTGCCCACTTCTTCAAATCATCAAATAAAATTTTATTCAACAAATTAACAGTGTCTGTGCCGCCTGTCCAATATTATTCACAAATCACAAGTGTATATAATATAGTTTAAGGGATCTGTTCTGCTTTTTCAGATATATTAATTACTATTTCGTGTTTTACCAGATGAGAAAGCTGATGTTCGTGATGTGGGCATATTACCGACTTTTCTTTCATTCTAGGATAAGAACTGATGGTTTCATTTAGTCGATTTCCAGAACCCCAAGTTACGTTGGCATTGAAGATCTGGTTACCAACCTATTGGCTACTCTTGACCCCGCTACTTGACATTTGACAAGGCGGCTTCATGTTCATGGTTAGGTCAGGTATTAATACTGAGTATGGCCTGGCAAGAAAGTGCCTTTTCACTAGTCATTACCCAATTAAGAACTGCTCAAAACAGTTAATATATAACTAGGCAGATTCTATCTTCATTATTTTCAAATTTATAACTTTAGATATAAACAAAGGATCATTGAATTACAGCTTGCATCCGTTATTAATAGTGGGGTTTAGCATATATAACTCTCTTTAAATTTTTTAGCTGTTTTCGATTTATATATTAAACGCACATGATTCATTAATTTTACAAAACAATTGAGACCCTTGACTTGAATACTATTGGTGGAACTATTTATTAGATTAATTAACTTTTTAAAACAAATTATAAAAAAAAAAATTTGATAAATACTAAATATTTTATCAATAAAAGAATTGTCTCATTATTTTAAATACAAATATTTGTATAAGTACCCATCACTGTTTTTCGTGTCTATTCAAATCTTATACTCAACAAATTAATAGAAACAAAAATGGTTGATATTAATATGTTTGATTCATTAAATAAATCTCTAATTATGTAACGAGAAAAGTTTCTAAGTACTTAAAAATTTGTTGAAAATTTATTAATCGTACAATGTCATACTAAAAATAGTTTTTTTTTTTTTTTTCAGTAATCAAAGTGATTGGACAAGTTTACGCACACCTCAACTAATTCTTAAATCTTCAAGGAAAATTATCCCATAGGCCACAACAACCCAACATCACGACCCCTAAGTAAATCATGACAGCAATCTACTGTTATGGCCTCAGATAAATTATAGATAAAGGTATTATCTTTGTGAGATAAATTATAGACAAAGTATTATCTTTCTGGAGAATAAATTTGCTACTGTAGATTGAAGTCATATCAAACCTCTTTAGTTCGTCTTTACCGCTGTCATACCTATGGATGAATAAATTTTGCATTAAATAAATACACAAAACTTGAGAATTGAACCTGCAAAGCTTTGACGAGATGAACCATGTTACCCATTACCCAATTGAAATTTCCTTCTTGTATTCCTAAACTTCTTTTAAAACAAAAACATGCGCTTCTCCCAAGTCCGTCCAACATCCAAAATAAACCAAATTTCCTTCAGTTTGTACGGGGGGATTTGATCCCCAGTCCCTGGATTCCTGGAACTCTCTGTTTTTAATGTAATGAACATTGCCAACAACTACAACACTATGCTTCTTTTAGAGATGTATCTTCAAACTACCTAAATTAACGAGAGGCTTCCAGAACTTGGAACCCAAATAAGGTTATGATCCAGAAGGAAAAGTAAACTGAGTTACGAATGAATTCGTGTTTCTTGTCTAACACGATGTTTGTTTGTTGTTGATATCTTAATAATTGGTTATGGTGCATGCAGCAGCAGCAGCAGCCCCATGTTTTTGTACGCATTCTCCTTGATCGTGCACTGCTGGCTTTTGCAATTATCTGGTTCACATCACATCATAAAGGACTGTTACATAGACGGCTATGAATTTTTTGGAAGCAACTGGGGTCCAACTTTAGAAATCTCTGCCTTTGATTTGATGTATGGTGATCTCAAGATACATCTAATCTCTTCCTGGAAGCACAAATTCAGATCTTACATCTACTCTTCAGCTGGCCTGGGAGATTGAGATTACTCAATCTCATTGAACAATTACTGTGGGAGCCAACCACTAACTTTGGTTCCAAGCTTTAGTATCAATCCCAAATTAAAGGCTTTTTTTATATATACAGACCTAAAAATTGATTCTTGAACTACTACTTCGTCAATAATTGTCGACTATTGGAGACACCAACTGGTACTTTTAAGCTTATTGTTGTAATATTCCAAATACCTAAAGTATTATTTTTATATATATATAAATGTTTTGTAATTTATGAGCATCCTGTTTCAGTACTTAGATATCGTGTCACAAATCCCGAGCCCACCCTGGAATATATTATATACAGGAATTCAATTGCTAAATAGTTATCTCACTTGGAGGATAACGTTATGCTCGTATAAGAATTTGACTATCCCAATACCCAACCATCAGTGGGCCCAACGCTTAGTGGGTTTTACAAGGCTTCTGGTAAAATATAGTCGGGGTCAGGGCTTGTTGAGTGTTCATCATTTCACCCATCTTCAATGTTCTGCAAAACACATCATGCGATTATGTACGGCCAAGATCACAAATGTACTTTATAGCTTACTCCGCTCTACTATTGCTAACTTGCTACCAGACAATTAATAATCAGATAAGCTCCATTTTACAGCACGAACTTCATTGCTACTAGTCAAAAGCTATCCGGAATTTCGGACATTAGACCCTTTTGTCCGTAAATGAACAGGTTGTCATTCATTCTGTCCAAGCCCAAAATTCATGTGACTAAATTACGATTCTAATACAAACTTTAATCAAAATTAAGAGATTTTAATTAAACATTTTCTTGAACTAATTTCAAGCAGCTATATGGTCTAAAATTCTGAACACGTGTAATGAATAAGCATTAAATATTGCGACATTAACACCATGCCAACATTGAAAGCTCAAACAAGTAACATATAAACCGTACTATTACCATATAAAAATGTTAAAATATTAATTGAATTATAATTTATAAATTATTCACTGGTTTAAATAAATATTAAAAATGTTTAAATTGGAGAGTTTAAACTTTAAAGCAATGCAAATGGAAGGCATATTCGGAAAGAAAAAGAAAAAGAAAAACGTGTAAATGAGAGAAGGAAGTAAATAAAAATAAAAAATCCACATGGAGTGCGCGAGAATTGAAGAATGTTGAGGGTGGGAGTGGGGATGGGATTAGCAGTTAGGACCAGACTGGGTCTACCGTCTACTAATAACCCCTAACAAAACGGCATTCAATCCCCATACAATACTCCCTTCACAAAGGGATGTTAGTTTTTCCCACCCTTCATTTTCCATCAGACATTTCAACTGAAGATCCAATTTTAAAGGAAAGTAACCCAAAATGCTTTTTTTTTTATTTTATTTTTTCAAACAAGGGAAAAATGCCTTCTAGCCGGTCCAGCCGGCTTGCTAAAGCTACTAACACTGACAGTTGGCTTTAGGATCACCGGCAAAAAGTAACAGAATCTGAAAATAAATAAACTGATTTCAGTTTTTTTTTTTTATTTAATTTATTGTTAATAGAGGTAAAACTGTAATAACACTAATAAGAAAATATTGTTATGAAAATGGGTTACGTGGACAGTTTTCATTTGATATGACACCCCTGTTACTTTATTCTAAGTCACAGGNTTACCCATTACCCAATTGAAATTTCCTTCTTGTATTCCTAAACTTCTTTTAAAACAAAAACATGCGCTTCTCCCAAATCCGTCCAACATCCAAAATAAACCAAATTTCCTTCAGTTTGTAAGGGGGGATTTGATCCCCAGTCCCTGGTTCCTGGAACTCTCTGTTTTTAATGTAATGAACATTGCCAACAACTACAACACTATGCTTCTTTTAGAGATGTATCTTCAAACTACCTAAATTAACGAGAGGCTTCCAGAACTTGAAACCCAAATAAGGTTATGATCCAGAAGGAAAAGTAAACTGAGTTACGAATGAATTCGTGCTTCTTCTCTAACACGATGTTTGTTTGTTGTTGATATCTTAATAATTGGTTATGGTGCATGCAGCAGCAGCAGCAGCCCCATTTTTTTGTACGCATTCTCCTTGATCGTGCACTGATGGCTTTTGCAATTATCTGGTTCACATCATGAAGGACTGTTACATAGACGGCTATGAATTTTTTCGAAGCAACTGGGGTCCAACTTTAGAAATCTCTGCCTTTGATTTGATGTATGGTGATCTCAAGATACATCTAATCTCTTCCTGGAAGCACAAATTCAGATCTTACATCTACTCTTCAGCTGGCCTGGGAGATTGAGATTACTCAATCTCATTGAACAATTACTGTGGGAGCCAACCACTAACTTTGGTTCCAAGCTTTAGTATCAATCCCAAATTAAAGGCTTTTTTTATATATACAGACCTAAAAATTGATTCTTGAACTACTACTTCGTCAATAATTGTCGACTATTGGAGACACCAACTGGTACTTTTAAGCTTATTGTTGTAATATTCCAAATACCTAAAGTATTATTTTTATATATATATAAATGTTTTGTAATTTATGAGCATCCTGTTTCAGTACTTAGATATCGTGTCACAAATCCCGAGCCCACCCTGGAATATATTATATACAGGAATTCAATTGCTAAATAGTTATCTCACTTGGAGGATAACGTTATCCTCGTATAAGAATTTGACTATCCCAATACCCAACCATCAGTGGGCCCAACGCTTAGTGGGTTTTACAAGGCTTCTGGTAAAATATAGTCGGGGTCAGGGCTTGTTGAGTGTTCATCATTTCACCCATCTTCAATGTTCTGCAAAACACATCATGCGATTATGTACGGCCAAGATCACAAATGTACTTTATAGCTTACTCCGCTCTACTATTGCTAACTTGCTACCAGACAATTAATAATCAGATAAGCTCCATTTTACAGCACGAACTTCATTGCTACTGGTCAAAAGCTATCCGGGATTTCGGACATTAGACCCTTTTGTCCGTAAATGAACAGGTTGTCATTCATTCTGTCCAAGCCCAAAAATCATGTGACTAAATTACGATTCTAATACAAACTTTAATCAAAATTAAGAGATTTTAATTAAACATTTTCTTGAACTAATTTCAAGCAGCTATATGGTCTAAAATTCTGAACACGTGTAATGAATAAGCATTAAATATTGCGACATTAGCACCATGCCAACATTGAAAGCTCAAACAAGTAACATATAAACCGTGCTATTACTATATAAAAATGTTAAAATATTAATTGAATTATAATTTATAAATTATTCACTGGTTTAAATAAATATTGAAAATGTTTAAATTGGAGAGTTTAAACTTTAAAGCAATGCAAATGGAAGGCATATTCGGAAAGAAAAAGAAAAAGAAAAACGTGTAAATGAGAGAAGGAAGTAATAAAAATAAAAAATCCACATGGAGTGCGCGAGAATTGAAGAATGTTGAGGGTGGGAGTGGGAATGGGGTTAGGAGTTAGGACCAGACTGGGTCTACCGTCTACTAATCACCCCTAACAAAACGGCATTCAATCCCCATACGATACTCCCTCCACAAAGGGATGTTAGTTTTTCCCACCCTTCATTTTCCATCAGACATTTCAACTGAAGATCCAATTTTAAAGGAAAGTAACCCAAAATGCTTTTTTTTTTATTTTATTTTTTCAAACAAGGGAAAAATGCCTTCTAGCCGGTCCAGCCGGCTTGCTAAAGCTACTAACACTGACAGTTGGCTTTAGGATCACCGGCAAAAAGTAACAGAATCTGAAAATAAATAAACTGATTTCAGTTTTTTTTTTTTATTTAATTTATTGTTAATAGAGGTAAAACTGTAATAACACTAATAAGAAAATATTGTTATGAAAATGGGTTACGTGGACAGTTTTCATTTGATATAACACGCCTGTTACTTTATTCTAAGTCACAGCCAGGGGACAAGAACTTAGTGGGGTCGTTTTCTATATATGAGGGCTCTGTGTGGTTTTTTTTTATTCTGCTTCGTCGTTACAACCACCCAGCAATTCTCTTGACTTGTACAAGAAAGCCACCGGTTTATTCTGGTAACCTGATTGCAATACCTAAAATATCCTTCCGTGATTTTTACAAAATTAAAATAAGTATCTTAGAATAAGTACAAACATATATAAGAGAGAAATGGGATTGGATACTTTTTACATAGGACGAAACAACTAAATTAAGAGAGGGCAGATTAGGAAAGATAAAATGGGAGATAGAGAGGGAATAAATACAGAAACGGGCAAGACTCGCATGTTACATGTCGTTCTTTCTCCCTTCATGCATACGCTTTAATTAAATTTATATTTATTTCTTTTTTGCCGTTTTAAAGAAAATCAATTACTAACAAACCAAATAAATTTATTTTGATTTTTAATCGAAAAAGAAAAAAAAAGAAAAAATTCTGGTATCTTTGTATATATCTCTTGGTGGAGGAATGCTTGTCACCTACTCCTTTTAAGTTTCCATTCTCTCACATTGAAAGGGAAATCCAGAGCTCACAGGCTTTGAGAGAGAGAGAGAGAGAAGTATCTCTGTTTTTACTCTGGTTTTTTTCTTTTTTTTTTTGGTTTGGTTTGGTTTTTATTGTAATGGAGAAGCATAAGTGTAAACTTTGCTTCAAGAACTTTTCAAATGGAAGAGCTTTAGGTGGTCACATGAGGTCTCATATGTTGAATCTTCCAATTCCTCCAAGACAACGTGAAGAAGAAGAGGAAGAACAAAGGAATCAACTCAGTGATGATACCGAGTCAACTTCTTCACAACCGTCATCATCTCCATCAGACGAAGAAGAAGAAGAAGGAGAATTAGAAAAGGGTCTGTTATATGGTTTAAGAGAGAATCCAAAGAGAAGCATTCGTTTGGTAGATCCTGAATTCTCTTTTGCTGTTGATGCAGGGTCTGTTATTCTTCAAGATAGAGAAAGCGAGACTGAGTCATCAAAGAACCCAACTCGTAGACGATCCAAGCGGACTCGGAAGTTGGAACATCAGTATCATCATCATCAACAACAAAGACAAGAACAAGAGATGGTAAAGAAGCTTAAATTTAACAAACTGAGTAAGACCGAGTCATGGGTTGAGCCTGAACCGGTGAGTTCCATATCTGACACAACTACAGAAGAAGATGTCGCTTTCTGTCTTATGATGCTTTCAAGAGACAAATGGAAGAGAAAAGAACAACAGCGGCATGAAGTTCAAGAAGACGAAGAAGAAGAAAATGAAGAAGCAGAAAAGTCAATGGAGGAAACAGATGAATCTGATGAGTTCAAATCTTCAAAACAACGAAGTCGAGGAAAGTACAAGTGTGAAACATGTAAAAAGGTATTTAAATCTTATCAAGCTTTAGGTGGACATCGAGCAAGTCATAAAAAGATTAAATTTTACTCTCCAATTCAAGAACCTGAGTTGGACCAAGAAAATGCAGGTACTTCTACTCCCGTTCCAATGTTGGAAAAGAAAATCCATGAATGTCCTGTTTGTTTTAGAGTTTTTTCTTCTGGGCAAGCTCTTGGTGGACATAAGAGAACTCATGTAACTGGTTTAGTAACAACGACACCACCACCAACAACAAGTAGTACTCCTGCTAGAAGTTCCACAAAGTTAGGAGAAAATTTGATAGATCTTAATCTTCCTGCTCCAATCGATGATGATGATATTAGCCAAATCGAGCTGTCTGCCGTTTCTGATGCTGAATTTGTGAACCACATCAAACGATGAAATCCTGCTTAGTTTTTGTGTTGGTCCGCACAACTGGTTCCATCTAAAGGTAAAAGAATTTTTAGCTTCTTTTTGTGTGTTTCTGGGATCTAAAATTATGCCATTCGTTGCGGTCAACTGGGGTTTAAATTAGTTTCTTTTATATTCTTAGACTGTTCTAAATCAGCTAACTGTAACGCATCTCCTTCAAATTTTCTCTCATAGTCTGTAACAACCGATTCAAGAATATTTTTATTAATGGAGAAACCATAGATGATTACTTCCTTGATTAATTTTTCCCTTTTAAAATTCTTTTTGTTAAAGTTTGTGGATGAAGTGCCAAGCATTGTAGTTAATGGGTTCCGCTTAAGCTTTTTTCTGTTTTTAGCTGATTGTTTCACCAGTCTTTTCCTAAATATATAAATAAATAAAGAAAAAAAAGGTCTCTCTCAAAAGAAGTTGAAGTTGATAAAAACAGCATATTTTTTATTAATAAAAAGTACCTTCCACCTGTCGGTACTGGCATTGTTACAGTTCATGAAGTAGAACTAGAAAGTGCATTATCTGCTGCTGTTCCATATATGTTCTTCTTTTGTCTCTGGCTTCTCTCAGACTGAGACTGTTTCATAGATCTGCTAATTAAACCAGCTGAGATTAATTACGGTTATGACCTTAAAACTACACCCGATTCACATTTAATACACTTCCATTTCTAGAATTCTTCTTCTTCCTTCTTCTTTCTTCATTTTTTATAAACCAATGTGTACAATTCTGAAAGGGGTTGAGACGTTTCAGAAATCTTTTGCTTACTGGTAAATAACATGTTTGGTTTGTCTTGGGTAAAGTATCTAAAGCCAAGTCAGGTTGGGTGGATCAGAAAATATGGAAGTTTCAGTCATATTCATTAAATTTGTAATAAATGAAAATATAAAAAGCTATCTTTATAGCACTTTCTTTTGCCAGTTCGTCAGTTTTCCAGAAAATTTTATCAAATATACTGATAAATGCTATCAGCAGTTATTAAAAAAAAAAAAAAAAAATTATAATTTGTTGTAGAAAAACAATGTGGGAGGTATTTTTATCTTTGGACCACTGGAGAAGGATGGCTAAACTGGTCATGGGAAGCTAGTTTAACAGGAGGTTGTCTATTTGATGTGTGACAGTTCAATCACGTTCATAAAATCTGTCAGAATGCATGTATTAGTATTCTGATCAGTTGGCACATATAAAATGAATGCCTATGTCTTATGAGATGATTAATTGGATTGTCAGCTTTTTAGTGTGACTACTTGTCACTTTAGACATGTTTATATATATATATATATATAAAATCTTCAGTTTAGGTGCTTGCTTGATTTCATTATTTCATTCATCATAATGAGATGCGCGTATATAGGAGTAGGATTCAAATAGTCTTTAATCATAAAAATAAATTTGAAGTAGTTAATATATATTCTCTATACTGATTTGTTAAAAAAATAGTACCACGAAGGAAGGGCATGGGAAAAGTGCAGACCTTGGAATCACTATTTTTTTTTTCTTTTGGTGATCAACGGTGTACGAGGGTTAGTTTGTATTAGGGGTGTTCAGTTTCGGGTATCCTGCCCTTTTTGAAGGAACCAGAATCGACGGTTCCTTGAAATTTGGAATCAGAATCGGAACCGACCGTTGAAAGTCAGTTTGTATTAGGGGTGTTCGGTTCCGGGTACCCTGCCCTTTTTTAAGGAATCGAAACCGACGGTTCTTTGAAATTTGGAACCAGAACTGGAACCGACGGTTCCGGTTCCTAGGTACCCAGAACCAGAACCTGTAAAAACGGTTTCGGTTCTGATTTTGGGTACCCTATAAAATTACAATGACCCCCCAAAAGTTTTTAAAATGGCAAAAAACCCCTTAAAAACTTACAAATACCCCCCTACCTGGCACTTGTTAACAAAAATAAAACTACAAATTATAAATTCAAAATTATAAACTCCATTACTAGATTCTCAAAAGTCAAACCAACTTACTTTAAATGTTATGAAATATAAATATAAATGTATTTACATTACTTTTGCTACAAAAGTTTTTATTAACCCCCCTAATATTTAATTTAATTTAATTTTATATTAGTCTCGGTTCCTGGTTTCTGGTTCAGGTTCCAGTTCCTAACTATAGGAACCGGAACCGGAACCGCACAGTAACGGTTCCAAAAATTTGGAACCGGAACCTATCCATTGACGATTGGTTCTGGGTAGAAACCGGAATCAAACCCAAGATACCCACCAGTTCCGGTTTCAACCGTTTCTTTTGAACACCCCTAGTTTGTATGCACCTCAATTAATTTTTTAAATCTTGAAGTTAATGATCGAGTAAACCCTCTTGATTATTAATAATCAAGATAAATCAAACTCAATATTTATTGAATAATACAATCAAGAGACCTTATCATCCCATCTTGTCACGTAAGGGTGGTTTGGAATCACTAATCTTCCTCACCTACACATAATGTCTTTTATGGAAATTTAGAAATAAAAGTAAAGAAAAAAACATTGTTGCTGATTAAGATTTGTCATGTATCATTGTAGCAAAGCATAGATAGAGGTAGCAATGCCTATCATATTCTACTGTAATTTAGCCGTGGATTTAACGCTGGTTAAGTCAAAATTATCATACGAATTATAGTTAGTTATATTCCCACAAAGAATCTGTTCTTTTAAAATCAAAGGAAAATTTAAAACACAAAAATTGTCGGTATATTAGGCGGCTCCTCTTATATTTACTTATATCTCAAGTAAAAAGCTTCTTTGTCCATTAATGGAAGAATTAAGTTTGTATTAGATTCTGTTTATCTTTAATCCTGACCTAATAAACTTAATTAAAAGGACCAACAATGAGAGGGAGAAGGAGATATAATCCAAATCCAAATCCAAATAAGTCGGTAAGTCGGTTCTTGATGGATCCATTCAAATCAAAAAGATAGATAGAAGATTAAAGAAGAAAAAGTTGCAGTAAAGAAGGGTAAAGCTTAAGGTTGTGAGAGTGAGTGGTAGCGACTTCATATTCTCACGCTCAGTGGTGGGGATCGAGAAGAAACAAACAAACAAAATCAAATTCAGCCATAATTTGCCGGCTTATGACTTGGGATTTCAAAAGAGACAACCCCAAAAGAACCAGTCAACAATGCGATCCCTTTTCGGTTTTCAACCCTTATCTTTTTCTCTTCAAACTTGTGACAAACACTACATCATCGTATCAAAAGAACCCCACTTTTCCAGTCTAAGCTTCCCAGTAATACTCATTCACATCTTTTTTTTTTTTATTTGTTGAAGTTATTGCTCGGCAGTTTATCAGGATTCATTTCATCATAGAAAAATCATAAACTTGCTATTCTTCAAGAAACTATCATTTGGGTTGGCGTGATTTGCGCAAAAGTGCTTCGTAATTAGTATACTGTTTTCTGGTCCATCGCTGCTTCCTTATTATTGCAAAGTGTGAGACAATAATTTAATATTCTATACTAGTATTAATTTTAAGATCACGATATTGTTAATTATTTCAACATTGGCTTAAATTCTTTAAATTTATTAACTGGAAAATGAATTTAAATTGGAAGAAGAAAACATTTCTTTTGATCAACGGCCTTGTGGTCGGACGGCAAGACTTTAGTCACCTGAGTAGATTATTCGAAGATCTTGTGTTTGAGTCTCATAAATAAATATGATAATGGGTCGGACTAGCTAGGATTGGGTACCCCTTGACCTGGGCCCAAGCCTAGGCCCGACCCCATGACCTTGGCCCAAGCTCGGGCCTGTTGTGGGCATGTCAGGTAATGCCTAGGCCAAGCTCGACGTGCTTTTGTGACTCCCAGTTGCAACCCATGTTAATTTCTATAATTTATTAACTCATAGGCAATCTTTGATATATTTTTCTTTGTCATTTATATTAACTTAATTAATAGTATCTCTTGCTTTAGTCACCATTTTTTTTTGTGTGTGTGGGTGTGTGTGTATTAATATAGTGGACAAGAGCTTGGATTTGCTAAAATCGCAATTGATTGTTATCATAAATTCATTTCAAAATTATAATCAATAAAATAAAATTATTTTTAAATGATAAAAACTCGGGCCGGGCCTAGCAGCTAAAATCGTCATTGATTGTTATCATAAATTCATTTCAAAATCATAATCAAACAAAATAAATTTTAATTTTTTTTTTAAATGATAAAACTCAGGCAAGGCCTGGCGATGCTATCCCAAGCTTGGCTTGTACCCGGGACGGGCCCTAAAACCATACCCAAGCTCGTGCCCATCCTTGCAGAAAGCAAGTAATTCGCGATCGTACAGCTGGGCCGGGTACTTAGAAATCCAGGTACAATTGCCATCTCTATTCAGAAGGTGATCATCTATCACATTTGTAACCTACCTAACCCTGGATACCTTGGTTATTAAAAAAAAAAAAAAAAAAAAAAAAAAAGCATTTCCTTATTGATAATTATTGTTTTATTTTTGGCCACTCACATGGATCGTGCATATTGACCTGCAATTTCTAGTGGTGTACATTATTTATACATATTCTCATACCTAAACAAAAGATGTTGATTTTGGTATAACAGAGATTTGGGTTGAGTAACATGTGAGTAATTAAATAATTATACTGCCAAACCCAAACTTGCATTCGAAAAAGTCATCCATCCTTACGCAAATATCATCTTTAGAATGTATTTAATAATGTTTCCATTAAAAACAACTTTAAATGCTTTATGGATCAAAAACCATTTCTAAATTAAAACCCACCTAACAACGATTTCAACATTTTTATTATTAGACTTACCATTTCTAAATTTAAACTTTTTCTATGCCATATTTTGACCTTACCTGAGGTTCACGCCACCACAAAGGCACAAACACCATCATTCCATGCCCTCCCTCCTTCAAAGTCATACATACTCAAAACCCTCCCTCCTACTAGCCAACTAGTAAGTGGGATGGGATCTCCAACGCGGTCACGGCAAAACCCACCACCACAACACCACCACCACCACCAACAACAAGTCAAACATCATATCTGGGATTTTAGATCATGCTAAGTGGGGAAATGTCCGATCACCATCCAACATTAAATCTTTGGTAGTTAGTTGAATGCAAACATGGAGTAATGGACTACGTCGTATATATGGTGTTTGGCTTGACCATTAATCCAAGCCTATTCTTAAATAAAATATCTCCTCTACAGTACATATACATGGGTTATACATCATTCTTTGACCTATTTTTCAACCGTAAACGTTGGCTTGTATTTATTTATGTTGGCCGCAGCCATGGTTCCTATTGATTTTTATAAGAGAAGTCAAAACCAGTAACGATAACCACATGTTTAATGAGAGATGAGTGGTATATGAATAATCATATAGCGTATACAAAGAGAAAAGTTGCAGTGTAGTTGGGAAAGGCGAATGAAATTTTACTTGGTATTTTTATATGAAGCTCGTGTTAGATTCAGAATCACATGAACATGTGAAGACATACTTTTAACATAAATAAACTGTGAGATGAGATGAAAGGTCACAAGCTCTACCAACTTCCTCTTTTCAATGCTTATTCCTCTCGCTCTTGGTTATGAAAGCGAATCATCATGGGAATGGAATTGGGCAATAACCCATGGGCTGTCTCCAGCTCAGGCGAGTGTGAATAGGCAATATTGGCCCGCAACATCCCGTGACCGGATTATGGGGTTGCTATCTTGCCATCACAATCACCAAAACGCGTTTGATTTTCATTTTCAAATATAAATTCAAAAATTTAATTCAACTATTAAATAGTTAATCACTTTAATATGATCTATATAGTATTATTCAAATACGTGGTCCATCATAAGAAATGCACAATTTATAATATAATTACATTCATAGAATAATACAAACACGTTATCTATATAGATGTGTAGTTTAGGCGTACGGTTTCAAGTTTGAATCTCGTCTTTGAAATAGTTAATCACTTTAGCATGATATATAGTATTATTCAAATATGTGGTCCACCATAAGAAATGCACAATTTATAATCTAATTACATTCATAGAATAATACAAACACATTACCTATATGGACGTATGGTTTAGGCACACGGTCTTAGGTTTGAGTATCAGTGCCTCCCATTATCTATAGGGATTAGTTGAGACACGAACAAATTTCTCGGACACCCTATTTCAACAAAAAAAAAAAAAGAAAATTCGGTAAATTATATGTCAGATAGTATAGATGAGATTTTATGGACATTTGTTTGAGATGTGTAACATTATTATATCATACAGTCATATTTAATTATTTGTACAAGTTCGTAATCCACCCCTTGTATAAAATGTAAAACTTAGATCCATTGGGCCAAGAATTTCGGAGGCCTTTAAATTGGACAGCCCGAGGTGAGTAATGCTCGGGCCTGGAATGGCCCGTGTATGTAAGGATAGGGAAATTGTCAAATCAATTACGTTATTAATTTATAGACAGGAGATTGTGGAATTTACCCATACAAAAAAGTCGACCATTATCTATTGATTTCTTTAATCCACTACCTACCCCGCTTCAAATATTTATAGCAATCTCACGTGCTCCTCAAAAAGTCTTAAACAACCTTACCTATAAATATGAGGTTATTTTATGAGCGCGGTGACCTGTCGCCCGTTGCGCCAAATCTAAATTTTGTCTCAACTCTCTTTCCCCTTCGGTCTACTCTTCTCTTCCCTCTCGGTGCTTAGTTTATTGGTAAGTCCATTTAATTATTCTCTTTGTTTTCGTTAAATTTTCTGTTTTAAATAATTCTAATTTAAGTCTCTGTTTAACTGTCTTTTATCCTTCTTTTGTTTATTTAAATTAATGGTTCTAGCAAAGACTATTCAATTCCAAGATTCTTATGAGTTGCTGATTAGCTGATACGCTCTTATAAATCCTAATTTTATTTTTGTTTTTATTGTAGAATGCCTTTGTTTAGTATAAATTCAGTTATGTTTATGCATTGAATTTTATAAGTGCGTTCAGTCTAAAATTAAGGTTGACTTGTATTGTGAATTGTGATGTTGTTGATAGGACAGAGGGTTTATTGTAGAGATGGCGTCTCCTCTATTTGAGGCTGAGGATCAGACGGACGAGGATTTTTTTGATAAGCTAGTCAATGATGATGATGACGACATTACTTACACTGGATCTGGGCCTAGTCCTGTAAAAGTTGATGATGCAGACAAGGCAAACGCATTTTCCCGTCCGACTATCGGTGATGTTGGTCCCACTAGAGTGAACTCTGGCGATAATATTAATTTTAGTTTTGAAGAGTTAGAGGGTGATGAAAATGGTGTCGTTTTGGCATCATCAAATGATAATGAGGACAGTTTGGTGGTTAAAGAGAGCAATACAGTGATACCTAGTAGTGTAAATGAGTCCAGTGAAGTGGGGTTGTTTGAGGAAGGTGCATTGAATGACCATGCAATAGATAAGAGTAGCATTAGTACAGGAACCGGTGTGAAAGTGGTTCACTGGAGTTCATTTGACTCTGATCAGAATGTTGATGATAGTAATGGATTGCCGTCAAACTCTGGTTTTTTCAATGAATTTGGGGATGATTCTGGAGATCCATTTGCAAATTTGGGGAACACAGATAGTTCAGGAGCTAAATTTGTTAGTGAGGTTGGTGTTTTGGGAAATTCAGTTAATGATTTGGGTTCCTCTACTTATGGGCAAAATCTAGACTTGCAGAATCATGATCAAAATTCAGAACAGAATATAACGGGGCAGGATATGAGTAGTAGTCAGAACTGGGAAAATCTTTATCCAGGATGGAGGTATGACCCAAAAACTGGGCAATGGCATCAGTTGGATGGATATAATGCAGATTTGAGCACAATTGGTAGTGTGGATGCTGTAGGTAGTTATGATGTGAATGCCCAATATGTTAGTGGTTCAGAACAAAGTTCGGCTGTATATCATCTGCAGCAAGCATTTCAGTCTGAATCCATTGTAGAAAATGTGACTGAGGGAGCTACAGATGTTAGTGTATCCAACTGGAATCAGATTTCACCAGGGACTGCTGAATACCCATCACATATGGTGTTTGATCCCCAGTATCCTGGTTGGTACTATGATACAATTGCACAAGAATGGAGATTGTTGGAGTCTTGTACTCCAGCTACCAATCAGTCAGCCACTTTAGCTTATAATCAGCAACTTCAAAATGACATTATTGAAAATTATGGGTCACAAGGCCTTGGTCCTGAAGGCCATAATGTGAACTGGGATGGATCTGTGAACAACTACAATCAGAAAAATACAAATATGTGGCAAAACCAGCAAGTTGCCAAAAGTGAGACCACTGGTTTTACAGATAACAAACAATCAGACAACTTATTTGATTCAACTAGTCATGTGAACAATTCTGCAGAAGGAAAAGCTGAATTCAGACCCTCTGGATCAGTTGCTCAATTTGAGCAAGCAAATTGGAATCTTGATAATAGTAATGGGGTTTCTGGATTTCAAAACTTTATTCCCTCCCAGCGGTTTTCTGAGCATCATTACCAGACCAAGATGGAGTCAAGCCAACTAATGCATTTCAAAGCAGGTTACTTTGATAGTCAGAAACCTGTTAGTTTTCCAAAACAGCAGCAACTCCTGAGTGACAATCAGTTCCCTTATGTACCCAGCGAAGGTAGGTCATCTGCAGGGCGTCCTCCACATGCCTTAGTTACTTTTGGATTTGGTGGAAAAATAGTGGTCTTAAAAAATTGCAGTACTTTCGACACAAACTCCTCATTTGGAAGGAAGGTTAGGCCTTATCCTATTTGCTAGTTTCTTTCCACGTAGCATTTATTTTCTCTCCGATATATAGATATGTATGTTTCTCTTAACTGTTCTGCCGTCACTAAATGGTATTTGTTTGATATGAAGGATCCATTAGGAGGTGTGGTCAATGTTCTCAACTTGATGGAAGTTGTGATGGACAAGACTTCTGCATCAAGGTTTGGATTGGGTACTTGTGACTACTTCCACACATTGTGCCTGCAATCTTTTCCTGGCCCATTGGTTGGTGGAAATGTTGGAAATAAAGAGTTGAACAAGTGGATTGATGAGAGGATTGCAAACTTTGAAGTCCCAAGTGCTGACAATAGAAATGGAGAAGTAATGAGACTACTGTACTCTTTGCTAAAAATAGCATGTCAGTATTATGGAAAACTTCGATCTCCTTTTGGCACTGACCCATTATTGAAGGTCAGTTACTCCCAAGTGTTTGTATTTATTCAGTTCTGAGTGATTGTTTGTCTTAGTTTTTTTCCTGTTTATAACAAGATTATGATAAAGTCATGGGTGAAGAACCTAGTTTTCTTTTCTTATTGTTTTTTAACACCTTAAATTTATCTACCATCCATGATTAATGTGCTGCTTACCGATCTGCTTAACTATTGATAGTGTGCAAAATCTTTTATATACTATTGATTTGGTTATAGAACCATGCTTGTTTTATATATCATTCTGGATTAGGTAGTTATCGATTTGATAGCTGCCCTATATGTTGAAGACAGACTACTTTTTGCTTCAGCCTCAATCCTTTGGTAAAGTTATCCATATAGCTCATTATTTCTCACAGCAGCTTTCTCATGGGTGTTGTTAGTGAGATTTATTTCTTAGTTTTTCTTCTCTTTTTTAAATTTTGGAATTAGGAAAGTGATTGTCCAGAGTCAGCCGTTGCTAAGCTGTTTGGGTCTACCAAAAAAAATGATGTGCAATTGAGTGACTATGGTGCCCTAACATACTGCCTACAGAATTTGCCTGCTGAAGCACAGATTCAGGTACACCGTGTCACCTCATCCTGGTTTCTTGCATTAGTTTTCTTATGCTATATTCTCTTTATAATGGAACTTTATAGAACTCTCTATAATAGGCACTTATCGTTGGTTTAGGCAACTGCTTTAGAGGTACAGAAGCTTCTTGTGTCTGGTAGAAAAAAAGAAGCTTTGCAACGTGCAAAAGAAGGTCAATTATGGGGACTGGCACTTGTTCTTGCATCTCAACTTGGTGATCAGGTACTTGCCATCACTTTTTACATTATCTTGGAAGTCTCTAAAACTTGCTTTCTGGGGATATTTTATAGTTGATCCTTTTTTTATTATAAATTTGCATTTGTTAGGAGATTTAAGATATGAATTCTGCTTGCTGCTAATACTTATTTGTCTTTTTTATAATTGAATGCAGTTTTATGGTGATACTGTGAAGCAAATGGCACTTAAGCAGTTAGTAGCAGGGTCACCGTTGCGAACATTGTGCCTGTTAATTGCAGGGCAGCCTGCAGATGTGTTTTCCTATGACAAAACTACTAGCATTATCCCGAATTCTATAAATACATATCAACAGCCTGTACAGGTATATTAATTTGAGTACTTATGCTCCATTGTAAGTTTGATTTTGAGGATTGTGTTCAGCAGGTCTCAGCTATGCAACCAATATGATTGTGTGAGGCAGGTGTTGAGTTGAACTTCCAAAGCATTTGGTTTCATCAGCATATGTTTAGCACTTCTGTTTAGGAACACACTTGAAGATAGAAGTTAATTTGCTTGTTAATAAGTAGGTTTTAGGGTACAGATTAATCAGTAGCTGAATGCATTGATAGAGGCAGAGTAGTTGTGTTGGGTTGAGACTCTAGCTCTGTTTTCCCACTAATTTATTTATTTAAATCTTAGATGTGGGATGAGCACTGGGGTCAATCTAGATCGATATGGAACTATGGATTCCGATTTACATACAAGAACCATAAGGAAATAAATTGCTTCTTATTGCATCAACTTATATTGTATATAATTTTAAAACCTTATAATATCTCATGATGCTGAATATGGAAGTTCTTTTTTTCCTCTTAAAAAAGGTTTTCCTAACCTATTAGGTGAGGAAGAACAACTGACTTTATGTATTTTCTTTTGATCTAATTTTATTGAAATATGTTTCCGGTGGCTTTTTCCACGAATATTATTAATTCTTCGAACTACAGATTGGGGCTAATTGTATGTTAGATAAATGGGAAGAGAACCTAGCCATCATCACTGCAAACAGAACAAAAGGTGATGAGCTTGTTATGATTCATCTTGGTGACTGCTTATGGAAGGAGAGGGGTGAGGTAGGTTGCATGTAACTATTTTCCTTTCTCTTGTGAAAGACTTATATTTTTCCTCACATCTTCCTTAACAAAAGGTAATTTGACAGGTTACTGCTGCACATTTATGTTATTTAGTTGCAGAATCCAACTTTGAACCTTATTCGGACAGTGCAAGACTGTGTCTTATCGGTGCAGATCATTGGAAATTTCCACGAACATATGCTAGTCCTGAGGCCATTCAGGTGTTTAAACATTATTCATTTTTCTCTTAATAATTACAAGGGGAATTTTTTGATAGTGGCAAAGCAGAATTCAATCTTCATACTCCTGCTTATAATGCTTACCTCATAGCTAGTAAATTCATGTTACTTAAAACTAGCAGCCTCTTGGAGAAGTTTTGGATAAATTCATGTCTCCAGCACTTGTTTGTTCGGAGTAGGAAGATGTTGCATTTGACAGCTTTCTGTCCTCTATATTAAAAAGAAATGCATCTGAACTAGCCTTCTGAATATCTTGGCAGAGGACGGAGTTATATGAATATGCAAAAGTGGCTGGAAATTCTCAATTTCTCCTCCTACCTTTTCAGCCATATAAGCTTATTTACGCTCACATGCTGGCTGAAGTTGGAAAAGTTGCAGATTCATTGAAGTATGAATGATATCCAATCGTTTAAGATACTGTTTTCACTGGTTTGCTTTCGATTTTTTAACATGACATGTTGGCTCAGGTACTGTCAAGTGATTTTGAAGTCTCTGAGAACAGATCGAACACCAGAAGTGGACACATGGAAACAATTAGTGTCCTCTCTTGAGGAGCGATTAAGAAGCCACCAACAGGTATCTCTCTGACATTTTGTTTATTTCATCATTCCAGCTATCTACTTTTTATTTCTTATGAATATGATTTTATGTACAGGTTGGTTATACCACGAATTTGGCTCCAACCAAGCTGGTTGGTAAATTACGCACCTTCTTTGATAGTACTGCTAATCGTGTTGTTGGAAGCATACCGCCACCTGTTCCTTCAAAACCACACAATGTACTGTACAATGAATTTGCTCACCAACAAGGAGGTCAGCATGTAACTAGTAGTTATTCGTCAACGACCATGTCTTCTTTAATGGCTTCCGCCTCAGTGGAACCCATAAGTGAGTGGACTGGTGGGACCAATCAACTCGACATGCCTAACAGAAGTATTTCGGAACCTGACTTTGGTAGAAACCCAAGTAAGGTAAATATATTATGTTCCTTGCCTATTAGAGGTACAATTTCTCTGAAATATTTTAATGCTCAATTGCTGTGGACAAGTTTTCCCTCCTTTGAGCCCTTTCAAAAGAAGTATTAATTTACTAACTTATCATTAGGAGTTGGGACAGTCTATTGTTTCAGCTCTTTACTAAATTAGTTTCTTGAGAAAAATGATCGACTATCATGGGGGTCATTAACTGAGAAGTTGAGAGGTTTAGCTCTTATGTCAAGCGTTGAACTCTAAATGAGTTATTTCAGTCCATTCTGTTATATTTTGTAAACGAACAGCATATACATTTTGTTATTCTCTGTTCTCTCATATTTAAACCGTAGTGCCAGAAAAGAAGTGATCATGATTCCAATGACTCACTGTAGCTATTTTGATAAAGAAAACCTATTAGGGAGGGCATAAGGGAAGAGATCTCATATCTGATACTATGTTTTATATTATATTTTTTGAACCACTACTAAGAAATGAATAAAGATACCAGTTCCATAGATCTTACATCTATTTTTTTTTATTCAATCAGGTTGATTCTTCCAAGGAATCAAACATATCTGATACACAAGAACAGGTAGCAGTCTCTGTTGGGTCATCTCGCTTTGGTCGTTTTGGTTCACAGCTATTCCAGAAGACTGTTGGGTTGGTCTTAAGATCTCGTCCAGACAGACAGGTATTTTTTTGGAGTTAATGACTCTTAAGACACTTGTATGGATTATCTTTTTAGCTCAGCTTGACTGTTTATTGTACATGTTTCTGGTTAAGGCTAAATTGGGTGAGAAGAATAAATTCGATTATGATGATAAGCTTAAGCGATGGGTTGAGGAAGGAGTTGAACCTCCTGCAGAGGAAACTGCCTTGGCTCCTCCACCAACTTTTGCAGCGTTCCAGGATAACACTGTTAATGATACTCCTAAAATTGAAAGCTTGCACACAAATACTGGCCCAGAAACTCAGAGCCCTATTACTTCTGAAGGGAGTTCAGGAATACCACCCATTCCACCCAGTTCAAATCAATTTTCTGCTCGTGGACGGATGAGTGTTCGTTCAAGGTATAGAATAATGTAGCTGCCTGAAAATTCATTTGATTTCCTTACGCATTTGGTTATTCCGACCATCTGATAATGTTAAATATACTTGAAATATCTTCAGGTATGTCGACACTTTCAACAAAAGTGGTGGTACCTCAACTAATTTATTCCAGTCTCCTATTCCTTCTTCCAAATCTGGGGCTGGTCCCAATCCCAAGTTCTTCGTCCCAGGTCCAGTTACCATCGGTGAAGAGACAGTTCAAACAACTGGGGAGATTATTCAGGAAACTACTGTGACCAATGAAAATCCCAAATCCCCAACATCATTTAAGGGGTCTTTCTCGCCTCCACCGACATTAGCATACACACCAGCAACAACCATGCAACGGTTTCCTAGTGTGGATAATATCGTATTCAAGAGAACAGGGGTGGTGTCACATGGTAATAACTCTTCTACTCAGTCCCGGCGAGCAGCATCATGGAGTGGAAGCCTTAGTGATGCTAGCAGTCCTATGATGAATGAAATAAAACCTCTTGGGGAAGCACTAGGGTCACCTACACCAGCTTATTCTGATCCTCCATCAAACCAATTTTCAAAGGGTGCTAATAGCCGAGATGCCTTTGATGAAGTTGAATTATAAGGTTTCCAGGAACAGTTGTAAATCGATAGTTTTGCTTCTTGATCATACAATTTTAGGAGTGTAGTCACCTCGTTGTGCTGGAAGGACAAGAGTTAGGTAAGGCATTAATGGGAGTTTCTAGTTTTTGGTGAAACCCCCTCTAAAACTACTGTAAACCTCTATACTGTATTCAATTACCATATAGAAACAGTATATTATTATATCTGATGAACACAAATAATATCAACGTGAATAATAATGGGATTGAAGGAGTAATTACGGATTAATTTGTTTGGATACGTGAATATCATTTGTTAAGGTAACCAAAAGTCCGGCCCAAAATAAAAAAGTCCAGGGGCCCTTGCCCGGAATTAAATTCCTCAAAATGGGCTGTGAAGAAATCTATCTCCATTCTCCAGCTGTTGACGTCTCCTTTCTTCCACAACAACAGGCATGAGAAACAGTGACGCATAATCGCAATTGTTGGTTAAATTTTATACAGAAGAGCGCCATGGATCACACCACCGAACACCAACACTACCAACAATATTACCAGCAATATCAACCTCAGCCACAAGCGGCAGAAGCTTACGACCCATCTCAATTGCAACCCTATTATGCTTATGATCATCATCATCAACAACAGCAACAATATTACTCTTCTCAACATTACGCCTCCGCTTGTTACCCTCAACAATTTCATCAAGAATCCGCCTCCGTTCATCCTCCGGGTGTTCCAGTCCCGCCCGACACTCTCCATTTCCAGAACCACCAGAATGCTTATTATTCTCATGGAGTTACTGATAATCAATCTAATTTCACACAATTTGCAGGGACACCCAATATGGATGCGCCACAGTGGAGCACGCACCCCCGGGTAATTGAATTTTGCAGCCAACATTGGATTTCTTTACGTCTTTGTACATATGATTTACCCGATTGAATTTGGTCCTTGTTATAAGCCTTGATTCTCGAAAGAATGTTGCCTCGAATTATATCTCTTACTTTTGTTTTTTTCTGTATTCATTTCCTGGTGAAGTTTGTGGAAATTGTTTGATTGTTTTCCGTTTCGGCAATCTCTTTTGTTGGCTCGGCTTAGGTTCTTTGCTGCCTCTTAGGGTTTTTTCTTGGTCACAAACTTTGTGCTGGGTTGAAGATTTTTTCGATTTTTTGACTTGATATTTGACATTTTAATATTATGTTGGAGTAGATATTTTGGTGTGCTCCTTCAGCCGTATATGGGAATATCATCGGGACAGCAGAGCTGATAGGTATTGCATTCTTGGCACTTAATCCAATTTCTTATAAGAAATGAGAAGTGAGCTATGCTGACTTGGCCATGAACCCCTAGAGCGACCAGATGTAGTTTAAACAGCAATTGTGGCTTCAGTTTTTGGGTCCACATTATAGATGTATAGTGATGGATCTTTGCTGGTTACTTTAGAGTCATGTGGGCATGTTGGCATCTTTAAAGCTGTGCTTTTCCAGATCAAAGTAACTATGATTGCTAACTTGGCCACAACCCCTATAGTGACCAGTTTTAGCCTATGCAGCAATTGTGGCAATAAAAGTTCGGTGCACATTGTACATGTATATGAATGGATCCTTACTGGTTGCTTTAGAGATCACGTGGGCATGTTGGCATCCTTTTAGATGTGATCTTTCAGATCAAGTGATTTTGATGATATCTTTCTTACTCAAATTTCTGTTTGTTGACTACCATTGCTTGTTATGGTGTGATAATTTAATTTACGTTGCTACTTGTCATGATAGATATGTTGAGCTAACCTTTGTGTTCTTTCTGCCACTTGACTGTATGGTATTTTAAAACGTATCTTGTGATGCACCATCCACAATTCTGTTTTAAACAAGATGTTTTGTTATTTATTTGGAGTTAGGTGAGCGTTGATCCTTTTGTTCAGGATCTTAAGGCTTAATTGTGAGTTATAGAGGTTTGCTTACATCTTGTATGTGGGTGCTGCCTGAATGTCTGTGAATGGAGAAGCATGCATTGATAATTTTGGTTGGAGGAATCTCTGATGGTTGATTTCATTTTCAAGAAACTGTGTTTTTTGTTTGATGATCATCAAATCATTGAAGCATGTGTAATAGGGGTGTTCCTTTATATATATATAAGGAAGATGTCATGTCTGAGGATGAATTAGGACTTGGAATAGTGAGGACAGTGAAGAACCATTCTCTGACATCCCGGGTTTCTCATTATTAGCCTGTTTACAGAAATTAGATATTTATTCTGAACACCTGCTTGTATTTCAGTTTTGTGTATCCCATACCAGAACCACTTAGATCATAAACTTTGTCTATTTTTAATTAGACTGAGTAAAACTCAGTATTTGTACATAAGTCATCGTCATTCTATCAAAGAAAGAAAAAAAGTTTTCTTCTTTTGTCTTGTTAATATCTTGCTAGACTTGTATATGTTTAGCATACATTTTGTTACATTATATTTTGTTATTTTTCACTTGATCATTGCAGAATTTAGCAGTTATATTTTTACATGGTGCACTTTATCCTAGAATGCTATTTTGCAGATTGGCCAATCTGCATATAGAGGTGGCAGTAGAAATGATGGCAGACCTTTTAGACGGGGTCGTGGTCGAGACCCTAAACCAGATAATCAGGGACGTGGCCAGGGTGGTGGTAGCTACTTTCCATCACATGGTGCAGCATCAAATTCTACACCTTCAGCTTCAGTTCCTGGGCAGATACCATCAACTGTACCAGCCCAAGTACCTCCCGCTACCTGGCCACCTCCACGTATGGCATGGTGTGAACTTTGTAGGGTTGACTGCAACACACCAGAAATCCTGGAGCAGCATAAGAATGGAAAGCGACATAAGAAAAATTTGCAAACACATGCAGACTTATTTAATAAAGTCATAACACAACAGCAGAATGTTCAAATTCCAAATTCTGGAAGTCAACCAGAACTTATTCAGCCTCAGAAAGTTCAGAGATCTGAGGAAAAACAAGCCCCAGAGCAGAGTTTACCCTCCCAAGCTCTTACTGATGATAACAATATCGAGACTGAGCTGCATAAAGATGTAGTTGAGAACTCTAAAGTTCACACGGAGGATTCTGCAGCAGAACCTCAAAGAAAGTCGAGGGATCAATTTGATGGTCGTAACCGTGGTTTCAAGCGCAAGATGAGAGGAGGGCGAGGGGGTAAGTATAGGAGACCTAATGAAGGGCCCAGACAACCTGTTGAGCCTGCCAAACCCAAAGAGGTGATTCCTTTTATATGTGAGTTGTGTAATGTCAGGTGTGAGTCGCAGGTTGTTTTTGACAGTCATTTGGCTGGTAAAAAGCACCTGATGAATGTTAAGCGGTTTCATGGTCACCGGGCATTGTATGGAGAAGCAGGGCTACAAGCACTCTACCCGCCTAACTTCAACACCTCCTCATCTTCTGTCATTCCTCAAGTCCAACATGGTGTTAGTGATCCACAGGTTGTTCTGGCTCAGCTGCTGACATATGTACTTTCTCAAACTCAAGCACCAGGATTACTTGCCGCACAGGTGCCAGGACTACTGGCTGCTCAAGTATCTGGAGTACCAGCTACAGTGGCACCAGCACCAGCACCAGCTCCAGGGTCAAGTCAGGATATAAAGTATCAACATAACCCTGAGACTCAAGGATCAATGGCCATATCAGAGGTGGGGATCAAAGGTAATATTACAACGGAAGCTGAAGGTCAGCAGGAGTCTATCGCTACAGAGCCTGATGCCCCAGTAGATGTGATTATTGACACCAAAGCAGAGAATGGATCTTCCGCTTTGGAAGAGAAATCCTGTCTTTCCGGTGACAACCTGGTCACCACATCAGTTATAAATGAAGAGCAAGTTCTTTCTGAAATTTCATAGGAAGGAACTGCCCTTATATCGAAATGTGAAATTGCCTCGTCAGATCATGCCGTCCAGCCAAGACCTGGTGATGATTTAGATAATTCAGTGGTGAAAGGAGGACCAGGGTCCAGGATTGGAGATTAAGCAGGATCCTAAGGAAGAAGGGGATGCCCAGCTGCATGATAAAGAGCAAAGTATCTAAGATAATGTTTGATGAAGTTTAATATGACTTCCAACGACATACATGGATTTCTCTTTTGTCGCTCCCTTCTTCATCGTTCTGAGCTCTTTCTTACATTGGCTGATTGTAGATTCGTCGACTTTTTATATAATCCTAATTTACAAATCTAAACGAGAGCTTTTTCTTTTCACTTTTATATTAATGGTCTCTGGATGAATTTTAAATCTCAAAATTGAATACAAAATTTCAAAATGCAATAACAGATATACAAAATGGGCAAAATGAATTAAGTGAAAATACAAGTTCTCAAAATTCAGATATTCTGACTGCTTCAATAAAAATTAAAAAGACAAGCTTTGCTCGAGATCACAAATTCTAATTAAATTAAGGAAGAAAAATAGAAACTAAAATCTAAAAAACAAATTATATTCTTTCCTTCTCTCCACCTCTTACCAGATGTGCTCAGTGAGTGTCAATTCCTTTCTCGATGTACCGGTTCATCTCTCCCCGATAACGGATGTCCATCCCAAGTTCCATAGTATCCCTACTCCTCGGCGACTAGTCTTGACTGGAACCAGGAATTGTGAGCTAAGAATAAGGGCTGTATCGGCCACAGGAGAAATTCTCCCGAATGCCATTCGGCGGAAGAGGGACCCACTATGGAGAGGAGGGTTCAGTCTCGGGGTGGACTTGGGATTGTCTCGCACCGGCCTTGCCCTTAGCAAAGGCTTCTCTGTCCGCCCTCTCACGGTAATTAATCACGTCAACTGATAATCGGTTTGTTTTTAAAATTCAGAAAGTTAAGTTGGGTTTCTTTTCTAGGTTTTAAAATTAAGAGGACAGAAGCTTGAGTTGCGGCTTCTTGAGATTGCACAAAAGGAGGTAATGATGGTTGTTAGCGAGCCTGAAATTAAATTTTTATTTTCAATTTTTTAAAACATATGGTTGTATAAATAACGAACATGAAGGAGAAACTGTAGGAGGTTGACGAATTTATTGTTGGGCTTCCTAAATCCTTCGATGGAAAAGAGACTCCTCAATCCAACAATGTTCGTAGTGTTGCTGGAAGACTTGCAGTTCGAGCTGCGGAGAGGTCAGATATCAGATACCCTATGTTGCTTCATTTATGCTGTTTTTCAACTTGTTGATTTGCATTGGTTTTCCGAAGATTGTACTTGAACTAAGGCTGAATTATAATGGACATTTTGTGTGATGCATTTAGACTCGGTTGCTTCTTCATGGAAATATCATTTTCCTTGACATTTGTCTATTTGCGGATATGAAACATTTTTTCTTTTCATGTGATTGTTTCAATTTATTTTATAATTGTTTACTAGAACTCCCTCTTTCTTGTTTAAACTGAATTGTTGATGTGGGATTCTAAATAATAGGGGCTGCAGAGTATACCTTCAGGATGAACATGGGACATCAGCAGATGCCACAAACCTGATGATTGACATGTAACTATTCTCTCAAAAGCCGTTTTCTTTTGCATGAAATAGTTGTTGATTATTTTGATTATATGTTGTGTGTAAACTAAAACTCAGAAATGTTTAAGAACCAATCACTGATTCAAGATTTTTAGTTTTTCTCTGATGCAGATTTAGTTAATAGTCTCTGGATGATAGGATTTGGCAAATATGTGGGATTGGTTAAGTTCCTGTTGGAGATATATTGGGTCTTTACTATACCAGGATATAATTTCCTCTATGCTCTTTCAGGGGCCTCAGCAAGTCTGCCCGGCAAACTAAAACGGATGCCTATGCTGCTGTGGTATGTGATGAATTCTATAATTGTTGTAAGATTTATGAAGCAACTTTCTGATATTTGGATAAGATGTTCATTTTTTTCTCTCGGGTTGCAGATATTACTAGAGAGATACTTTTCCATGTCAGGCCAGGGAACTGAGATTGTACTGCCCAAGAATATGGATTTGCAAGAAAAACTTAGAAAGGGTGCATTGAAGGACATGGATTTTTTCCCAGAAGATTTTGAGTAGTGACAACAAAATACTCGAACAATATTCTTTTCTTCATTCACACATAAGTAGGGAGGTTCCAAGAATGTAGGAGTAGTACCAGGCTATGGTCTTTTTCTCTTATGCATAAGCTCATTGGAATTCATCAATCCTGGTGAAATGGCAGTTCAGCAAAGCAAAAGGGAGAAAATATGCAAATCTGGATGCATTGAAGGTGTTTTGCAGGCTGCAATGCTCGTATGGAAGTATTTATGTTCTAATATTATGATGGTAAAACTTTGATTTTTCTATCTACAAGGCTTTCTTCTGGAGATATGAGAAAAAAGCTTTTATTTATCATATTGGTCCTGGCGAAATATAATGCAAAGTTTACTCATCAAGTTAAGACGACATTCATTCATTCTTTCTCTCTTTTTATTCTTTAAATTATTACTCATTGTTTCAAATTAGTTGTTATACCATCGACCAGGTCTCTGCAGAATGGATGACCTGTTGAATTTTTTTGCTACATGGGAGTTAGATTCATGACCATAATATTAGAATCTACATAGATTTATTCAATTTAGAGCATTGAATTTTGGAGCTCATGGTTGCCCAGATTTGTTAGTATTGAGTCTGAAAATCTATTCGACTCAATACTTAAATAATAAATACTTGACAGAGCATCCCGCCAATGTTACAGAAATGGAACACTCTTCATTCATAAAATGACTAAATAAGCGAGGAGGGACGAAGTGAAGAATCTGTTGTTTGAATGTTGAGACTTGAAATACAATGAATCGTCAAATATGCGACAATGACATTACTGATGCCAGCGGCCAGCTTGCGTTTTTGCACGAGTCCTAGCTTCTTTTTGTGATAAAAGGATGAGTACGAGATGTCGTTTTCATTTTGTTGATGATTCCAAGATTCAAATTCTTTATGCCAACTTAGTGAACTGTAACTTCACTTTCACTTCATTAAATTTAAAATCTTAATGCGGCGGAGATATCGCTTTATAATTTGTGAATCTTACCGGTAAATCTTCAGATGCCCATCGTAAATCTTGGTAGATTGCTAATCGAATCTAAGAGGACATCTTGATAGCTCTAACGGTTAAGTAAAAATCTTCGAGCGTAAGGAGATATGGCTATTTCTTTTAATCCTTAGTTATCATTTATTGACATTTTCCTGATAATATTATAAATACAATATTTTTATATAATATTTCTACGTGATGAAGGATGATTGGTTAATTTTAAATTAAAAATAAACTTATGTTTATGTTGTATGAAAAATATTATATATATAATATTACTTTCATTTCAACACTAAAAACGTTACCCCTTTTTTTTTAAATTAAAGTATATTATTTTCCCTTGCATAACATCTAACATTAAACAAACAAAAATATTAATTTTTATTTGTTATTAACTTAGAATTTGGTATTTTTGAAATTGGAAGTTGGAACCATAAATAGGGGGCTAAAAGTAATTAGCCAGGAAAAATATCAGGAAAGTCTCGCGCAGAGAGATGATGTAATGATTAATTAATAAAGTCCCAACGGTACAAACAAAAGGGAACGTGAAAAAATGTGATTACTTCACTCGAAGACACCACAACGAGACAAGGACAGCACGCAAAGAAGGGGCTATATATATATATATATATATATATATTTCCCGTAATTTCTCACAACATTTCTTCTTCGTCTATCCGATTGTCATGGTCTCTCTGTCTGTCGAGTCTCTCTTTTGAAATTTTCTTTGAAAATTCAAACAAATTTAACACTCAAGGAGCCGACAATGTCCATACCAAACCCTAATTTTTCTCACAAATCAGTTGCCAAATCTTTCACAAATTCTCTTATGGCCGAGAATCAACTTATTGATTCCCTGACATCTCACATCTCTCTATATCACTCACATTCGCTTTCACCTAACGCTAATCGTAACCCTCACCCGCGATCTTCAATTCTTAAATGGTTCTCATCACTCACCATCCATCAACGCCAGGCTCACCTCACAATTATTGAGTCAAAATTCACTCAACTCTTAATTCAAATGATTGGGAAACTCCGTACAAAGGGCCACGGCTTCTTCATCATCCTCCCGGACCTACCGTCCCGTGATCCACCTTATTTGCCTAACCTCTGTTATAAGAAGTCACGTGGCCTTTTATCTAGGGTTTCCGAATCAAACGAGACAGAGCGATGGATTTTAGAGTGTACTCGGTTGTTTAACTCACGAGAAGGTGAAAAAATAGACGGCTGTTCTTGTTCTACAGATTGTCTTGATTGTGTTACGGTAAGTGAAGACTTTGTTGGAAATATGGATCGGTTTGTTGATACAATGGATAAAGTATCCAAGGGGGAGTTTCTGAGAGGCGAAGAGACTGAATTGGGAGCGGATTGGGTGGAATTTGACTGGTTAAAAGCGCAGGGTTATTATAGCATTGAAGCTTTTGTGGCAAATAGGGTAGAGGTGGCACTGAGACTGGCATGGCTGAATAGTAACAATGGGAAGAAAAGGGGGGTGAAGTTGAAAGAGAAAGTAAATGCTGCAGGTGTGGCGGCAAATGTTTATTGGAGGAAGAAAGGGTGTGTGGACTGGTGGAGGAATTTGGATACTGCGATGAGAAGGAAGGTCTTGACCACAATTTTTGGAAAAGCAGCAAAATCCCTGGTGCTGTCCCGGAACCCTTTTTGTCTCAATGAAATTTTAGTGACACATTATGCTGCCATATTAATAATCTATATATTTTTTTCTTATGGACAGTTAATAATGGAAGAAATAATGGTGAATTATGAATATTTTTATATCGCTGGGTGACAACAAATATAGGAAAGTTCTCTTAATAGAAATGCTTCTAAGGTTAATATATCAAATGATTAGCTTGTTTGCATAATATTACCAAATATTCAATGTTGGACTGATGCTTTACTTTACAATTTTATTGTATCACAAATCCTAATCAAGCTCTTAATGTTTTTCAACTCTTCAGGGTAAATGCTAGTATTAAGATTCCTCCTACAATGTGCATATATACTCAACATATAAATCCTACTCTAATATTTAACAGTAGGATAGGAACTTTCCCTAGAAACTTATTAATTATTTCATAAATTATTTATTATCCTCTGTATGGCACAAATTTGGTTCCTGGAAAATTTATTAGCTACAAGAGCTATAAGTCAAACTTGAACCTCTTTTCAATTTTTAATTCGGTTTTTAGATTTGGTGCTTCAAAAAATATTGGGTTCCAGATATTCATGTTTATCCATTTGAGACCTTTCCATGAAATTTGATTCTGAATCTTGGTCATTATAAGTTTTCAGACTCTTGAGGTTCTAAAAGAGGCCAGTGCCTTAAAGGATGAAATGAGGCTCTTCAGTGCTGGAGTGGATCAGTCATTAAGGTTAAACCATACCAAATCACTGCAAAGGATGATACTGGGACTCTCATCTGATGCCGAATGTGGCTTAGTCAAGGCATCAACTTCTCATTTTGGGAAATCTGCTTCCATAACTAATACATTCAATAGTCTGCTTGTGCTTCGGGATATCAGTACTACGATATCGTTTTGTCGGCATAATGAATATGATATAGACACTATGTTTTTTAGCAATCTTGTTTCTCTCAGTACTATGACTGATTGTTTTCTAAGAAAACTGAGAGGTTTACTTATGGTTGTTTCACTTGATTGCACGAAGTTTGAGCTTTTTGGAGAAGGGAATTTCAAGTCCTCACCTGATAAATCTAAGGATAAACCCAGTGCTTGTGGCCGTAGAAAGAAGGGGAGGACCCGTAGTATGAAAAGGCAGAACCCTTTGCCAAAGTCACCTGTGGATGAGCAGTCATTTGATAAACGGTCTAAGGTACTATTCTTTATGGAAGACTTTCTGCTTACTAGAAATCCTTTTACTTTCGATTATGTATTTGAGGAACATCTATCTAAATTGCTTAATTTATCTCAGGATCTTGAAGGTGCCTTGGCTGATACTGAGAAAGCTGGTTCGATGGAGTCCAATAATATGCCTGGTATACCTGATGGGAAAGATATTTGCAGAGGAGAATCATCCTTAGCTACGGAAAGGGTTGTCAGTCACCAGGAATATGGCCAAGGAGTGATTACTGGTACAGGACGAACTACTACAAGGAAGAGTAGGAAAGAGAAAAGTAAAAACAAAAATGCTAGTTCTAACAATCTAGTTGCAGTGAAAGATTCTAAAATGTTAGTCACAGAAACTTCCTCCTCTATTACTTCACAAGATGAGGCAGCAAAGTATGTGGCATGTGATAATTCATCCATCCAAAATGTTTCCAAGGGTAATGTAAATTGTGGTGGCATCCTGACCTTAAATACAAGTTCTTGCAGTTCTGCTAATGAGCCTGCTACTGAAATTATTGCTGCTCAAAGCATACAAGAAGATCATGGGGTTGTTTCTAAGGATCCAGGATGTCACAAGTTATCAAATGGTTGGATAGAAAATCAAACTAAACCTTCTGTCGAAGAAGCTATAAACTGTAAGGTAGAATGTAATATAATGCCTCATGTTAAGCCTGATAAGGAGCTTGATAGTGTTCTAGGCAATGGAGGCATCACATTTCAGAATTCCTTTCATACAAGTAAAAATGAGGTAAAATCAACTTCTCCTGAAGTCGGTACTCTTGATGTGGAGAAGGAATGTGTCTTGAATCAGGATCAGGAAAACGAAAACTTATATGACACTGCTCCAAAAAGCTCTTTAGAATGTCTTTCTTATGAGTGGCCTAGTGTAGCACCTGTTTATTTTCCTCCTATTAGTTCACATCTCCCACCTGCCACTGATAGATTGCATCTAGAAGTTGGTCACAATTGGCATAACCATGTCCGTCAACCTTTTGTTCCCACAGTGCATCAGGCTAGAAATTCCACCATTGAAGGTGGATGCAACCAAATTTTGTCGCAGCCTTTGACAATGAGTTTAGATTGGCCTCCAATGGTAAGAAATGTTTGTGGAATTGCACCTTCAGTGACTTGTAATTATGATTCCGGATTTGTCTCTGCACGGCAGTCTGGCTTTCAGCATAGTTTTGCAACTAAGAGTGTGCAGTTTAATGCAAAGACCACTGATGATGAGAGAAAGAATCCTGGGGATTTCACAGACTTGCCTGAGCTATCAACCACCCAGGAATCAGCAGATGATTGTGACAGTCACTGGATATCTGAGGAAGAACTTGAGTTGCATGCAGTTTCTGGGTTAGATTATAATCAGTACTTTGGTGGTGGTGTCATGTATTGGAATACTTCTGATTTTCCAGGGACAGGTTTCTCTCGGCCTCCATCATTAAGTTCTGATGATAGCTCGTGGGCTTGGCATGAAGCAGACATTAAAAGGGCTGTTGATGACGTGGTTGCCTTCTCTTCTTCATATAGTACAAATGGTTTGACTTCACCAACTGCTGCTTCATTTTGCTCTCCTTTTGATCCTCTGGGCCCTGGACACCAGGCATTTGGTTATGTTGTCCCAGGAAATGAAGTACCTGGCAAGGTGCTTCATCCATCACCAACAACTACAGATGCAGCAACTGAGGAGGAAGTCTCTGGGTCTTTGGCCAGTTTATCTGGTGATGTTGATATGAAGACTGGAGATTCACTTTCTTGCTCCATGTTGCGACCTATTATTATTCCAAATATGTCAAGGGAAAGATCAAGATCTGATTTTAGACGTAGTCATGACCATAAAAGCCCTTGTGTTCCTCCCACTAGGCGGGAGCAACCTCGGATAAAGCGACCACCATCACCTGTAGTGCTTTGTGTCCCTCGGGCTCCACGCCCACCTCCACCATCCCCTGTGAGTGACTCCAGGAAAAACAGGGGCTTTCCAACTGTTAGATCTGGTAGCTCTAGCCCAAGACATTGGGGTGTGAGAGGTTGGTATCACGACGGAGCTATGCCGGAGGAAGCTTGTGTACGTATGGATGGTTCTGAAGTTGTTTGGCCTTCATGGAGAAATAAAAATCTTTCAGCCCACCCAATGATTCAGCCTCTCCCTGGCACATTGTTGCAAGATCATTTGATTGCAATTTCCCAGCTTACTCGGGATCAAGAACATGTGAGCGTAGCATCTGCCTGTATTGTTCTAAATCAATTTAGGGATTATGAATTGCAATTATTGATTTGTGATATTATGCAGCCGGATGTAGCATTTCCTTTGCTGCCACTGGAGTTACAGAACTGCCCTACTAGAAAGGCATCACTCTCTTTGATGCACAGCCTTCTTCACGATGAGATTGATTCCTTCTGCAAGCAGGTACAAGCTTGATTGATCTTTTTTCTTATATAGTTTTTATTTTAAATTGCCACTGAAACTGTCTAGCTTTCAGATTTCTTTTTGTTGCTTTATGTGATTCTTTAATATCATTGATTATTTGATGCGATGATATTTAAGGTTGCCGCTGAGAATACAACTCGTAAGCCTTTCATTAATTGGGCTGTCAAGCGGGTTACTCGGTCTCTCCAAGTCCTGTGGCCAAGGTCAAGGACAAATATTTTTGGTTCAAACGCAACTGGTTTGTCCCTTCCCACTAGTGATGTGGACCTTGTGGTTTGTCTCCCTCCAGTGAGGAACTTGGTTGGTACTTTCTTATGTATTTAGTTACTTCTATCTTGTTTGCTTGTACTTTATTGGAAGAAACTTATCTGCAGACATTTTTTTAGGAACCTATCAAAGAAGCTGGGATTTTGGAAGGTCGTAATGGTATTAAAGAAACTTGCCTTCAGGTAGTTTCAATTTTGCAGCTTAAAATAGTAGCATTCTTATCATAATTTATTTAAAAACAAAAAGATGGCAGCTGCAGTTTCCTTTATTTGCTTGTATACTTACTTTAGTTTGGTAATCACCACAGGCTTCTAGTTTACATAATTCAGTGTGGCACGGTTAAGGCCACCGTGGTATTTATCTTGTTTGGATATGATACCCTTGTATTTGATTTCCCCCCAAAATTCATTATCTCAATTTAGCAATTACATTGGCAAATGACCTAAAAATGTGTTTTAGTTATCCCTTTTATAATTTTCCTGTAGCATGTTGAAAGATTGACACTCCAACTTTTAAAACAAAAATGCTAGTTCTAACAATCTAGTTGCAGTGAAAGATTCTAAAATGTTAGTCACAGAAACTTCCTCCTCTATTACTTCACAGATGAGCAGCAAAGTATGTGGCATGTGATAATTCATCCATCCAAAATGTTTCCAAGGGTAATGTAAATTGTGGTGGCTCCTGACCTTAAATACAGTTCTTGCAGTTCTGCTAATGAGCCTGCACTGAAATTATGCTGCTCAAAGCATACAAAAGATCATGGGGTTGTTTCAAGGATCCAGGATGTCACAATTATCAAATGGTGGATAGAAAATCAAACTAAACCTTCTGTCGAAGAAGCTATAACTGTAAGGTAGAATGTAATATAATGCCTCATGTTAGCCTGATAAGGAGCTTGATATGTTCTAGGCAATGGAGGCATCACATTTCAGAATTCCTTTCATAAAGTAAAAATGATGTAACTCACAACATTTCTTCTTCGTCTATCCGATTGTCATGGTCTCTCTGTCTGTCGAGTCTCTCTTTTGAAATTTTCTTTGAAAATTCAAACAAATTTAACACTCAAGGAGCCGACAATGTCCATACCAAACCCTAATTTTTCTCACAAATCAGTTGCCAAATCTTTCACAAATTCTCTTATGGCCGAGAATCAACTTATTGATTCCCTGACATCTCACATCTCTCTATATCACTCACATTCGCTTTCACCTAACGCTAATCGTAACCCTCACCCGCGATCTTCAATTCTTAAATGGTTCTCATCACTCACCATCCATCAACGCCAGGCTCACCTCACAATTATTGAGTCAAAATTCACTCAACTCTTAATTCAAATGATTGGGAAACTCCGTACAAAGGGCCACGGCTTCTTCATCATCCTCCCGGACCTACCGTCCCGTGATCCACCTTATTTGCCTAACCTCTGTTATAAGAAGTCACGTGGCCTTTTATCTAGGGTTTCCGAATCAAACGAGACAGAGCGATGGATTTTAGAGTGTACTCGGTTGTTTAACTCACGAGAAGGTGAAAAAATAGACGGCTGTTCTTGTTCTACAGATTGTCTTGATTGTGTTACGGTAAGTGAAGACTTTGTTGGAAATATGGATCGGTTTGTTGATACAATGGATAAAGTATCCAAGGGGGAGTTTCTGAGAGGCGAAGAGACTGAATTGGGAGCGGATTGGGTGGAATTTGACTGGTTAAAAGCGCAGGGTTATTATAGCATTGAAGCTTTTGTGGCAAATAGGGTAGAGGTGGCACTGAGACTGGCATGGCTGAATAGTAACAATGGGAAGAAAAGGGGGGTGAAGTTGAAAGAGAAAGTAAATGCTGCAGGTGTGGCGGCAAATGTTTATTGGAGGAAGAAAGGGTGTGTGGACTGGTGGAGGAATTTGGATACTGCGATGAGAAGGAAGGTCTTGACCACAATTTTTGGAAAAGCAGCAAAATCCCTGGTGCTGTCCCGGAACCCTTTTTGTCTCAATGAAATTTTAGTGACACATTATGCTGCCATATTAATAATCTATATATTTTTTTCTTATGGACAGTTAATAATGGAAGAAATAATGGTGAATTATGAATATTTTTATATCGCTGGGTGACAACAAATATAGGAAAGTTCTCTTAATAGAAATGCTTCTAAGGTTAATATATCAAATGATTAGCTTGTTTGCATAATATTACCAAATATTCAATGTTGGACTGATGCTTTACTTTACAATTTTATTGTATCACAAATCCTAATCAAGCTCTTAATGTTTTTCAACTCTTCAGGGTAAATGCTAGTATTAAGATTCCTCCTACAATGTGCATATATACTCAACATATAAATCCTACTCTAATATTTAACAGTAGGATAGGAACTTTCCCTAGAAACTTATTAATTATTTCATAAATTATTTATTATCCTCTGTATGGCACAAATTTGGTTCCTGGAAAATTTATTAGCTACAAGAGCTATAAGTCAAACTTGAACCTCTTTTCAATTTTTAATTCGGTTTTTAGATTTGGTGCTTCAAAAAATATTGGGTTCCAGATATTCATGTTTATCCATTTGAGACCTTTCCATGAAATTTGATTCTGAATCTTGGTCATTATAAGTTTTCAGACTCTTGAGGTTCTAAAAGAGGCCAGTGCCTTAAAGGATGAAATGAGGCTCTTCAGTGCTGGAGTGGATCAGTCATTAAGGTTAAACCATACCAAATCACTGCAAAGGATGATACTGGGACTCTCATCTGATGCCGAATGTGGCTTAGTCAAGGCATCAACTTCTCATTTTGGGAAATCTGCTTCCATAACTAATACATTCAATAGTCTGCTTGTGCTTCGGGATATCAGTACTACGATATCGTTTTGTCGGCATAATGAATATGATATAGACACTATGTTTTTTAGCAATCTTGTTTCTCTCAGTACTATGACTGATTGTTTTCTAAGAAAACTGAGAGGTTTACTTATGGTTGTTTCACTTGATTGCACGAAGTTTGAGCTTTTTGGAGAAGGGAATTTCAAGTCCTCACCTGATAAATCTAAGGATAAACCCAGTGCTTGTGGCCGTAGAAAGAAGGGGAGGACCCGTAGTATGAAAAGGCAGAACCCTTTGCCAAAGTCACCTGTGGATGAGCAGTCATTTGATAAACGGTCTAAGGTACTATTCTTTATGGAAGACTTTCTGCTTACTAGAAATCCTTTTACTTTCGATTATGTATTTGAGGAACATCTATCTAAATTGCTTAATTTATCTCAGGATCTTGAAGGTGCCTTAGCTGATACTGAGAAAGCTGGTTCGATGGAGTCCAATAGTATGCCTGGTATACCTGATGGGAAAGATATTTGCAGAGGAGAATCATCCTTAGCTACGGAAAGGGTTGTCAGTCACCAGGAATATGGCCAAGGAGTGATTACTGGTACAGGACGAACTACTACAAGGAAGAGTAGGAAAGAGAAAAGTAAAAACAAAAACGCTAGTTCTAACAATCTAGTTGCAGTGAAAGATTCTAAAATGTTAGTCACAGAAACTTCCTCCTCTATTACTTCACAAGATGAGGCAGCAAAGTATGTGGCATGTGATAATTCATCCATCCAAAATGTTTCCAAGGGTAATGTAAATTGTGGTGGCATCCTGACCTTAGATACAAGTTCTTGCCGTTCTGCTAATGAGCCTGCTACTGAAATTATTGCTGCTCAAAGCATACAAGAAGATCATGGGGTTGTTTCCAAGGATCCAGAATGTCACACGTTATCAAATGGTAGGATAGAAAATCAAACTAAACCTTCTGTAGAAGAAGCTATAAACTGTAAGGTAGAATGTAATATAATGCCTCATGTTAAGCCTGATAAGGAGCTTGATAGTGTTCTAGGCAATGGAGGCATCACATTTCAGAATTCCTTTCATACAAGTAAAACTGAGGTAAAATCAACTTCTCCTGAAGTCGGTACTCTTGATGTAGAGAAGGAATGTGTTTTGAATCAAGATCAGGAAAACGAAAATTTATATGATACTGCTCCAAAAAGCTCTTTAGAATGTCTTTCTTATGAGTGGCCTAGTGTAGCACCTGTTTATTTTCCTCCTATTAGTTCACATCTCCCACCTGCCACTGATAGATTGCATCTAGAAGTTGGTCACAATTGGCATAACCATGTCCGTCAACCTTTTGTCCCCACAGTGCATCAGGCTAGAAATTCCACCATTGAAGGTGGATGCAACCAAATTTTGTCGCAGCCTTTGACAATGAGTTTAGATTGGCCTCCAATGGTAAGAAATGTTTGTGGAATTGCACCTTCAGTGACTTGTAATTATGATTCCGGATTTGTCTCTGCACGGCAGTCTGGCTTTCAGCATAGTTTTGCTCCTAAGAGTGTGCAGTTTAATGCAAAGACCACTGATGATGAGAGAAAGAATCCTGGGGATTTCACAGACTTGCCTGAGCTATCAACCACCCAGGAATCAGCAGATGATTGTGACAGTCACTGGATATCTGAGGAAGAACTTGAGTTGCATGCAGTTTCTGGGTTAGATTACAATCAGTACTTTGGTGGTGGTGTCATGTATTGGAATACTTCTGATTTTCCAGGGACAGGTTTCTCTCGGCCTCCATCACTAAGTTCTGATGATAGCTCGTGGGCTTGGCATGAAGCAGACATTAAAAGGGCTGTTGATGACGTGGTTGCCTTCTCTTCTTCATATAGTACAAATGGTTTGACTTCACCAACTGCTGCTTCATTTTGCTCTCCTTTTGATCCTCTAGGCCCTGGACACCAGGCATTTGGTTATGTTGTCCCAGGAAATGAAGTACCTGGCAAGGTGCTTCATCCATCACCAACAACTACAGATGCAGCAACTGAGGAGGAAGTCTCTGGGTCTTTGGCCAGTTTATCTGGTGATGTTGATATGAAGACTGGAGATTCACTTTCTTGCTCCATGTTGCGACCTATTATTATTCCAAATATGTCAAGGGAAAGATCAAGATCTGATTTTAGACGTAGTCATGACCATAAAAGCCCTTGTGTTCCTCCCACTAGGCGGGAGCAACCTCGGATAAAGCGACCACCATCACCTGTAGTGCTTTGTGTCCCTCGGGCTCCACGCCCACCTCCACCATCGCCTGTGAGTGACTCCAGGAAAAACAGGGGCTTTCCAACTGTTAGATCTGGTAGCTCTAGCCCAAGACATTGGGGTGTGAGAGGTTGGTATCACGACGGAGCTATGCCGGAGGAAGCTTGTGTACGTATGGATGGTTCTGAAGTTGTTTGGCCTTCATGGAGAAATAAAAATCTTTCAGCCCACCCAATGATTCAGCCTCTCCCTGGCACATTGTTGCAAGATCATTTGATTGCAATTTCTCAGCTTACTCGGGATCAAGAACATGTGAGCGTAGCATCTGCCTGTATTGTTCTAAATCAATTTAGGGATTATGAATTGCAATTATTGATTTGTGATATTATGCAGCCGGATGTAGCATTTCCTTTGCTGCCACTGGAGTTACAGAACTGCCCTACTAGAAAGGCATCACTCTCTTTGATGCACAGCCTTCTTCACGATGAGATTGATTCCTTCTGCAAGCAGGTACAAACTTGATTGATCTTTTTTCTTATATAGTTTTTATTTTAAATTGCCACTGAAACTGTCTAGCTTTCAGATTTCTTTTTGTTGCTTTATGTGATTCTTTAATATCATTGATTATTTGATGCGATGATATTTAAGGTTGCCGCTGAGAATACAACTCGTAGGCCTTTCATTAATTGGGCTGTCAAGCGGGTAACTCGGTCTCTTCAAGTCCTGTGGCCAAGGTCAAGGACAAATATTTTTGGTTCAAATGCAACTGGTTTGTCGCTTCCCACTAGTGATGTGGACCTTGTGGTTTGTCTCCCTCCAGTGAGGAACTTGGTTGGTACTTTCTTATGTATTTAGTTACTTCTATCTTGTTTGCTTGTACTTTATTGGAAGAAACTTATCTGCAGACATTTTTTTAGGAACCTATCAAAGAAGCTGGGATTTTGGAAGGTCGTAATGGTATTAAAGAAACTTGCCTTCAGGTAGTTTCAATTTTGCAGCTCAAAATAGTAGCATTCTCATCATAATTTATTTAAAAACAAAAAGATGGCAGCTGCAGTTTCGTTTATTTGCTTGTATACCTACTTTAGTTAGGTAATCACCACAGGCTTCTAGTTTACGTAATTCAGTGTGGCACGGTTAAGGTCACTGTGGTATTTATCTTGTTTGGATATGATACCCTTTTATTGGATTTTCCCCCCAAAATTCATTATCTCAATTTAGCAATTACATTGGCAAATGAGCTAAAAATGTGTTTTAGTTATCCCTTTTATAATTTTCCTGTAGCATGCTGAAAGATTGACACTCCAACTTTTGTCTTCCAGCACGCAGCCAGGTATCTTGCGAATCAGGAGTGGGTGAAAAATGATTCTTTGAAGACTGTTGAAAATACGGCTGTAAAGTCTCATGTTTTGTGAAATCTGTTTGTTTTCCTTCCCTTTGTTGTAGCCTCTCTGTTTTTTTCCCTTCTCATACTCTTATCTTTTCTGCTCTTAGATACCTATTATTATGCTTGTGGTTGAGGTTCCACATGATCTGATTACTTCTGCTGCTACTAATGTACAATCACCAAAAGAGGAGCCTGCTGATACAACTGGAAAACATGCCGACCATGTTCACTCTGATATGATTGGCTTAGAAGACTCTTCCTCGCCTAAGTGCTCGCATTTAAATTATGATAATACAAAAGTTGTGACATCTGTTCGTCTTGACATTAGTTTCAAGTCCCCATCACATACTGGACTCCAAACTACAGAACTGGTAAATTTCTGTATTGAACTCTGCCTTAAAATTTAACAGATTTAGACCTTTTGGATGGTTTCAAAATATGCATCTGCTGAGGTGTGGTGTAATCTTATAGTCTGATTTACCAAAGACTTTATTGAACTCGACTTAATTGAACTCTGCCTTGACATTTTTGTTAGTTTATTGCTTCCCTCTGTGGATTGGTCAAATATCATCTCTTTTCCCTATTAATGGACATTGTAAACTGGTTGACTGCAATGCATAAATTGAAGCCTGTTTTTTCATCTTGTTGATGAGTATAAATCTCTTTTTCTTCTCCTTTGAGGTGAAGTATTTCTATAAGAGTTTTACTGGATTTACATCTCTGCATTGTCAACTACCACTATGTTGTGGACTGTAGAGCTTGGTTTTACTGGTGTTCTCAAACCCAAGATAATTTAGTTTTTATATGTGTTTGGCTGTGCTGTAAATTTCTTCTAATTGTTTGCTCTGTGATTAGTCCTGATTGTAATATTCTGAATCTATAACATGTAATTGTGTTGAGAGCTTATCAGCTCGGAAGTGGCTTAGGGAGGCAGATCAAACTTATTGTTCTTCTCTTTGTCTTTAGGCAACCTTTTGACTTTGCAACATGTGAACACTGGATGCAGGGCACTAATTAATCAACTTGGTAGTATGAGGTTCTCATTACATCTGGTGTCTTTTGTTAGACATTATTGGCTCTTTAAGGGCTCCCATTGCTAGGTCATATTGTATGTGTGCTCAAAAGTATTTGAGAAGTCTGATTTAGTAAATGATACAAACAAGCATGCCACTCACATTGCAGTGGTGAGATGAGACTATGCTAATAATGCTTCTTTTTCTTTTCACTTTTTGCAAATAATTTGTTGTTTGAGAAGACTATTTCCTGTTTCTTATTTTTACGATATAATTCCATACATGTTACTTGTATAATAGTTCAGACACTCTTAGAGTTATTCCCCTTGAAATTTTATTGTTCTGGACTAGTTTTTGAAATCTGCTCTAACTTCCCAATGATAGAATATATTGGATCCTTGCATCAGTGGCAAGATGTTTAATGTTTATGGAACATCTTGTGGTCACTTTTGTTGTCAAAATAGTTTTCAGGAGAGGAGTGTCTTAAGGGTGTGTGTGCATATATGCCTATGTTTTAGGTTCATCTGATTTGACTTCATTTTTCAGAAATGATTAACTTTCAAATGTCATTGGTTCTAATGATTTTATTTCATTTAGTATTTCTTAAGTCAAATTGTTGCTTGCAGGTGAAAGAGCTGACAGAGCAATTTCCGGCTTCAGCACCCCTGGCTCTGATACTAAAACAATTCTTGGCAGATCGTAGCCTGGACCAATCCTACTCTGGTGGCTTAAGTTCCTATTGCCTGGTGAGTTATCCTGCATTACCCATTTGCATGCTGTAATATCAGAAAACTGAGTTTTGTGCCTCTCCTGTCTTATTCAGTGGTAATACATGTACGGATCTGACTATTAGTGTTCTTTTGGTTATTTTTGACTTTCGTCTGGTCAGGAGTTGACCAGTTAATTGAATTTGGACTTCTAAATCTTCTGTTTCAACCTTTTTCTAGGTTTTACTAATTACACGTTTTCTACAACATGAGCATCATCTTGGCCGGCCTATTAACCAGGTATGCTTGTTTTCCAACTTTATTTTAATTTGTTCCAGATAATAACTAATATAATCATTTTATAGCATTCTTTTTTTCCCTGGTACTTTTACCTGATTGTGCTATTATATTGAAATATTATGTCACCATTAAATGGTTATCTCCTTTATATTATGTCAAGTGTAAAACATTATTTTCCATGAATTATAGAATGATTGTTGTGAAGCTCGGATTAGGCATCTTCTTAGTGGATGAATCATTCTTCAAAAATTTGTCTTTCGGGAAATATTTTAATCAGATGTTTTTGATGGCTTAAAGTGACTCTATGCTAGTCCATGCTATTTCAGGATTTTATTGTTGCTTTTCTTTGGTGTTAGTTTTCATGGGTTTTAAAATTTGCATAAATTGCTCCATTTGATGCTAAAAGTGAGAATCAAAATGCTATGTGATGACTTGATTAATGCATACAATGCTTTTTGTTCTTTCTTGCTTACTGGTTCTTCCTGAAGCCAAATTGCTGCATAAGTTCAATTGACTGTAGGTGGTTGATAATCCTTGATTCAAAATAGTAAAATGCTATCCAATTGAGAGGTAGGTGTACAAGAACAAAAATATCAATACAATTTATATGACCATGTTACAAAAATCAGTTAAACAGAATCTATACTATATCAAAATAATTTTCCTGGGCCCCTATTTTGCTATTGGTTAACCAAATATTTCTTTTGCTGTGCAATTTCAATGTTCTTGCAGAATTATGGAAGCCTTTTGATGGATTTTCTTTACTTCTTTGGGTGAGTCAAAAGCTGGTGATGTAATTTTCATCTTTTTAATGGTTGAAAGTGGTGGCAATTTTCCCTGATTTCCACTTTAATTGATTTTATTTACAATGATTTAGTTGTTTTGTACAGGAATGTGTTTGATCCTCGCCAAATGCGTATTTCAGTGCAGGGAACTGGAGTATATATAAAAAGAGAAAGAGGTTATAGGTAATAGCCCTTTGTTTCCTATTAACAAATATTTTACGTGCTTTCCCCTTAAATCACTACATCTGTATCATATACTGATAATATACTAAATGTTGTAGCATTGATCCAATACACATTGATGACCCTCTTTTTCCAACAAATAATGTGGGGAGAAATTGCTTCCGAATACATCAGTGTATTAAGGTCAGTCTATGATCCTTGTGCTTTTACAATAATTTGAATGAAACCATGGTTGATTATAAATAGCCAGGATTTTTATTGATTAAACATTGACCTGTTAAACTTATCTGTAAACAGATTTGGGAATAAGCTTAATTTGTTAAGTGTATTAAGTGTTAGTATTACAAAAAATGATGCTTTATGGAAATATTTTTATGTGTTGTACTATTTGTCCCATCGTTTTTCTGATAGAAATAAGTAAATATTATGTGATGCAGGCATTTTCAGAAGCTTATTCAATTTTAGAGAGTGAGCTTGCGTGCCTGCCTTCTAATGGTGATTCATGTTCAAGGCTGCCATACAAATTACTTCAAAAGATCATCCCCAGTATCAATTTATCGTAGGGATTTTGAAGAATTCTTTCTGGTAAGTATTTTTTAGGCCATTTGCAATGTTGTTGCGGCTGCAATATTAGACTATCACAATAAATGCTTTTCTGTCTTGTTATTCTGAGAATGCTCAGTAAACTTAGCAAATTTTGGGATTCTCTCTACCCGTTATAAATATTTTATTGTTTATTTTATGATAGGAAATCTCTCTCTCCTTGATTTGAACGATTTACAGGAGTATGGGCAATTGTTTGTTTTCTAGGAGTCCACAGTTTCTACGATTAATTTTCTCCAATGAAATCAAATAGGGATAAAGATTTTACACAGGTCAACTGATACAAAATTTAAAGTGTAAATCTAATCTGTGGCATAAAATTGCAGTTGGTATCAGAATCAAATAATATTTCGAGAAGTTTGTTCATCAGAAGTGAAAAATACTTCAAGACGGCCACCCCCAATGACTCTGGTTGATAATTACACAGATTATAATTATGTAAGTGATTAGAGTTGTTTGAAGGCATCTCTTATATTTAGTTGTTTGTCCGTTCTCATACTTAAGAGATCTGTTGTTTTCTTGTATGTTTTTCTGTTTTTTGATAAATATATGCATAATAGATGTGATTTTTCTTTTATGTCTAATTTTTACACATATTCTAACATCTTGGCACAAAACAAAAAGCACAATAGTCTTAATCAAATATAGGGAGTTTATATTGTACTTTTTGACACGCAGTAATGATATCTCTCTCCATTTTACCCATGATAGCAGGGTTTGACTTTTGGAAATTGCATTCAATGCTGTGGCTGTGGTAGTGTTTGTCATATAATAAGAATCTTGAATTGGATTCTTCTCTAGTATGGTTGGGCATACCGGATAATGGTCCATCTGTTTTACTACAATTGGGCATTTGATATGCAGTTTCATCCTTTTGGTGGCTTTAGTGATGTCTAGTTCAGTTCTGGTGTTGATACTTAGCTGGATATCGTAGAAGGTAGTAAGACAACTTGAGCTATATGATCAACAACTCCTACATGTTTAATGTGGAGCACTTAAGTACTTGGAGGGAAAGGATTAGCAGGAGGTCGAGGGCATGGAAAACACTGTATATGAGGTAAAAAATAAGATTTTTGAGAATGTTAGTTATTCTCCTGGCACCCCACTTTTCTGATTTTGTCTTCTCTTCAGCCTTGATCATTGTAACTGATGCCTCAAGTCTTTGGCTTTCAGAAGAAATTTGTGCTGTCACTGATCGGCAGTTTGATATCCATGTAATTTTTATTTTTGTTTCTTGTTTCTTTCCTTCAAGTCTTGTGTATGTGGGTTGCAGCACCTCCCCTTCCTATATGCAAAGAACAAAAAATAAATAAATAAAGAGCAATTTTCAGTGCAAGTTTTGTCATAAACCATATGAACCTCTGACATAAGCTTCCTGATAGGTCCTCCCTACTTGTTAGCTTGTGAGTTTTCATTTACATGGCACCTCTTGATTTTCTTTTACACTGATACTTAACTTAAGGTTTCTTGTTTAGGGAGTGGCTGATATAAGAATTTGGTGACTGAGTTACAATGGAGATGTGGCTGGCACCTGGCAGAACACCAAGTTTCTGTGTTCTGGAGTTTGCTGATCAGATTTGTGGCTGCCTTCATCTTCTGGAAGGTGATGCATATGAGTATGAGTGAGTATGCTTTTGCATTTATTTGTCACACTCATTAGATGGTCTTCAACTTACAAAATTACTGGTACTAAAGACATCAATGATCGAAAGCACGCTTGTTTGTTACTTAACTTTCATAGTTCTTTTGCTTAGTGGACTGTGAGGGTTAGCCACCTAGTCAAATTATCCCTTTCCAGCCCACATGTGATTGACTGAAAAAAGATAGATATTCATCACTACCTCCCCTTTTCCTGATATCCCTTTCAAATTTGGTGTACATTCAGCGTTGTGATATGCTACTAGGTTGTGTTGTACTCGACTTTCAAGTCTCTGTTTTCATTTTGCTAGGCTAGGTTGCTGTGTTGATGGGTGCAACTAAGAAAACTTGATATCATTGAAGAAGAATAACCAGTTGGGTTGAACTTTGTTCCGCTTATTTTTATAATATTATTGGTTCATTCTTTCTTTATTAGCACCCAACTGCAGCCAATGAGCACATAGAGCATTGCTAGCCTCTCATAGAGGAGTTGGCCTCAGCAAGTCGGGTTTAGTGTTAAAAAAAAAAAAAAAAAAAAAAAAAAAAAAAAAAAAAAAAAAATTAAAGATCTAAAAGTTGGCTCAAGAGTTAATAGCTATTTATCATTTCTTGTAGTAAAAACAGCTTATATTTTTCACTTTGACTGCAGCTGTACTTTTCAGTGCCTGTTTGGTTTAATGACAGAAGACAAGATCTAGCCAAACGTGCTAAAAAATGCATGTTTCTTGGGCGCATCTTATTTCGTTGCTACCTTAATTTGTGTTTTGATGAAAGGTATTGTATTGCAGACTGTTACTAGGATTTAACTTATTATCTTTCATATTCTCGCCTCCTCTTTGTTTGGGTCTACAGGTGAAGTGATGTCATGAAAGATGAACCGCATGATTTTCGTGGTAGATGAAGGAGGATTGGACTCTGTTGATACTGTGTTTTGTACCTGAAGTTGAGTGAGGAGGGGTAGAATTTTTAATGGGAAAAAAAAGTTGGGATTGGCATTGGCTACTGTGAGCTGACACAAAGGATATTCACCGAAGTGGGTATTCCTTTCTATTTCTAGTTTGTAGGAAACAAACCATTTTGCTATCTGAAATAGAAGTAGAAATAGTGCTTGACTGAAATATATCAAAATTGAAATATATCAAAATTTAACAGGATAAGGACATTTTTGTCACTTCAATATTTTATTAAATATTTATATAAACCCAATTTCTCTTCCTCAAACTAAATCGCCACCGCGGAATACGCAAGGCCGCCACCATTGACCCTAGCTCCACCCGAATTGGCGAGACTCCACTTCCGATTTGCAAGACAAAACTAGTTTTGCAAGCCAGGGCCGCTGAATCCTGGTCAGTAATGGCGGTGGTTCGCTTTGGTGATGGACTTAGCTTTCTCGGCCCTAGACCGCCACTCTTGAAAATTGCTTCTTCGCAACTCAAGAAGTTCTCTCTTTTTCTCTAGCACGTTCACACGTGCGTATGCATGTGTTTATTCGTAGTATGGGCTCGGCTTATTTGAAATCACTGAATTAATAGAGGCTGATGTGTTTGAAGATAATTGAGGGTGAAAACATCTTGACTTAACTGGGTTGTTTACGGCGTCTTCATTATGACTGTTACGTTAGTTAAGGGAATCTTAAAACGTCCGTTAAGTTTGGAAAATGAATTTACTAATCCCTTAAAAGATTGTCATTTTTGACTGTTTGTTAACTTTTTAAAGTTAACCAATATATTTATCAAAAACGCGGTCTTTAGAGGAGTGGAAGTGGAACTTGGTTGCTTTATGCGATATTGTTTCCCACGGAGCCGGTGGCAACTAGTAAATTTTCTTTTTTTATTCTTTGATTCTTGAACCTTAAATAAAGATTAGATTGGGCAATAAATTCATGAGAAATTGGCCTCTCTTTTTAAGCAGAAATGAATGTGTTTTGAGGACAAAACCATATATAAGAAAAAGGTAGTGCTTAGTATATATATCTACGTACATGGTCGACTCTATTAAAATTTATGTCTGCAGTGGAGCTTATATTTTCATTATTTAATATGACCATGAGAAAGTACCTCTACTCGGGCAACTGATTCTGCTGCTCCACCGAGCCGCGATTCATCAGCATATTCAATACCTCCGCTAACTGAAGAGTTACAAATTCAAGCAATTGGCAGAACTCCTGATACGAATTATGAGCCACCCTTAATAAACAAATTGCTCATAAGGCCAAACCGAACCACCCAAAAGGTGGGACTAGTATCAACAGTAGCAAAATTGATGCAAGAGCTCCTAAGAAGACACTGATTTTGCCGAAGATTACATGGTAGCTTTAATTGTGAGTTCCCAATTTTATTTCAGTCGCTAATACAACAGCATGCAAACACATAATCACAGAGAATGTCAGCATGATCCCGTAATGTGTGTCAAATGGAGTTACATCTTTTGGCTGGTACTTGAGTTGGAGGAGAGAGCATGATGTGTTAATGAGAAGACTATGACGGCATAATATTGGATGGAGAAATTTAATCCTCTCTCGTTCACTCTTAACTCCAGGAAAAACAAATTTTTCGTTAGAATAAGGTATTAACTGCAATGGAAATTCAAAATCGAAAGCCTAGAAATTTACACTGACCTTTGAACGCCATAATCAGCGGGATGGTTGTTAGGCATTTTCTTCTGAGTTTCCTCCTTGCCTTAGTCGTGCTCCTTTCCTGGATGGATGTATTGGTTTTTATAGGCACATCTTTTACCAGACATCTTATAAAGTATTTAATGATAAGGGGGGAGTTAGGTCCTTAGTGAGGATATCATTTATTGAATTTAATGATAAGGGGGTGGTACTGCTAAGAAACTTAGAAAGTGAGGATATCATATAATTAATTTAATGTTAAGGGGGGGGGGGGGGGGATATAGAAACTTAGAAAGTGAGGATATCATATATTTAATTTAATGTCAAGGAGTAGATATAGAAACTTAGAAAGTGAGGATACTTAATGTTAAGGGGGGAAATACGAACTTAGAAACCGACGACCTGAATCAGCTTTATTACCGGAGTTGGACGAAACAGAGTAGTACATCAATCTCAAGGGCCCAGAGGTGAAAGAGGTGTATTACTGTATTCTATTCCTTCGGTTTTTTTGTTCAAACTTTCAGAAGTGACTTATTTAATCTTTTGGGTTTATGAGGCGTTAAATAAATACGAGTTAACGACATGTTACCACCCAAAAAATGCCCATTGACATTTTCCCACCCTTAAACCTTTAAAACGCCCTTCTACTACCAAAATATTAGGTTATCCTCTGATTTGGGTGGGAAACAAAGTAGTTTGCTAAAAAACCTCTCTTCTTTCTTCTCTTCTCAGCCTTTTCCATTGTCGGCAATTGCTGCCGGCATTGGGGAGTGTTGGCGACTAGAAAATCAACAAACAAACATTCTTTAATTGTATTTCAACCCAACAAACACAAAAATGATACGAATCAAACCTAATTTATCCAATTAAAACTCAAAAAACCCTAAGGTGAGGAAGCTTCAATTGCCAGCGATTGGTGAGCAAATGGGATCGGGAATGTTGGAGCCTTTGGAGAGGAAGATTCAAGGAGTCAATTGGTGGTGGTAGGGACGATTTTCGACACCGAAAACGATCGAAAATCCAACTTGGAGAGTCGACCGTGCGAATGGAGGTGGTGGTGGAAAATGGTGAGTGACGACGACAAATAAAGGCTTGGGCTTTGTAGAGGAGGTGATGGGGATTCTCTGAGTGGTGTCGGAAGTGATTTTGAACGCCAGGATAGGTTGGAAAATGGCAAAAACCTGCTGGATCTGACGTTGCTAACGTGTGCCATCTTCTACTAACGTGCACTGTTCTTATTCTCCGATAGCCACTGTTTGGTGACCATTCTGCCCGCATTAATTATGGGCTTTTGACCATTTTGCCCTTCCTGACAATAAAAATTATTAATAAAATTATATTTTGAGTACTGAAATGGTATTTAAAATGTGGGTGGGTATGAATTTGTCAACGAGCTATTTTTTGGTGGGAACGTGTCGTTAACTCAATAAATACTGATTATTAGTTGAGGCTTCGGCTAGATCGAGCAAGTTAATTACTCCAGTATTATAATATCTTAAAAAAGGTAATCTCATATTGTCTCTGACACTATTTTTCCGTGAAGATGCGGAGTAGTCTCAAGTCTCTAAAGTCTAAATTTGTCTCTGACACTCCTCCTAAGAAAAAAAAAAAAAAAAGTTAAAAATAACATGAGACTTATAACGTGATATAATATTATAATTACAATTTAATAATAATGAGAATTACTAAATTGAGATCATAAATAAATAGGATAGAATATTGACTTAACTAATTAACCATCTTTCATTTGAAGTTAAAAAAGATAATCTGAGAATTAAAACTTTGCACCACTGTCAAACAGGATTACTATTTTCAATAGAAATTTCTGAATTAACTAAAAAGGAAAATGATAGATTTGTAACATTTTTCACAAACTTTATCTTATAACCTTGAAGTAATAGATTATAATTGGTTAGTTTGTAATAGGTTTTACATGAATCTCATCTAATAAATTATAACTAATCAATCACGAACTGTATGACAAGATTATGAGAAAAAATTTGTGAGGCAGCATTACACTAACTAAAAATGAAGAAATAAATCATAATTTAACGATATTTTTCTCACAAGCAGAGTCAAAAGCATGCTTCTAAGCACTCTCGTTGACTTCCGAATTTAGAGAAAACTACACATGTATACCAGTATCAGTTTGCTAGCTTTCTCACTTCAACGATTCAATACTTGCGGTAAGTAAATAATGCTTGTTTCTCATTCTCAATCGACTATTTCTACATTAGATATAGCCAGGACATTCATTTAGTTATTTATTTATTTTTTAATGCTTTAGCCACTTCAAATAATCTGCGTGTTAAATTTGTTGTTCATTATAATCGATAATGTCCTTGTGTTGGTGGATATGATGGAGGATGAATTATCTCCCAGAAACTCCCGATGGGATTTATCTGAGACAATGTTTAAAGATGTTTTTATGTGGGTTTGTTTGATTTCAATTTTTCTTTTCATTCTTCATGCATAGATTCTCTGTTTCCTGCTTGTAACCTTGCCCCGAGAAGAAGATTAAATCTCTAATACCATATTTTTAAAGCTATTACAATGTCAGATATGTCTAATGACTTATATTATATTTTTGAATTTGACCGAATTAGTTTTTGTTTGATTTGGAATTCATTAAGTTAATTTGTGTGTATGTTAGTAATTTTGTTTTTTCTATTCCACATAGATTAGAAAGCAATTATGGGTAGAGAGAAAGATAAATTTTGGGAATATGTTGAGGACTTGAATGATCGATTCCTGTGTAAGTTTTGTGGATGCACTTTTTCTGGAGGCATTGCTAGAATTAAATCACATCTAGCTCAAGTTTGTGGACGTGAAATTAAAATTTGCCCGAAAGTACCTGAAGATGTTCGAGCTGCAGCACATCAAGCAATTGGTGTTCCTAAGAAGAAAGCAAGTAGTTTTAGATGTGGGAAGCTGAAATCATTTCAACTTCAGTTCTGAACAAGAAAGATAAGAAGGTGCGTCAACCTGATTTTGTAGGGGCATGTAGCAAGGATAACAGTGAAGTGGATAAAATGCTACCTAAATTTGTTTTCTCAAACAAAACAACACTTAATGTCTGCTTCAAAGACAGGAGTATACAAGAAAGGAAGAATATAATATTACGGGTCTAACTAAGTTTGCCATTGAACTTTTCATGCTTATTTCTATTTTGGAAGTTGAAAAGGAATTACAGGCCTTGCAGCTCCCTATTGCATCTGCATCGTGTGAATGTTGGGGGCCTAATGGTGAAAAAGATGTCACTGAGGTTGTGCCCTATTCATTCTACAGAATTTTGGAGAAGAGGAAAAAAGGTAGTGCAAATTTTGCAGCCACTATTTCAAGGTCTTGATTTCATGGATAGCAATGCATCAACAATAGGATATTTGTATGAAGCAATGAAGAGGGCAGAAGATACAATTAAACAGCACCGTCATGGTAATGATCAAGTCCATTGTGAGATGATAATCTTGCTGTTTAAAAGTTGGCAAACTCGTATAATCGATCCTATACATTTAGCTGCGGCTTTTTTGAATCCTGCTTACATGTATAAAGCAAACCGTAGTGAAGATACCGAACTACAAAAGGGTTTGGACTTCTTAATGTTGTTGATCCCATATGAAGAACAGGAAACTTTCTTAAAACAAGTGCGGCTTTACCACATGAAAGTGTCAGACCTTTTCACAGATACAACAATTAAATGGCTAGATATTCTTCACACTTGTAAGTCTTGTAACTTCAACTTAGTATCATTCCATTATATCAAATGATTTCTTCATAGCATATTTATTATTTGTGCAATGTGTAGGGAAATGGTGGGAGTATTTTGGTGGTCATTATTCTATATTACAGAAGTATGCTATGCGGATTCTGAGCCAAACTTGCACAACTTCACTACGTCAAAATTGTAACTTCAAGCGAATGGTTCGTGTGATGAATTAAGGATGAACCTGTTATTGATGGAAAAATTTAGGCTGCTTGCATCACAAAATTTGGAGCCGATTGACTTTCACATAAATACCGCACTTCCTCAATATGCCCATCATCTTGAAGGAAAATTCTAGTCTCTGGACTAGCCAGAGGATGTAGATTATGATGATTTATTAGTGATCGATTCCGATGAATGATTGGATTTTTTTCTCTATCACAGTCAAATGATGGTGAGGATTTGTTCAGTGTTCAGAAGGGTTGGAAATTTATGGTTTATATTGGTGTTATAATTTGTAAGATGTCATTAAACCAGAATGATTTTGATTTTTAAGCCATAGGAGTTGAATGAGGTGGTAAAGCTTAATTTGAAGTGTAGGATCTGTGTCGTTTTCTTACCTTTAAGTAGACCTAGATTAATTTTCGTCTGATCTTCAACTCTCTGAATTAACTTTGTTACAAGTATTTAAATTCGTTTTTAATTGGAATTATTTTTAATTACTTATTTTTTACGTTTCAACATGGGATTGAAACCAATAAATGTTTAAAGAGAAAGAAAGATTTTGGGATTGTGTGGAAGACTCTAATGGTCAGCTTTTGTGTAAGTTCTGTAAACAGAGTTTTGCCAGGGACAAGACAAAAATAAAATCCCATTTCTCTGGAGTGAGAGGCCTTGAAATTGAAATTTGTCAAAAAGTTCTCGGAGCTGTTCAATCTGCAGCAATTGAAGCAATGGGTGCTCCAAATAAGAAAGCTAAGAGTTCAACATCTGCATCTACATCTTTAAATGATATTGTTGGGAAAGCTGAAACCATTTCAACTTCAGCTCCGAACAAGAAAGCTAAGACTGCATACTTTTCTCTTGTTATGTGTGTGATAGCAAATCATAAGGCAATTCATTCATTGTAAATGAGAAATGTGAGGTATATTGCAATACTATTGACTCAGCTGGATGTAGCCCACATTAGGTGAACCAGGGTAAATCGCACTTACTGTTTGATTTGTTTTCTCTGTTTACTGTTTGATTTGTTTTACTGTTATATTTTGTTCCTGTTGTTGCCTCTGTTTCGTTCAGAAGCATGCCCTAGATGGCCTGCTCTGATACCATATAAAATTTGTGTTAATCAGTATGTTTTATTAATCAACCAAAATTGGTTTATATAATACAGCAATCCCTGACTACAAGGAAATTACATGGAATAATCCTATTGACTTTGGGATTACAGAACAAGAAATTAAATCAATAAAATAAGAAGAAACTAAACCAAGATATACAAGAAAAACAAATACAAAGAGATATGGAAAGTCAATGTATCAGAAGGCTTGGTTCCCTTCCCACTTCATTCGATCTGCTTACAACTTTCCGCAAGCTTCATTGTTTGATAATTTACTTTATGTTTAATTGAAGTAAATATGAATGATATGTTTGTTTCTTTATCTTTGATTATTACTCCATTAGATGTAGTAATATAGATAAGAAAATTCAATTATCTGTGCGTTAGCCGTTTCATATAATCTGTATGTTATATTTGTTGTGAGGATCATGCACTTGTGTTCTCGGATAAGGTGATGACTTTCTCCCAGACACTCGATGTTTTGATTTAATTATTGTTCCCTGATTGCTTTACGTGGGTCGATTTGATCTCAAGTTTCCTTATTATTATTTTTTGCCTGTTCACCATGGAATCGCTTTTGCCATGGGAATATTCAACTTCATGTCTTTAAATCTTTGCAATGGCTCTGGGTCTTATGTCTCTTTTGTTTATTAGTGATCTTGTTCGTTCATTCTCTTTTGGGTTAAAAAATCAATTATGGTCAAATAGAGAGAAATTTTTTGGGAAATTTTTTGGGAATAAGCTGAGGACTTACGTGGTCGTTTTAAGTGTAAGTTTTGTTAGCATGAATTTACTGGAGGCATTACAAGGATTAAATCACATTTGTCTGGAGTTAGAGGCCAAGACATTGAAATTTGTTCAAATGTGCGTGAAGATGTTCGATGTGCAGCACTTCAAGCAATTGTGGATAACGAGAAAGATAGAATTCGGGATTTTGTTGAAAACTTAAATGGTCAGCTTTTGTGTAAGTTCTGTAAACAGAGTTTTGCCATGGACAAGACAAAAATAAAATCCCATTTCTCTGGAGTGAGAGGCCTTGAAATTGAAATTTGTCAAAAAGTTCTCGGAGCTGTTCAATCTGCAGCACTTGAAGCAATGGGTGCTCCAAATAAGAAAGCTAAGAGTTCAACATCTGCATCTACATCTTTAAATGATATTGTTGGGGAAGCTGAAACCATTTCAACTTCAGCTCTGAACAAGAAAGCTAAGACTTTGCATCAACCAGCTGTTTGTAACAAGGATAAGAGTACAGCAGTGGATATCTTGCTTGCTAAGTTTCTCATTTCAAATAACCTTCCACTTGACGTTTCCGAAACGCCATTTCTGGCTGATTTGGTGAAGGGCATAGCAGAGTTCGGGCCAACTTATGAATTACCAAATTATTTTAGCCCTTAAATCTCAGTTGATACAAGATGTCGAGGAAGAAACTGAGGAATACGTTGGAAATGTCAAGAGATCTTTCAAGAAAACAGGTTGTACACTGTTGATGTCTCAGGTAATAAATGATTTCGAACTTGCGAGTATGAACTTTTTCGCCTGTTCCCCTACTGGGTTGGTGTATGTTGACAAAATCACTGTTTCTGAAGAACGCTTGACATTGCAACATTTCGTAAATAGGATATATTGTATAATCGAGTCTTTGGGGGCTGAGAATGTTGTTCAGTGCGTTATTGATGATCTTGAAAATTGGATGGCGGAGCGCCATATTGATTTTAAAGTTGATGACTTCTTCAGTTCAGTTGAGAAGATGATTCGTAATGAACACCCTCGGATCTATATTTCTAGATGTGCTAGTGCTGAAATTTATTGTCTTTTAGATGAAACATACACACTAGGTCCTTGCTACTCAGGCGGCGATATTGATTTTCAAATATTTACACAAGCATGATACTGATTTGATCCCAAGAAGAAATCACACAAGAAATTGGCCATTTAATCATTTTGATTTGCCCTGGATTGCCATTGAATTTTATATTCTACATTCAGTTCTGGAAATCGAAAAAGAAATAAAGGCATTGCAGCTACCTAGTGACGAAAATGTTGTTGCTGAAGCTATTCGGGGGGATGGGAAAAGGTGGATGCAAGTTTTACAGCCAATTTTTCAAGTTCTTGAGCTCGTAGATTGCAATGTCTCAACTTCGGGATATCTCTATGATGCAATGAAGAAAGTCGAAAATGCATTTAAACAGCATTGTGAAGGCGATGAGGAAATAAGCGCAGAGTTTAAATTTAGGCGAAACCGTATAATAACTCCAATGCATGCAGCTGCAGCTTTTCTGAACCCTGCTTACATGTGTAGCCAGAACTTCACAGAAGGCGATGAAATAAAGAAGGGTTTGGAACTTTTAATGTCGTTGGTCCCTACTGAAGAACGAGAAGCTCTCTTAAAACAAATGCGACTCTACCGCATCAAAGTTTGAGAGTTGTTCACAGCTACAGCAGTGGAAATGTTAAATAAACTCCATCCTCGTAAGTAATTATATATGCAACTTTTAATTTACATACGTTTCATTTTCTAATTAATCAGTTTGATCATTTTTTTAATTATGTGTACGTAGGTAAATGGTGGGAGCGTTTTGGTGATCGTTATCCTATATTGCAGAAGTATGCAATACAGATCTTGAGTCAAACTTGATCTACTTCACTATGCTATCGTTGTGACTTCCAGTCGAATGATTTGGTTGATGAATTCAGCATGAACATGATTATGATGGAAAATTTCAGGCTGTGGAAATCACAGAGCGATTTGGAGCCGATTGCAGTTGATAGAATAAGTGGACTTCCTGAATTTGCTGATCATGAATATGTTTTAAGAAATATTTAGACTGGCTAGACAAAAGCTAGCTCAAGGGAGGAGAAGTCCAAGCACCATAACAACCCACCAATGTAACGTTATCAGGATTAATCAATTTTTAGTTATTTTTTTTATTTCGTCTTTAGCTTGTGTATAAAGCAAAGATCGCATGGAATCTTCGAACCCAAAATCCGGACAACCAAAGATATTCTAATTTCTCAACAATAAGAAAACAAAAACAAAAACAAACAAGTGGCCTCGATCAAGCCTGTCTCAACTTGTAACTGAGAATTACGTGGCCCACAATCACAGGGTAGAGAGCATTTTCGAGTTCAAGATTCACATATTCCCATCTTTGTTTTCTGTTCTAAAGCTATGTTTATATTATAGTATTTCTACATCTTTGGAAGATTCTAAGCAGATTCCTTGGAATCATCCTCCCTCAACTCCATTTCCCACATAACCTACCCTACTGTCACAAACATTCACTCACCCCACATCACAAAACCCAATCGATAGATGCCGTGCTGTATGCAGAAAGATCACAGTCATGTAATTTTAAGCCAATCCATAACATTTTTTAAATAAATAAAGGGTATGGTAGTACCTATATAAGTCAGCTTCCATACTCTATGGTCTTAATCATGACTATAGGAACCGAATATGCTTCATTAATTCTCTTACATCGACGACTCTTTTATACTTTTTCTTACCGTCACTTCGTCACGCCAGGCATATGCTATCTAATATTCTACTAATCTTCCCCTAATTAAATGCATCTTCTAACTCTTCTCTTTCCTTACTCTTTCTTTCTTCTTTTTTCAAGATTTGAGTGATAATTAACAGTCTGGATTGATGAAGTTTGGTAAGCGATTACAGCAGCAAATTCAAGAATCATTGCCGGATTGGCGCGATAAGTTTCTGTCTTACAAGAATTTGAAGAAGCTTCTTAAATTGATAGCTTCGACTCCGCCATTGTTGAATGGATCGCTGGAATATTTGAAGGTAGAGGCTGAGTTTGTGTATTTGTTAAACAATGAGATCGAGAAGTTGAATGCGTTTTTCGTGGAGCAAGAAGAGGATTTCATTATCAGGCATAAGGTAATGAGTTTGTCGTTTTTTTTATATTTGTTTTTTTCTGGCTTCTCTGAAATTGGTTGACTTTAGAGTTGCCTAAGAATTTTGAAACCGATCAAAGATTGTTGCGTCTGGGTAACGGAAGCGACAAAGCCTGTCACGGGCCAGCATTACCTGCTCGAATTATTTATTAATTAATATAATTAAAATTAAGTTAAATTACGTAACATATTGATTGATTTAATATGATGGATTAAAATCTTTTTGTGTAGTATTCTGATGCAAATTTCTCAATATTCATTATATTTAAGTCAATAACTGTAATACTAGTAAATCATAGCCGGAAAGTTTGGTGAGTTGGAGCCCCTTAGATGTGGGTTCTTGGTGCGACACTGCATTTTATCTTCCTGGTGATTTTGACGGTGAAAAAGGAGCCACGTAGGGTATAATAGTTCTTAGTTAGTTGGGTTTTAATATTGTTTATTTTCTAGAATTTTATGTGTGTGAGAATAAATTCGTGATTTGATGATTATTTAATTCATAAAATACAATAAATTCAAGAATAATTCGAAATAGTTGGAAATATATTTTGAAAAATACAGTGATGATCTGTATTGTGACAAAGAGAAGATGTTTATTTCTTTATATATTATTCTGCAACTCATACGATTTTTAAATTGCAATGTCCGTCCATAAGCATAGAATATACCGTTACAATTAAACCCAGACCCAGATTTTTAATCCATGGCATGAAGCAAGGAAATCAAATTGCCAATTAGAACTTTTTATATTCACCAGCCAATGGATCATTTTCTTGATTCCAAGTACCCTTGTTCTTTATATTTTTCTGGAGAAGAATATGTTTAATCACCCGCGTCATAAGAATCAGAAGGATGAACTAAAAAGAAACGTGTCCAGGAATTGCAACACAGGATTCAGAGTGTGATTGATGCTTGGGGGCCTAACGGAACTCATCCTTCAGAGACTGATTATAAAGAGGAGATGGGGAAAACTAGGAAAGAAATTGTGAATTTTCATGGGGAAATGGTGCTCTTAGTCAATTACAGCAATATCAATTACACAGGTAGCATATTCAGACTCAGCTCTTACCCCGCTTACAATTCACAAGTGAAAATATTAGTCTATTTTAACACTTTAAAAAACCAATTGAACCTGGATTCTTGCAATTAATTTATTTGTAGGATTGGCTAAGATCTTGAAGAAATATGAAAAGCGAACAGGTGGATTATTACGCTTGCCATTCATTCAGAAAGTGTTGAAGCAACCTTTTTTTACAACTGATCTAGTTTCGAAACTCATAAAGGAATGTGAAAACACGATAGATGCAGTGTTCCCAGTTGAAGAAGAAGAAGGGAAAAAGGAAGGAAGAGAAGCAATCAGAGTGACAGGAGAAGGTATATTTAGGAATACTGTTGCAGCATTACTGAACATGCAAGAGATGAGAAGTGGAAGCTCTACTTACAGTCATTACTCTCTGCCTCCTCTAAGCTTGCCAGACGCTGATATTATTCGGTCATTCCAACTGAACTCACCCATACCCATTCTCTAATAAAATTCAAAATTATATACCAAACATATCACTGATCTGATGTCCGATAAACTAGCTAGAAGTGCCAGGCGAAACCATTATATACTTGATTTACATATGTTTTTAGACTACATGTAATAGTTGCAAATTACTCAAGAAATATATCCTATTCCGCAGGGAGTAACGTAGATGTTGAATGGTGGGTGTTTTTATTTAATCAAATTTCTGTAATATATTAATATAAATTCTGAGTATCTACTTGATGATCATCACTTAATTCTTATATGGTATATATTGATCAGTATTCCCCACTGCTGAACAGCATAATAATGAGAATATATGATAAAAAGAGTTTTCGAGAAAAAATTAGTTGAATTAATTGATATTGATTTGATCAAACAAATCACGCACCTGAACTAATCTTTGAATTCATGGGAATAAGGATAGGAGAAAACTCAGTGTCCACTTATTATTAATTAATTCCTACATAAAGAGCGTGAAGTTATTAAGAAGTTTCCTGCAGTACTCGTTTTTGCCATGATCATCATGTAACTTTCAGGACAACTTGTCTCATGCGTACGTGTTGAATTTTACAATTGAAAAATGCCACCTCGCATACAAGAAGTCTACAAATTTCGCAACACAGAGCCAACGTATATTGATTATAAAATATAACATGTTATTCTCATATATAGTTACATATTAATTGTTTGCCATGACACAAACATATACATGCTTGTTTATAACAAATATCGGACAAAACAACAATTGTCCAAAGAAGATTTTAAATACGATTTAAGCAGGACTTCAGCATGATTCCAACCGCTCAAATTATTATAGTACAAGTTTTACATAGGCAAGTGTTGCTTCTTTGTTAATGTAAGAGAACCCCAGAATCTATTGAATCTTAAACTAGCCACAGAAATGGTTTTGATAGTTCCATATTTGAGCCATTCATAAATATGTTTGATAAAGTCTCTAGCTAGCGTAACCGGCAAAATGATCCATAAGCAGAAGCAAAGCCATTCAATCAAAGGTGGGAATAAAACTGATGCTAGCGAAATAGAAGCAAGAGCACCTGAGCTGAGAATAACATTGTTAACGATTTTAGAGTAACTTGTACCATTTTGTAATTCCAAGTTACTAGCAAGTCCCACACAATAAATACAAGTAGATGCTAAAAATGCCCACATATTTAAACGGTGTGCATCAAATGGATTTTTTCTGCCCTGATAATAAACTTGGAGAAGGCCAATCAGCAATGGTATTAAAAACAAGAATATTAGATGGTGCCGGGTAGAGGAAATTAATGGTTGATCACCTGGAAAACTGTCAAAGCAAAATAAAGTGATTAAGCTTTTTGTTAAGGAATTGAATATATATATTCACGACTCATTTGCTTTAGCCCTTTTAAATCTCATAAGGGAAGTCATCAAACTCATTGCTTTGCAATGTTTTCATCAATGGCAAACGTATTCGACTTTTAAAATCAAATTTACCTACCTCACTCAAAACACATGGGACCCGTACGACAATATAACCTTATATTTTATGAGGGTCACAGATTAAACAAATCATTCTAAAAAGAAGCAAAAAACAAAACAACTTTTATAGAACCCATAATAAACGGCATGTCATTTTCTCTAAACATTAAGGAGAAAATGTGTAATTACTCAGTGACATATAAGACAAGAATGGTTTTTCTTTTTTTGTTTATCATTGATTCTAAGTCAGTAGAAGAAATTTGCAACGTTCCCAGTATTTTGAGTGAGATCGAGCATCACTATTTGGAAATATTTTGGAGAGATCGAGAAGTGCAGGTTTTTGGAACCGGTGGGTTAAAGTTATTTGGTTTCGAGGGGAGAACTTGTAATTAACCTTTGGTTGACGAAAGTCTCGAGAGTGAAGTCTACATATTAGCATTACTTTTTGGACGAGAGGAAGGAGCTAAATATTTTTATCCTTTTGACTTTAAAAAACACCAAGCAAAGCCTCAATAAATCCGAATACGTGCACCATCAAGTTCAGGTAAAGACTATTTACAATGACTCCTTAAACATGCATAAGGATGAATTCAATGAAAACATATCAGTCAATGATCAGAGCTTTCGAGCTGGGCTCAAAATAATAATCATAAAAAACAGAAACGAGATGCATCATATGCATGCATGAAAGAAAATGTAAGTTACAGGTTGAGAGGAATAAAAACCACTTTTTCAAGGTTAATACGTGCATAACAAATGAGTGCTTTCATGGCATGCTAAAAACGACAGGGAAACTGTTGAAGTTAAAATTGAACACACGGATGGAGGCATAAAATAAAAATTAAAAGAAAATGAAGAACGTTCAGAAGTACTGGAAGTGAATAAGAATAATGAGAGTGAGACCAATAATTAATTAAAGAAAGGAAGTTGAGAATTAAAGAAGGTGAAAAATTAAAAAAAGAAGATGATAATGTCCCATGAGAGAGTAATTAGACGCTAAACCTTGCCAGGTTGTGATCAAGAGAACACATGCAGCTTCGCGACTTTATACTCACTCTCCTGATCTTACTCTCCCTTCTAGCTATTATCAATCTACCAACTCTGAATCTGCGTGTCAGTCGTTCAGATTTTCCAACTTCCCTAGCCTCATTCTTTCTCTGTGCCACTGCCAACCCCATTTCTTTTAGATTCTAATATTCAGCTCTTTGATTTTGGTTTAAGATGTGAATTAAGTAACTAGTGAGTTGTAATTAAATAGGCCCAGAATTGGCTCAGGACCACACAGTGGACCCTATGATTTGTGCCCGAACTGGACCCATGTAATGAATTCATAGAAGTTCTTTTTAAGAATGACTGTATGTAAGCCTTTGTCTTATTCTTTTACGAAATTCATCTTTAATCTCCACCATTTTTGTGGTAGTCCCCATCTCTTATTTTACTGAGGGTAATATAGTGTATTATTATTCGTTCCAAAGCTTCTTGTCCAACGTGATTAATTCGAGGGGTTAGATTATTGGACTGCACTCCTTCAGTAGTCTTCCAATAAACACTCATCCAGTCCCTTTTAGTCACAGAACTGGTGTGATCGTATCTTACGTCGCACTTAAAGTAACAAATTCTTTTTTATTGGGTTCTTTTTTATAACTTTTTTCGGTAAACACGGTAATTACATATTTAAAGAATGAAAAAATTACAACCTAACGCCAACTCCTGCACAAACCAAAGGGCTGCGGCAGACCAAAAAAAAAATGGAGCAACAAGGGAAGACATCAAAACCTGATAAAACACAAACATGTCCTAGATTGATTTATTTTTTTTCTTGGTCAAGACCGAAGTTTCCTCAGCACTTACGTCAAGAATCTGTAACTTTTGGACTGCTTTTGTGGAACGAGCCAGGTGGTGGAACGAGGGGTATTGCAGCACAGAAAGATAACTTCGTTCTCGCAGAGAGAGAAAGATTAGAGATTGGCTTTAATAAAGATCGCTTGTGTACATTGAGAGAACTAGTAATATTGAATTAAATAGGAATATTTTCACCTTTTTTTTCTTTCTTTCTTTGCACTTTTTTTATTTTTGTTAATTACTAGATAGTATCATCACAATGACGTATAAAGAGAGGGTGGGGGATAATAGAGGTTGAAGATTAGCAAAATAAGCTGACTATTAATTTGTCTTTTATCTCATACATTCATTAAAACAAATTACATATTTCATGATAAATAATGTCTTTAAATATGATTTAATATTTAGACATTAGAAAAATAGAGTAGCTAATAAATTACATATTTATGTACACAAGGAAGCATTTGAAATAGTTTCCAACAGAGTGACGACAGTTTCTTCCATTCTTGGACATAGAATGATTATATCTAACGTGGATTATTGAAAGAGGAAGCAAATATTCAAATATATTTCTATACAACTTAGTCGGACCAGGAATGAAACTTAGGGGTCAAAGGTTCAACTAACAATTAACATAAATATAAATAAAACTAAACACAAATATTTATATTAATAAAATTCTTATTAACTAATATATTTATAATTATCCTCGACGAGATTTCAGTTTTTTAAAATATTGTATAATGACTTCAATAATATCAATACTATCAAATACATCATTCTTTATATACATAACTAAACTATATATCATTCAACCATTAATCACTCATTCTATTTCGCAAATGATTCTTCACAACAATCATTGCTAAAAATGCTCTCTCTATATTAGCAATAGCAACCGGTAAAAATCAATACTAATTTTATCAACAGACAAACTAATGGAAGCACTCTATTCTTCTTAATTAGTTTCAACCATCACTCATGTAAGATCTTCAATCTCATTCAATTCCATAAATTTGACTTTAAAACTACATCCAAAATGTAAATATCAAATTGAGAATCAAGTGTTATGAGTTCTAAGTCAGAAAAATCTTTTGGATAAAGTTCAGCAAGACGCATCAATTTTTGCTTATCAAAAGCAACAAAATCAAACAGTTTTATTTCACAAAAATGCTTGATCTACAAGTCATTAAACCTGTCAGTAAACTATATGTAAATTCAGCTAAACACCTTAATTTTAATTATATATCATTGTTTAATCTCATATTCATGATTTGAAGTTATCGTATAATTCGAATAGCATAAATTCATTCTAATGTTATTAATCAAAACAACGAAAGAAATTTAATTCTAAAAGTTTTAATCTTTTTTTTTTTTTTTTTTTTTTTTGGCTTCATCATTTTTTTCCCCATAAGATTAATTTCTCTTTATTGAGAGTTCTTCAGGTCTATCTAGTGCAGTCATCAATAAAGGAAATAGAATAACTAAATCCAAAGATAGAAAGCACTTGGGCTGGTCCCCACACAGAAGAATGTATAAGAGAAAAGGACTTGAACTATTATTCAATGGAAATAAGGTTCTACAATGTTTTGAGAATTGACAACTTGTTTCACACTGGAATCCAAGTCACTAGAGAAAAAACATTTCTTAGGAAAATACAATTTAGACACTTCAAAGACGCATGACCCAGACGAGTATGCCACAGGCGTACTCGCTCTTTATTGTTGACAGACTCTGAAAGAGAATCCTCAGAAACAAACAGCAGCAGAAAGGTCCCTGTGTCGAACAAGTACAGCCGTTGGCTTCACGACCACCACAATGTCTTCTCGTTCGCAGGTCCTGAAAACACAGTGAGATGGAAGAAAAGTGTTGCTACAACTCAATTGTTTTGTCTTCTTGATACAAGAACAACAAGTCAAC